TCAACACTCAACACTCAACACTCAACACTCAACACTCAACACTCAACACTCAACACTCAACACTCAACACTTGACACTCAACACTTGACACTCGACATTCAACATTCAACACTCGACACTCAACACTCGACACTTGACACTCGACACTCGACACTCGACATTCAACACCCAACATTCAACACTTGACACTCGACACTCGACATTCAACATTCAACACTCGACACTCGACACTGCTGGAGCTGCTGCATCCACCCCGTGCCTTCTCCCCCCGCCTGTTCAACTCCCCGCCAGCGCCCCCAGCACCTTCTCCTGCCCAAACCTCTCCATCTTAAACCGACTGATCCAATCATCGCGATTGATATACCCCCCACAAATCCTGCGCTTCCCCGTAAACGCACTCCTTCCGTGCAGCACCCTCCAGTTGTCAAACACCAGCACTCGTCCGGGGACAAGCTGCTCCCAGTACTCGTTCTCCTTCTTCTTCAGCAGCGCATCCCACTTCCGCGCCGCGTCGTACCACGTCTCCACCTCGTCAACGGCTAGCTCGATGCTCGCCCGGTCCGCAGAGTTCCACCGCACACGCAGCAGGCCCCCCGTCGCCGCGTCGTGCTCCAGCACGGGGAACCCGCGGTACGGCTGGATGCTGATCCCCTCGTTGCCCGACGCGTGCGCGTGCACTCTCGTCTCGGCGAGGACCTGGTACGCGCTTCTGTCTGTCCGCAGCAGCTCGGCCGCGGCCTGGAATCCGTCCACCAGCAGCGACGCGCCGCCGTCGCCGTCCGTGTGCGACAGCAGGTGGAATGCCTGCAGACCTGCCGGCTCGCTAAAGTACGTGTTGTCCGTGTGCGCCTCGAGCGCAATGTTGGTGTAGGCCGTGTCCTGGCTGGCGAGGTCGGCGGTGAAGTCGTAGAAGCCGCCGTAGTGCGTTTCGCGGATAAACGCGATGCGGCGCAGCAGCTGCTCTGTCGCGAGCGGCGTGTCGTGCGGCGTGTGGTCGATGTAGCAGAAGCCGTATTTGCGCTGCGGTCGAGTTAGTCGTGAACACGAACATGACCACGGGGGGCTTTGGATGGGCGACTTGCGAGCTCGCGCAGCACCGGGCCCATGTTCTCGCCCACCGCCGCGTCGTACTCGACCACGGGCTTGTGCACGCCTGACTGTCCGATTTTAGCGGTCCAGAGCGTTGGCTCCACGAAGCCCTGACGGATGTTGCATCGCTCGTCGAAACCTGCGACTGCGCTCGCGAGGAACGGTTGGCTGTACGTGCTCTTGTGGCCGTCACTCCATTCAATCTCCACGTGCGTGTTCCGTGGTTCCATGTCCTTTGCGTGCGAGGCAGACCTGATCGACAGATCTCTGGGGATCGCAAACGTGTCCTGGAGTCTCTGCCTCGTCGACTCGTGCATGCAGCTGCCGCATTGACAGTTGTCCCTGAGCCAGATGTTCGGAATCCTCGTCCCGTAGAGAGTCACTTTGTTGTCTTCCAACATAATCCGAGCGTTGGCAGCCGCCGATTGGGTAGGTACAAAGCGTGTCCTGACGCCCAGGGGGCCTAGAGGCCTAGAGGCCAGTTTGGGGCGCCGTTCATGGAGCGCGTGCGGCTCTCCGTCCAGCTTCCGGAGGTCCAAAAGAATCTCGCTAGGGCCTGCTTCGTTCTCTTTCCCTGGGACCTTGTCCAGCTGCTGCAGTCGTTTCCCCTTCGCCTTCTGCTTGGGCCGGGTCCGCTGCTCCTTGGCCACGGTCGATGCCTCTGACGGCTCCTCCTGGGCATCGGCTGCTGTAGATTGGAGACGGCCACGGTCCAGCAAGGGCATCTACGAACAACGTCAAAAAGCGTATCATTGTGGTTGAGGAGGCGTACCTGAGCACGTCTCGTGACGAGTCGAGCACCCCGCGAACACCGGAGAGAATGCATTGCAGACATCGCGCGCCCCAGTCAATTGACAATCGCTAGATCAGTCGAAACCACCTTCCAGCGACCAAAGCTCTGAAAGCAGTCGCAGTCGTAGATGTGTGCCGGAGAAGCGCAATGTCAAGGTGGGCAAGCGGGCCTCGGACAACAAGACAAGAACACGACGCCAGATGTCCCGAGGTGCCTGGACTGACGCCTCCTGCAACGCTTCAATTCACAAGCTCGATACAGCATGGCCAAGTTATCCTGAAGCTCTGTACTAGACGGACTGCTGCAACACATTGTTTGACGTTCAAGAAATAATCTTCTGGTGCTTGACTCCGGTGCAGAAGGCGGTCTTGACGCTTGGGGCCCCGTCTTTTTTGGTCAGACAATCACATCTCTTGACGGAGCTATCCATCCAATCCGAATGGACGAGCAGCTGCACTTTTGGGTTCTGTACATTATTGAGTATATAATCATTACAGCCTGCAAATCCTCTTATCGATTCTAAAGGCACCATGGCCTAATGGTAAGGCGTTGCTTTCCGGTTTTCGGACCCCGAAATCGTATGGCAAAGACTATGGGTTCGAGTCCCATTGGTGTCGTTCTTTTTGCTTTTTTGCATCAGTTGACATGACAGATGGCTGTGGTGCCGTGGTGTTGAGATATTTTTGACCATGTCAAAGTCAAGGAAGGAACAACCGGATTGACACCTTCCACAATCAAAGTTGAAATGCATTCTTGGCGTCGACGCCCGCCCTCTTTCTGCTGTGAGTCTAACGAATTGCGCAGAGATGTGGGAGGTGCAGGGGCTTCACAAGCCTAAGGATTAGCTGAGCCTGAAAAGGGTGATCTGTGGAATGTACAAACAGAGGTGCACCGAGCGACAGAACTGATGTGTTTAGCCGATCTTGCTATCATGTCGAATTGTAGACAGATTTTGCCGAAGGGCAGCGCTATACAGAGAAGTAGTTTGCTTGTTGGGCGGAATGCAGCCAACGTAGCCCGACGCGAGTGATGTCCTCGCCGGCCTGAAAATCCTGTAGTCCTGAAGGACTCTATCAGATTTCAATCTGGCTCAAGATTTACAGCGACAGACTCCCAAAATCGTGAGATATAGCTTAGCATTCTAAGGATTGGACTCCTTGGGAGTCGGATACTCTGCCTGCCGCCAAATGAGCAGAATGCTCGTCCACACAGTGTCGCCTTTCCACAAACGAGTTATGCCTCCTGAGATCATGCGGACTTGCTCCACACTCGAAGAACAATTCATCTAGGCGATCAAATAAGGTGAAATTTAGTTGCCGTTGTGAAAGTCCGCCTCAATCAGGAAGCTTCGACGCGCCAAGACCGGAGTAATCGCGGGAGCTTCACCTTCGTCACCGTTGCTGCCTCCCAAACAGCTTCACATCAACACCCCACCAACCCGACTTCTCCGCCAGCGATACCTTCCCCGGTCACTATCACGTCGCGCCTCTCATCAGGACGTAGTCTCCGCCTCATTCCACTCAACGTCAACCCCGCCCAACGCCGCCACCATGTCCACACTTGAGGATCTCGACGATCTTGAGCGCCACGAGAAGGAAGAGAAGAAGGACGAGGACAAGAAGAAGGATGGCGATGCCGGTAAGGACGGAAAGAAGGCCGACGGCGACGCAGAAATGGAGGATGCCGAGCCAGGGGAGGAGCCACTCGACGAGGAGATCCTCAACTCAAGCACACGAGACATTGTCGCGCGGAGACGGTTACTGGAAAACGACATGCGCATCATGAAGAGCGAGTTCCAGAGGCTCACACACGAGAAGGCGGCGATGAACGAGAAGATCAAGGACAACCTGGAGAAGATCGAGAACAACAGGTATGCTTCATTGTCTGCAGCCGCGGACTCACCAAGCGAAGGTGGCGGGGATGAGCTAACATCTGCAGACAACTGCCGTACCTGGTCGGGAATGTCGTCGAGATTCTAGACCTGGATGTCGAGGCAGAGGCCAAGGAGGAGGGCGCAAACATCGACTTGGACGCCACCCGCGTGGGCAAGTCGGCGGTCATCAAGACGTCCACGAGACAAACCATCTTCCTGCCCCTCATCGGTCTGGTAGACCACGAGAAGCTTAAGCCTGGTGACTTGATCGGTGTGAATAAGGATTCGTACCTGGTTCTCGACACACTCCCCGCCGAGTACGACAGTCGAGTGAAGGCCATGGAGGTCGACGAGAAGCCGACGGAGAAGTACACAGATGTCGGTGGACTGGACAAGCAGATCGAGGAGCTGGTCGAGGCTGTTGTCTGGCCCATGAAGGAGGCCGAGAGGTTCAAGAAGATCGGCATCAAGGCGCCAAAGGGTATGTCCACGCTGCCACTCGTCTACAAAACATCACGCTAACAACTACAGGTGCACTGATGTACGGTCCTCCCGGTACCGGCAAGACCCTCCTCGCCCGCGCCTGCGCCGCGCAGACCGACGCGACCTTCCTCAAGCTTGCAGGCCCACAACTGGTGCAGATGTTCATAGGGGACGGAGCCAAACTGGTTCGCGACTGCTTCGCCCTCGCCAAGGAGAAGGCGCCCTCCATCATCTTCATTGACGAGCTCGACGCCGTAGGCACAAAACGTTTTGATTCCGAAAAGTCTGGTGACCGCGAAGTCCAGCGAACCATGTTGGAGCTTCTCAACCAGCTCGACGGTTTCGCATCCGACGATCGCGTCAAGGTCCTCGCCGCCACCAACCGTGTCGATGTCCTCGACCCCGCTCTTCTCCGTTCCGGTCGTCTGGATAGGAAGATCGAGTTCCCGCTGCCGAACGAGGAGGCCCGCGCCCAGATCATGCGCATCCACTCGCGAAAGATGACCGTCGATGAGGGTGTCAACTGGCAGGAGTTGGCGCGCAGTACCGATGAGTTCGGCGGTGCGCAGCTCAAGGCTGTCTGTGTCGAGGCTGGTATGATTGCTCTGCGACTTGGGCAGCAGAAGATCAGCCACGAGCACTACGTCGATGCTATTGCCGAAGTGCAGGCTAAGAAGAAGGATACCGTCAACTTCTACGCCTAGATGTGGATGTTGAAATGCATGGTTGGGGGGCTTGTGCACGCTGTCAGCGGCGCTTGTACTACAAGATAGAGTTCGTCACGACACCAATTCTAATGACATGGATCGAAGGACCCTCAGTGCTTGCGTAGTCGTACTGACCGTGCTGTAGATGCTAAAATTAACCAAGCCAGATCTTGTTTGTCTATGAGATTGCTTTTGATTTCTGAATATTGTTGATACAGATATAGACCACGCCGCAAGTTGACTTCGATGCTGGTGGTGTGCTTCCACGACAGCACAGCAGGTCCATCTCCATCCAACTCCGCTGTCTCCTCCTGACCGAGGATCCTTCGGAACCGGATAGCACATTTCGTCACGTTTCCATGCGTTTCCTTGCCATGTCCGCCGCATCTTCAACAAGTTCAACGAGCATGCATCGGCACACTCTCACAGTTATTCTCGTCCTCATCCCCTCGTCCATCAGAGAAACTAGCAATGTCCTGAAGCTCACGGATGTGTCCGGACACATCCACAGTCTTCGCATCATCAACTCTGTTCCAGCCTTTACCCTTGAACAAGTTGGCAAAGCTAGCCTTTCGCGGCGTCAGTCTGCGTACAGCGCGGCCAATAGGTCCTTTGGCAGTCGAGTTGTCGGGCTTACGAAGTGAGGGTGGAAGATTGATTTTGGTGTCGAGAAGCTTATGATCCTTTCGATATTTGTACTCGAATTCCTGGCAATTTGTCAGCCACTTTCAAACCTCTATCTCATATCTGGTGGTCAGCTTACATGGAGACTGTCTGCGGCTTGTGCAGAGGCGCAGAGATCTCTGAGTTGCATGAATATCAAGACAATCGCTTTCTTTTCTTCGTCCAGACCGCACTGTCCCAAAGGGCCATCGTCTTCTGATTTGACATAAGGGTGACGTACTGCTACCATGGCTTCTGTACGCCACTGATCAAACCTGGACTGGAAACGGCCGGCCCAGTACAACGGTGGCATGTAGTCTTTGACCTGCACACAAGTGGTATCGTCAGCACTGTCTGGGTAGAAACGCTGAGAGATGGACCAGCGCCGATGGCTCGACAATTCTTCAGTGGCCTTGTCCGGACGCGATATGGATTTGAGATCCAACTCCGCTTTTGTTGGAGGCAACGCAGTCGGATCACTGAATGACATCGACTGGGATCCGAGCTGAAACTTGTTGAGCTCGATACTTCTGCCAGCATCTTCATCTTGAAATCGGTACTGCACCTGCGTCTGACCGATGAGAGCCGCTTCATCCGTATCCTCTGGGACCTCAGTTACAGTTGCTGATACAGAAGTAGACACTGACTTGATCGATGCAGCCTCTTTAGATCGCTGTGCGGAGGCTATGTCAGACAGCAGAGACCTACTGGAGGATCCGAATTTGTTCGAAGCTACAGGGAAGCGGTGTCGCAGGCTTGACGTGGATATGGAAGCGTCCTGCTGTGGAACAGGGGTCATGAAATTGGAGAACGGCAACTTGTGCTGGTCTGGGATGGAAGGTACTGGCGGAGGAGCTCCCAAACGTCTTCCAAAATGGTGGAAGGTGGAGGAACGTGGGAGTCTTCTCACCTGGTGGTTTGCAGCAGCAAATACCTTGGAAGATCTCCAAACACCACCCAACCCATTTGGCGTACCCAGCGTCCTTCTTTGTGCATCATTGTCATCACCCGACCGAATCTTCGGCGGTGGCGCGAGGGGCAGCTTTAACAGATTGGCGGCTGAAAGTGTCGGTGTTCGAGAGCTTCCTGGAGACTGATCTCGATCATGCGTGACCGGCTTCTCTTCTGAAGGGCGAGGTGAGCGCGGTTTGCACAAATTTTCCGGAGCCCGTGTCGATATACGCTTAGCTGTCACAGGTGTTTGCGTGAGGTGAGCACTCAAGCGTTTGACGCTCTCAGACGGCGCAAAACTCGCACGTTTGTTTTGCACTGGTAAGGTGCCAGGTCCAATCGATCTTCTGTTGGCTGCTGCAGATGGCACTGCCAGACTCTCTCGCTTTGTAAATCTCTCTTGAACTTGAGACTGCCGTTGAGATACGCGTTTGCTTGTTGGTACATTCTCTACCAGAACGGGCTTTTGGGGTGTGGAAGAAGCAAAAGGCCGCTTAAGTCCTGATCTTTTTGATGCCATGAAGCTCTCCGAATGTGGTGTGCTTGTTTTCACCAGATTTGGAGTCGTCCTTGAGCGTACTGCAGCCTTAGCCGGAGACCCATTGGTAACTCCCGTGAACGACTGGCGTTTTTTCGCCAGACTTGCTTGCAAAGGAGGATTTGGGGGAATGTACTGACGTGGACTCGAGACTCTACGTTTCGACTGCGGCGGGCTGGGAGTGGGTATGCGAGACGGCGGATGCGGCTTTAGGTCTGTCATGACGGTTTCTAGAGATGTATTGTTTGATTCTTCGCGTTCAGCAATGGGCGATGCCTCAGTGTCAAGCTTGATCAGGCGCGGTATGTAGCTGAAGGTGCGCGATCGAGGTAATGTACGAGGCGTTTGACGATCTTCACTCGCTCGTGCATTGCCTTTCAGTGGCAGAGGTGGGTCGCTGAAGGTGTTCACTGACGTGGAATCGGTGTGGAGTGAAGTGAAAGCATCGGGGTCCAGGAATGCAGTCGAGCTGTCATTGGTGCTGGGCGCGCTCACAGCCAGTGACGCATTGCTCGAAGATTGTCGACGTTGCGTGAGTGAGATGAGTGCAAAGCCATTGCTCAGTTTCCTGCGGAATTTGCTTCCTGCATTGTGCTGAAGGTCGCCACCGACGCCCTCTTGAGGCGTTGGCTTCGCCCTCCTGCCGACCATCTTCGTACTCCTCCCGGTATCAGCAGCCTCCCAGTGAGCGCGTAACTGCTCAAATTTCCGTTGCTGGTCTGGGAAGCTCAGCATGGTGGTAACGTGGTGCACGGCGTGTGCGGGGACGGGGTACTTACATTGTGCAGGTGTCGAGCAAGTGTTGTGGGAGTGAAGCGTCGAGAGAGGAAGGAACGAGCAGATACACAAACAGAAGGCACGAGGTCACAACTGAAAGTGTACTCGCGAACACATTTCCGGCGTAGCATAGAAAAATGCAAAACGCGTGCAAAATGAAGGGAGCATAGATGAATTTGAGGTGATGAGAATGCACGCGGTAAATACGTCGCAGTAGAAACCTGCGGTGAAGTGAAGAGCAACATTGATTTGAAGGGCCACTAAGAGCGGGTATACAAGAGTGAAAGCTACAAAACCAAAACGCCATGCTATGATCGCTCCTGCCTATGCAATAATGCCCATGTCTTGTCTCATTCTGAGTCACTGTCGATGATGAAGCCGGCTCTTAGGTTTCTTGCTGCCGGCCTGCGAACAACGGGTACGTCGTCATCGTCATCGTCGTCCACCATAATGGCATCTTGGGTCTTAGTTGTGGTCGCCACTGTCAGTGCTTTTGGTGTGTCGTCCTTGCTACCAGCATGCTGTGAAGATAGCGGCGTGTCTGTGGTCTCATCCTCGCTCTCATCAGCAACTTCTGCGGATGGCGCACGACTGCTGACGCTAGCAGCATCATCCATGTTTTCGTCCTCGTCGCTGTCGTCGAAAGGACCGATTTTGCGCTTTGCTGGAGATTTCCGCCTCTTGCTCTTCTTGGTTGTGTCCTCAGCCTTTCTCTTCTTCGGCAATTCCTCCTTTGACACCGCCGGCTCGACAGTGCCGAGCACAAGCGACCTCTTGAATTGATGCATAGTCTCTTCGCGCAGCGCTTGCTCACGTGCAAAGAAAGCTGCATCTTTGTCTGCGTCCCACTCTTCATCATCCGAGTCATGTACGAACATCGTACTCTTCGTCTTTGCCTGCTTCTCGATCTCTTTCTTGCGTCGCGCTTCTGCTCTAGCCTCACGCTCCTCGTCATCCAATTCGACAGGCATGTGGGCTCGCCTGCGCCGCTTGAGCTTCTTCCTTTCGCCATCGGGCTTTCTGCTTGTATCATCATCCACAGCGTACTCCCCACGGTCTTCCTCGGAGTCACGATCGACGCCATCAGAGTCGTCGTCGAACTCCGCACGCCGTGTCGACCGACGAGCTGCAGCTGTCTTGCTACGGAGAAGGTCTTCTGGTCCTTTGCCATCTTCGTAGATGGGTGGATCAAACTCGAACTTGCGAATAAGATCGACAGCTTCTTGAAGCTCGGCTGATGTCAATGACGATGGAATCACCCACGAAGCGTCAGGATCATCATTCGCGCCTAGCCTCATGAAGCCCACCAGGGTCATGAAGAGGCGGAGTTTGTTATCTCTGAACATGGAGACCTTGCGTTCTTCAGTGTCATACTTGACAACTAGGTCATGTTAGTAAACGGGTAGAGATAGTTGCGATGAGAACTTACGAATTGAAGGTGAGGAAGGTGCTTCAGCGTCAGCACTTTCGGGTACTGCCTCGCCGTCAGGATGCTCAGCTGCTGCCAGCTCCTTGCGGGCCTGTTCCGCATCTTCCCATGCTTTGCGCTCCTCAACAGCCGACACGAGCACATCTCGAACCCAATGTAGGGCATCCGACTTTTGCTGGTTGACTAGGACACCAACGGCAACACCAACCTGATCAGGCTTCTCCATTCCGGGTTTGACCTCCAGCTCAGCTGGTGCGCGCGGTGCACGCTTGAAGACTTCCCGGTCATGACCATGCTCGAGGAAGTAGAGGGTCTGAGGGATCTTGCTGAACAGCATTTCGACGATCAGCTCTGGCCGCTCTTGCACCCGCTTGACGACCTGTCTGAAGAAGTGCCTGACAAAATTGTCCCACTCTTTGAAGGCTGGAGACTCTGAATCCAGGCCGCGCGGACCTTTCATCATCTTGTTGAAGAGATGGATGATGTCGACTCGACAAAGTAAGACTCCAAGCTCCATCTTGTATGCGACACGATGGAAAAAGCGATGTGCGCGCTTCAATTGTTCGGGTTCCAGATCGTTGAAGAACCGAGTAAAGGCGACAAAGGTGTTGACGCTACTCTGATTCACGAACTTGAAAGCGAAGCGGTTGAAGTCGAACTTACGCTCAGTGACTGTCTTCTGTGCTTGCTGCAGGTCTTCGTTCTCAGAGACGTGCCCTTCGTCTTCACCCTCAGCCCCATCTGCCTGCGCCTGCTTCTTCTTGATCTTGCGAGCACGACGCTTGGACTTGATCTGCATATCCACGTTCTGCTTAGCGTAGCGCTCTAGCATGCGCAAGAAGACGTGGGACAGCTCTGTGACAGCATCGAGGTAGCCAAAACCCTGATCTTTGTACGATCGTAGGATCATGACGACACGATCATGGGTAGACTCTTCGTAGAAGATACGATTCTGGATATTCTCGGCGATCTCTTGATCGTCTTCCAGTCTAGACTCTGCCATCTCGTGTACGGTAAGCAGAATCTGAGTAAAGCACTTCATGCCAGCATTCAGGTCCTGCCATGCCTTCTCATCTTGGCTCTTTTGCATGAAGCGATTTAGCAGAATAAAAGTCTCTTGATTCATGACTTCTGCGATCAAGCCATAGCTCTCATCCTCTGCGGTGAGAACCTCGGGACTCTTCGGGTCGGCAGCTTTCTCCTTGATGGTTCGACGTCTCGCGCACTCCGCTCGTAAGAACCACGAGACAAGATAGAAAAACTGTCGCGAGTGTCGAGTCTCCACACGTTCAGCTTCGCGTTCAATGGCCTTCCTAAGGTGCTGGAATAGAGGATTGAAGGACGAATCCAGGAACTCTTCAACAAAGGCCTTGATATGCCCTCGTGCAGATGTAGACAACGCGACTGGTAGATCGAAGTCTTCTCGTTCTTGTTCTAAGTCTGTCTTGCGCCGTGACTGCCTCGGCTTGTTCCATTTCTTGGTCTGGTCCATCTTATCCAGCGCAGCTTGGGACTTTCCAAGCACGTCTTGTCCTGAAATAGTTGTGACCTTTTCGTCTTCTTGTTTCAGCCAAATCATTGTTCCAAAGCGATTGTGACGTGTAGGTGCGTTGCGGGCGTATCCTGCAAGCATTGCCTTCTCTTTCTGCATCAACTCCTTGAGCTCATTTGCATTCTTGCTGCTCAACTTCTTGTCTTCCAGGAATAACTTCTCTGCATCAATACCCTTTAGCAGGAAAAACAGGATCTCTAGCAATACTACGTCTTGAGCGACGAAGTCTTCTCCAATGCTTGAGGACATGCTGAGAAGAACTTGGAAGATGTCCTGCTCCTGGAAGGTGTCGATTGTTGTTGACCGAGACACCTCCGCTTCATCGATGTCCATAGGCACACTGCTCGGCGGCGAAAGCATGGCTATGTTGCGTATGAAGTACAAGGCGATGCGGATGATGCCTTCGTCTCGCGGTGACCTCTCGCGTAGAGGTATTGCCATAGAAGGAAGGGCGACCTTCACGGCGGTCTGAAGGGTACGGTCTCGGTCGAATTGCAGAATGGCGCGCTTGTAGCCGATCTGAGCGAGTTGTACGTACGGGCCATGGCGGTGGTGGTTTACGGTCGCTTCGATAGGGTCGATCTCGAACGGCCAAGTTAAGGGCACGAGCAATTCGACTGGTTGCGTTAGCAATGTCGTTTCATGTTCGCTTTTCCAAACGTACGAGTAGCAACTGCCAGCTTATGCTTCAATGACTGCTCGAGTACCCTGGGCGACACCTTTGCCAGAATCTCCAGCAGGTCTCCCTTCACCAGGTTCGCCTCAGCCATGCATCGTGCCACATCACGGCGGTTCAACTGCCCGTCAGCGAATTTCAGCCATTTGCGCAAGTCCTTGAGACAGACGAGTGCGTCGTCTCCAAGGGAATAGGTGCCATCATCGCCAATACCACCGAGCTGCACGCGCGTTAGCGGACTCAGATCATCAGGGTGCAGTAATGCGATCACTTACAGCAGTGATGAGACTGTACACGTGAGCGCGGATCTCAGGATCCACGGGATCTTTCGTCCAGTCGTCCAGCGTGCTTTGGGCCATTGCGGTGGTAGTCGTCCAGCAGCCCGCTGCCCCGCACGCGTCGCGAAGACGCGTCCGAAAGATCGCTAAAGTGTGGCGCTCACGCGCGTGGGCGTGGCGTGGGTCCACCCAGGCAAGGCTGAGGTGCGGAGGCCCGCTGAGGTCATTTACCTGAGCCTCGGTAAGCCGCTTAAGCCGAACTGCATGTGCGGTGCGCAATTGTTGCGGTTCACATGCTGCTTGACCTCCAATATCTCATCCAAAGCAATATTCAGATGATACAGAATGTTCTCTGCAGCTTCAAGACAGGTCGCGCGATCTGCCATCAGGCAGCAATGCCGTGCCTTCAGCTCCACGCCCTCTGTTGGCGCGGCCGCTGAAGTCAAGAAGCTTGGTGTCATTGGAGCTGGTCAGATGGTAGGTGCATCGAAAGATCTGACAAACCTCAATTGACACTCCCAGGGTCTTGGAATAGCTCTCGTAGCAGCACAAAGAGCCAAGGTCCCAGTCAGCTTGATTGACAGTTCCCAAGCCTCGATCGACAAAGGCCTCAAGTTCGCTGAGAAACTCCTAGCGAAGGATGTTGGAAAGGGAAGGTTGTCGCAAGAAGATGCAGATGCTGCCCGAGGGAGGTTGACCACCAGCACAAAGATTGAGGATCTCTCAGACGTAGACTTCGTCATCGAGGCTGTTCCTGTGGGCCACAACCCTGCCCAAAGCCACGATACACTCTGACAGCCTGCAGGAAATTCCAGACCTCAAGGCCAAGATCTTCGCACAGCTGGCCCAAGTCTGCCCGTCACACGCCATCCTTGCAACCAACACATCCTCCATCTCGATCACCAAGATCGCTGCCAGCACAAGCAAGGACCCCACCGACCTATCTGCCTCATCTCGTGTCATCAGTACCCACTTCATGAACCCTGTCCCCATTCAGAAGGGCGTCGAGATTATCACAGGTCTCCAGACTTCGCAAGACACCGTCGACACCGCCATTGCCTTCTGCGAGAAGATGGGTAAGATCGCCTCGCAGTCGGCTGACTCTCCTGGCTTCCTTGCCAACCGCATCCTTATGCCGTACATCAACGAGGCTATCATATGCTTGGAGACGGGCGTGGGAAAGAAAGAGGACATCGACAGCATCATGAAGAACGGTACAAATGTACCGATGGGACCATTGCAGCTTGCTGACTTCATTGGCATCGACACATGTCTGGCAATCATGCAGGTGCTGTACAATGATACCGGCGATTCGAAGTACAGGCCTGCTGTATTGCTGAAGAAGATGGTCGATGCTGGATGGCTCGGTAAAAAGAGCGGAAAGGGCTTCTACGACTACTAGTTCAACCAGAAATCCGAATAGAAATATCCCATGTCATATTGCTTGTATTTGGAGACGTCGTGATCGTGAAGTGTAATGCACGGGGATTGGGCATGCACTGCAGCTTGCGAATGGGCCCTGAGGGGCTTCAGCGCCATGTCGGTTTCGCAATAGGCGAGTTTAAGAATCACATGTATTCCGAAGGCTAACGTTGTGGCCTATGCGCCAGCATGTTGTTGGAAAATGCGTCTTGGTATATGCTACAATAAATTTCAACACAGCACTGAACGCCATGTCCATGAGATGCTGTTCCCAGTATACACAGATCTTACAGACCAGCCGCTACCATCATCTTACAATTCTCTTCTGCCGCCACTACGACGCTGATGCCTGCGCCGCCTCCTTTGTCCCCTCAAAAGCCTTTTTAATCGCCGGAAGCTCCGCAATACTCTGCCCTCCACCATTGCTAATCTTCAACAGATTCTGCTTGTACGGATGCGCGGTCCCCTCAAATGTCTTCAACCTGGCCAGCCTCTCCTTCCTCAGCCTGTTCTTGGGCAGCATACCACTGACTGCCTTCCTCAAGACCTCTCCACCTCCCCACTTCGCCATCATGCGGTCCATATTGATCTCCTTCAGCGAGCCGGGGCGTGATGTGTGTGTGCGGTAGAGTTTCTGGAAGCGCTTTTTGCCGGTGGTGTGGAGGTTGGCACAGTCAGTGGCCACTACATAGTCACCGCAGTCGGTTGACGGGTCGAAGATCGGCTTGTGCTTGCCCATCAATGTCAAGGCGATGGAGGAGGCGACGCGCCCGAGGGCACGCGGGTCGGAGCCGATGTCGATATGGTGCCATGAGCGGGCATAAGCGAGGCGTGTCTATACATGGGATCAATATGAGTGCTTCTAGGGCATGTTGGACGCCCGTAGGGGCAGTCTGCACGCTGCGTGACATGCGGACCTCCACTGGGGTGAACGTACCTTGCCTACTACTTGAGACATGGTTGTGGAAGTCTATGACCTGGCTGATCTTTCCTCGGACAAGTCACTAGGTAGGAAGCAACTCCTCAACTACTTAATTGGCGCTGACCGAGTGAGTGCGGGCGATGCCGTTTGCTGGGGTATTCGTGAAGTTCAATGCGTTGCGATGCTTGGCACGAAATTGGAAATATCTCTTTCCGGTTAGCGCTTAAGGTTATCAGATTTCGCTGCTCGGTCGGTGTTCCATGTGCGGGCCGAAGACGCATTGCATTTCAAAGCGGACGTGGAGGCAGAAACACGCCGATCACGCAACTTGAACGTACCTGCTACACCAGAGAAGAAGGCAGTATTACAGCATTCACGATGACCGTGCCGGCGTTTGAAACCACATTTGCAGTGCCTATGACCTGCGAGGCTTGCATCAAGGACATCGAAGGGTCCCTCAGCAGCTTGAGTGGTACGAGCGCTCGGTCGAGCCCTATGCACGTCATTCGCCTGACTTGACGCAGGTATCAACAAGATCACCGCTAATCTCAAGGAACAACTTGTCTCGATCGAGGGTACAGCAGCACCATCAGCTATTGTTGATGCTCTGCAAGCAAGCGGGCGAGATGCCATCCTTCGTGGATCCGGAAAGTCGAACAGTGAGAGCCAGTCACAGTATTGGGTAGATTATTATATACTGACCAAATCCAGGCGCCGCTGTCTGTATCCTAGAATCACATGCCGCTCATGTCGAAAACAAGGTACGCGGTCTTGTCCGCATGGTCGAAGTTGCACCTAGCATGACCATTGTCGATCTGAGTATTCGTGGACTGTCGCCGGGTACTTACCACGCCACTGTCCGCGAAGCTGGCGATATCTCAGAAGGCCCAGAGTCGACCGGTGGTATCTGGGAAGCGCTGAACGTCAAGAAGGAGGACAAGCCCTGCCGAGGCATCTTCGGCACTGTCGAGGTAGGAAAAGGCGGCGTTGGCTCTGTCTTCCTAGACAGGCCAATTGAGATCTGGGAGATGATTGGGAGAAGCATCGTCGTCGCGAGGCAGCAGGATGGAAAGGTAGGTGAAACTTCTGTCGTCCGTCATCTAGTGGCTGACGCCTTTGAGTTCGACAAGAACGACCCAGACACATTAGTTGGCGTTATCGCACGAAGTGCTGGCGTGTGGGACAGTAAGTGTTTTCGAGCGTTTTGTTGCGGTCATATGCTAATTCATCTCGTAGACGACAAAACAGTTTGCTCTTGCTCAGGCAAGACAGTATGGCAAGAGAGAGAGGAACAGCGCGATCGCGGCATGTTGTGAGTGCTACGATACTGAATAGATGATAGATGATGCCCAGAATGATAGCAAAGTCAAACATCCATGGCCGAATACCCGTACTTCCCCGTGAATAGCGATCAGCGAGGCTACAGGCATGCTGGCCCCCTATTCGTCACATCACACGAGGCTGACGTGCATACTTCGTACCTCGGACACACGACCAACGCCGCGTTCCGTATGCCTGCACTCAACTCATGGCAGGCTAATAGTAACTCAGCCGGCTCTCGACTGACGCCGAAATAGTGTGGGGGCTAAATATCTACGGCTGCGTATTTTCGATTTTCGTTCTGTTTCTCCTTGTTGTTATCGAGCATGGAGTCTGAGTATACGCCAAACTGCGGACCCATCACCGGACCGATTACTGGTACTGTAACCTACACTTATTCGTATCTCGACTCGGGCTTCAATCCAGCTAAGTCATGTCTCGACGCTACTTACAGTCTGACGCCAGCCGGCTACGATTCAGTCTTCACTTGGGTTAACACGGTCAGTAATTCTACCACATCTGTGGGAGAGATGAGAGTGTACCGAAGAAGGGATCCCGACTGTTTTCCTTCTAAGTATCCAAGAGCATGCGAATGGCGAGGTATCGTCCAGCAGCAGTAAAACCATGTCTATTCGCCCGGCACATGTCTGGCGGCTATGCGTCGGCAACTAGGACTTCCATCGATAAATATGCCACTGCGGTGACTACCTAATGCCACATGCTGTTCAAGGAGCGCCAACTGTCACTTTTCTCCCGATGATGACTAGTAACATCCAGTGGATACGCGCTCAGCATCGTCAGACCAAACATTGGTGAGGCCTTCTCGGGCGATCGCTTATCTTGTACATCCGTTGGTACCTCAATCGCGTTCCAAGACGCAGCAATCACTTTTCCGCCAAACATCTCGACCCTCTAAGCACCTAAGGTCGTCGTCGCTTGGCAGAACACAGACATTGCCCGATGGAAGACTGCAATGTCTACTTCTACTTCGACGGGATCATCTCAAGATCCTGCTTCATCCCAGCTCAGATTCCCCACGGGTGCGAAAACATACATTGGCGTTGGGTGCGCCGGAGCTGCAACAGCCGCTGCTGTTATTCTTCTGCTACCATTTAGGAGTCGAAGTCGCAAGCGCTGAGCCACCAATAACGAGGTTACTGCCACCCATGATGACCGAATGCTGCCAGATAAAAATAATGATCCGCACGCTGAACTAGGGGACGACACGGTCTTGCGGGAGATGACTGGTCATGAGCGGCAACCTGAGGCCGATAGTGTACATGTAAGAGCCGATCTCATGTGATCATTTGAAGATGTACGGCAGGGGGCTCCTTGTCAGACGTTAACACTGAAGGCCACAGGTGGAATGCATTGGACCTGCGTTCGTACTACCCTTGCATGAGGGCACAGCATGCGGGGTCAATGTACCTACATACGTCCAGCCTCTGTCATTCAATTTACTCTCTTTACCTCGGCCTCTTCCTTGTTCAATCGTCATGCCAGCCTCAACTTCCGCGGTTTGCCAACCACTCAGCGACTCAACAACCTACATATACTCCGACCTCGACAATGGCTTCACGCCTCCAACTTCATGTCTGGGTCGCAGCTTTACGTCAGTGCCCGACGGCTACGACCGCTACGCTTCATCTACAGCAGGAACCAAAACGAAGACATACATTTCACTAGATGTTTATCGCGGACGAGATCCAGCTTGCTTCCCACCACGGTTTCCAGCCGCATGTTCATATACAGCCACGTTTACACAAGTTGCGGGACAGCTCTACGGTGACATTCCGGCTCTACCTCAATCGAGCATCGAGGTGACAGGAGTTACATGGTCAGAGACGCACTATGTATACTCACCAGCCACCTGTCCTGAACATTATGCGACCATGAGCATACGAACAGATGCTACTGCCGGGAATGTGACAAGTGCGATCTGCTGTCCAATGTACGTATGGCGACATTACATCTGCGAACGAAGCTAAAACCCTCCAGTAACTATTCACTAGTCTCAAGCACCATATGCCAATCGCATTGCAGCTCAGCCGTCCTCCAGAATACAACGATGATTTTCTCGAGCTCTGTCATGAATCTTTTCGCACCTACTATTAAGGTTGCATGGCATAAATCAGACATGATACGCTGGCGAGATGCACCTGCTACGTCTACTCCTACTGTGCTGGTGCCATCATCTACTTCTAATGCGGACACTGAGGACTCCAGGCCGTCTTCAAATATGGCCATCATTGCTGCCACTGCAGTGGGCTCTATTGCTGCAGTCGCGATAGTAGCTGCCATAGCTCTATTGTTCTGGCGGAGACGAACGAAATGGAGTAGGCTTCCGAAAAATGACGATTCAAGTGCGCACAAAGTCGAGCTGTCAGGTGAGGGCAAAAACCATGCAGAGCTCTCAGATGATATGGGTCTGCATGAATCGGAAGCGCAAGACCGGCCAAAGGAAGTCGCTGAGCAGCGTGCACCTGCCGAACTTGACAGTGGATGGAATGGCTGGGAGGCGCCGGCCTTGCTCGATCTTGACTTCTCAAACTTTGGCACGGATCAAGACGTCGTGGAGAACAGCCCAGCAACGTCAGATTGTGGGAGCAGTGTGCAGCAGACGCCTGTAGAACTGATTGCTAGGCGATAAATAGAAAGAATGAAGATCACTATGCGTCTAGAGATCTCATAACACTCCTGCGCTATCGCGGGCGACCAGAGGTTCAAGGCAACGCGGGCTCTCGCGGGCCGCCGGCAACGACGCTCGTTCACAAATCTGTACAGCCGACATGGTCTACATCAGCATCTCCCAAATACCGATTGTGCGAGTTCTCCCAACCTACAACAGGAACGATAATTTCCAGGTTCAACCTTATTTTGCACAGTAGAGCGTCGCAGGCTCCCGGCTTGGTCTGTGCCTGTTTTGTCAATGCCACTGGCTGAAAGCAAATGACAGAAGGCTTTCTTATTCGATATGGCGCACGAGGCCGACATGTATCGTTTAGGAACGTGACCATAGTATTTACCGATCATCAATGAGACGTGGGGGCGAAAACTTTGGCGGTCAAGCTTGAACTTCACTGCTTCATTTGTCCCCATCTTTGACCATACACACGGCCAAGGTTTTAGACCTCTAAATTTCACGCTCGCCAGCTTCAGTTTCATCCATGAGCTCCAAGCGCAAGTTTCTATCAGTACAGAGAGTCTGCAAATACAGTGGGCTTACACAAAGCTGTCACACGCGATGCCGCGATGCCGCGATGCCGAACGAGCTAGGTAAACCTGGGCAGCCCACATCTAAAGTTCAAGTGGCTATCCTCAATATGTATCTTCGCTCAACAATAATCACTCACTTCCCATCTCATTGGGTACGATAGTTGGGGCTGCCAATTAATGTCAGCGCATCTTGCACGACCACCCGCTATTTACGGCCCGCAAAGGGCCTCCCTGGGTTCACATTTAAGATGACTTGGTCGTGCTGTAATCTAAGGCTCTGAAACTTCGTCTCGCCATGAACCGTCAAAGATGTCGTCGCGACCCACCTCAGCATACTCCTTTTGCCGGGCTGCAGACACTATCACTCGAACTCTGTCCGATCTTGCCGATACTTTCTTTACTCCACCAGCGTCATGTTTAGGTGATGGCTACAGCCAGGCACCATATGGTAATGACACCATGATAAAGTTACCAAAGCCACACCAACGTCAACCGAAACACTTGACTACGTGATAAGAGGCCGCAATCCCTCCTGTTTTCCACCGAACTTTCCAACCAATACCTGTGCTTACAACACTGTCATCTCGTCAAGTACAATTCTCCGCGCGTCGGAGCAGAGTTATATATGTTCACCCGCTCGCTGCCCAGAAAACTATGCAACAGCGAAGAGCTCAGTTGATGAGATGAACACTGACCTAACTCGTGCACTGTGCTGTCCACTGCGAGTCCGCTCCAAAGCACCGACCTGATCAGCACTGCTCAATCGACAGTAATTACGCTACTGATACCTTGAATATTGATGGTTCGATTGCGTGCTGGAAGATACCAGGGTCGGCTGTGACGTACTTCCAAGGCAGCAGCATATCAACATTCTTGCCGTTCAGACTAAACGCACCCAAAATTCAGATTGCATGGCAAAAACCCGATCTGGCTTGATGGAACGCTCCTGCCACGTCTACCCGACTTCTTCAATCTCCGCACCTTCGACCACGCCCTCGATCAATTCATCGCCTTCCGGGCTTTCGACCGGTGCAAAGGCGGGCATTGGTGTTGGAGCTGCTGCGGCTGGGTTACTCTTCATCACTGTCGTCGTCTTCCTGGTCTGGCGACGCCGCAGGAGAGCGCGTGATGTCCACTGCGATCCTCATCATGATGTGGTACCTGGAACACAGCAGACAGGGCCCTCTACCGAAGGGCCCCAATCCCCCTCAATGACATTCTCATATACCACACTTGGCCAATAACAGATTATAAAGCTGATGATCCGCAAGGCTGCGCCCCAACGACCTTATCAGTCAAGTGGTTGGCACAGCCTTAGCTGCACGCCTGTATAAACAAATTACACGCACTTATGTCTGGTACTTGACAGTAGAAAAGAAACAATTTACTACATTTTCTTGAAGGTCTAGACGGTTCACTCCGTAATCTGTGGCTTACAGTGCCGAAATTTCCCATTCGTCGCTGAACATTGAGCTACGCGGACCGGTGCAACATGACTGTCACTGCTAACTATCACTTTTTCCGATTTTCCATTCGCAGCGAGGACGAGGACTGCGAACGATGGATCTCTGACTGGTCACTCCTTCCTAAACATGCGTCTGTCCATCTCACTAGTAGAAATAGCTTTCCTTGCCGACAATGCTGACTGTTACAGCATCTGAGTTCAGCTCTCTGCCGTCAACGGTCACAAATGTCTTCAATGCCGCGCTGAATTCTCAAAAAGGTAGTCTCTCAACTTCTACAACAGTTGGTATCAGCATTGGGGCTACTGTTGCGGGCCTCGTTATAGTAGGGTTGATTATACTTCTCTGGAAAAGAAAGTAAAACACGAACCACTCAAAGTCTCACAACAGCAAAGAGAAGGCCATTATACTGGGTGACGGAAGTTCTGGAATCCTCAGTTCAGATCTTGTCACGCCAGTCGACCGGGGTAGACAGGCTGAGATTCATGGCGAGGATGTGCATGAGGTGCAAGGTGCAAGAGAACCCCAGAAGCCTTATGAAGCCGATCACACTCATACGAGAGCGGAATTGGACAGTGGATGGAGAGGTTGGGAAGCATCCGCGATAGTTGAAGTTGATTTGGCGAGACATCCTCATCATTAAGCAGGGCGGACCCAACCAAACAGATGATGGCTGAGAATTTATATGGCCGAAGTACAAGTCTGGTAATAACGCTACAGAAAATTTAAAAGAGTCGTTAGTAACAGTCAGTGCGCGTGCAATGACTGGAGTAGCAATAAGTGTAGCGTAACAAAAGTCCAATACAGCATGCAAACGTGATGGACCACGCTTTATCGCACGACACATATCCTCCAGGGCCGAGTAGTTCGATAAAAGACGCCAACATGAACTTACATTTTTGTTAACGTATACCAGTCGTGTCCACGACCTGAATATACAGTACGAAACAGCGGTAGATGGTCAATTAGTCCGTCTCATGTTTGCCACTAACACTACGTTCTCCACGACTTGCCAGACAGCCCCTAAGACATACAAGCTCTGTTGATCGGTCTGACCACCAGTGAATACCTGGCCTGTGAGTATCACCTCGATCTGCGAGTACATATCGGCTGAATCGAGCACCAGTCACCGCTGCGACTGGCGAAGCGTGCACAGGGTGGTAGTTGCGCTTGAATGTTGTGGGTATAAACATAGGACATAATACCGCTCGGGTACAATGTCGACTGTCAAAACCGCGTGACACAGCACAGATCTACCACTATGGTTCGGTGGCATACTTTCGACATTCGCCACTTAAACCACAAACAACTCACGCACACCGACCAGTGATCAGCAAGCCCCTGGATCTGGGCTCTCCGTAGGTGCGAAAGTTGGCATCGGAGTAGGAGGTGCTGGGGCTGGGCTCAACAGTGGTGGCTCTTCTTGTTCTTACGCAAAGCTAATACAAGGCATTTCCACTGAGGCCAGATGAAAGAGAGAAGACAGTCGAAAAGGCAGAGCTGGCAGGAGAGGGTAGAAAGTAAGCTGATATCGGATGCGGCAGCTTGCACAAAGCTTAAAAGCAGCAAAAGCGCAGCGAGGTCAATGACTCAAACGTGAGAGCTGAACGGTACAGTAACTGGACAGATCGGGAAGCATCAGCTCTGTTTGAAGTCAAGTTGTTAAGAAACACCATTGGATAGCGGCGCAAGGGGAATGGAAACAATGTCGGAAACAGCAGCGACAGACGCCAGTCGAACTGGTGGTTATTCGAGGCTAACTGAAGTAGACAACACCTACCTCTTCCGAGGATCCTGTTCACAGGGCCTAGCAAAGCATGTGGGCTGCATCGACGTGTAGACTGGAATAATTGTACGTGATCTGCAAAGAGATCAGGATTCTGCATAGGTAAGCCGCAGAGGTTCATCAAAAGTGTGCCGGGATGCCACCACGCTGCACCTGCTCGTACTCGTGGTTAAGGCTTACGATTTCAAAAGTCGTTTACCCACATTGGCCCATCAGATTGTGTACATCATTTTGCGGGCGTGAAAGCAGGTGATTGGTCGGTGACAAGCGGTGTGCTGGTGGCTGTCTTTCGGCCACGCAAGCTTGGTGGAGTTGGTCAGACTAGTCAGAGGCGCGATTCCCCACGTAAATCTTCGATTGTGACGTCTCGTAAGTCGTGTGCAGTGGATAAAGTACGGGGGTGCCAAGGTGTCTGCGGCTCTGTCAGTTTATGAAGTGGTCCTAGAAATGCCGTGTGCGGAACGATGATACCTTGAGATCCAGGCTCAGACAGCTCACGGACTACAGCAAGCCTGAGGACTTCATGCGTTCATGCCCGGTAAAATGAATCTTTTTGTTAAGTGGACAGAAATAAGTTCCGTCACGTGGATGTCTCAGTGGCAGGGTTGCCATGTTACAGACTTCAAACGCTGAAGTCCACATCCGCAAGGGGCGAAGACCGAAAATCCACCGCACCGCTGTGCTGCTGTCATCTGGCGGAGCGGAGGCCTGAGAGCTGAAGGAAGCGCTTCCAGGTGCTGCTAAATTATCGTGAAATCGAATCGCGTTGGTGTCATGGCTCGAATGGGTTGGTGTCAAGTGTCTTGGGAGACTGCCTACGCGCCGTGGATGTCGGCGTTTGTGATGCAGGCCTCCAATCAGCGAGGGGTAACGACGAGTCGGCCAAGATGGACTCCAGACGCGCTGCGACTCAGAATTGGTCTCCCCCACCTGTGCGAGCCTGCAGCCGCCCGCCAAATTCCCACCGTGTCCCTGCATGTCTTGCTGTGCTGCGCTCGAAGCCTTCTTCCCTCTTCTCAGACCCGGACTCTCCCTTAATACTTGCGCCAGCCTTGCTCGTGCAACACCACTATAGCGCCGCCCAGCTCGAACGTACCTCGAGTATAATACGCGAAAGCGCAACACCCACGCTCCCTAATACCGACGTTGCGCATTCTCAAGAGCCTCGGCGGCTACCAGCAATCTGTAGAGAAGACGCTATCCATCTGGTCGCACTCAAGCGGACCGGAACGCTACTCCACCTCAACCGTGGAGTGATAGAAGCGGCAACGATTTGAGGCTTGACGACACCATACTGCCGGGTAACTAGTGGAAAGAAACCTTCGTCATGTCTCTAAAGCAGGTGCGCGCCTTCCTGCTGTGGCTCCAATGCTCCTTCCGAGTCAATGGCTGATTAGTGCGTCAGGAAATCGAGACCTGGGTGGCAGCCCTCGCCAGCTACGACAACAACGAATTCGACGAATCATTGAAAGTTTTCGACTCCATTTCCGACACATCCAAGATCCTGTTCAACTGTGGTGTGATCCATGCTACGCTCGGTGAACATGAGAAGGCGGTTAGTCAAGGACAACAGCCGTGATCAAGCGCACAGGTGCTGACGAGAACAGGTCGATTGTTACCAGCGCGCTGTGCGTCTGGACCAGTATCTTGCTGTCGCATACTTCCAGCAGGGTGTCTCGAACTTCTTGATGGGCGACTTCGAGGAAGCACTGGCCAACTTCAACGACACCCTCCTCTACCTGCGCGGCAACAACAACATCGACTACGAGCAACTAGGCCTTAAGTTTAAACTTTATTCGTGCGAGGTCCTCTTCAATCGTGGTCTTTGCTACATCTACCTGCAGCAAAGAGACGCCGGCCTTCAGGATTTATCGTTTGCAGCCAAGGAGAAGGTTGTGCCAGATCATGACGTTATCGACGAGGCTATTCGGGAGGAGGCTGAGGTGATTATGACTAGCATATTCGCGACTAGATTGAGACTGACAAGTGCTAGGGCTACACCGTGTTCTCCATTCCCGTCGGTATCGTTTACCGTCCTAATGAGGCCAAGGTCAAGAACTTGAAGACAAAGGATTACCTTGGAAAGGCCCGTTTGGTAGCCGCATCAGACCGGAACAATGCATTCACTGGATTCGCCGGAGCCGAGATTAAGAAGATGGGCAACACGGCTACGGATGACAGACCCGAAGAGAAGCTCTCGTTCGCCGCAACCAACCTCGTCAAGCCAGAGCTCCAGAGCAGAGCGCGCCAACAGTCTGAGCCTCCAATGAATCGCAACATGTTCCCACCTACACCTCCACCGGAGGGCGATGGTCGGGGATCTAAGGGCAGCAGCAATGAGCCTATGAGTCGAGCACAGTCTGTACGTGGTGGTGGCCCCAAACCACAACCATTGAACCTTGGAAGAGCTGCATTTGATCAGAACCAGCGGGCCGAAGAGCCGCGTCGTCAACCAACACAGCGCTCGGCATCTGAGCGCCCGCCGCCGAACCGATCTGAGTCCATGCGCAACAAGCCACGCGACAAGCCTCGTCGCCGCGGTTCAGAAGAAGACATCATCGACGACTACAGTGATGATATCTATGACTCGTATCAGTCTCGCTCGAGCCGAAGCCAGTACGGTCGAGGCTCGAAGCAGGGCGGGAACCCCAGACGGCCCGCTTACATCGAAGAAGAGGACGAGGACGACTACGATGGAAGTGATCTGGATGACGCCGAATTCGAGATGATGTCTCGTAATAGCAAGTCACGAAGACGGTCACCCGCACGCTCCACTCGTTCGGGCGGTAGCGGCGGTGCTCGTGGTGTCACTGGTAAGATCCGAGTCAAGGTTCACGGCAACGACACTCGCTACGTCTTCCTCACAGCAGACATGACGATGCGCGAGTTCTCGCAATCCATCAGAGAGAAGTTCGGAATGAGACAGAACTTCAAGGTGGAGATCAAGGATGATGGCGACATGATCACTATGGCCGACCAAGACGACTTAGATATGGCCATCGACACGGCCAAGGAGAACGCCAGGAGGACTGGCGAGTCCCCAAAGATGGAGGTGAGCTATACATCCAAACCACCACATCTTTCACTCTTACTAATAGTCCTCAGGTCTGGGTTCGCGAAGTATAGATCAGAGATACCCCAGCATAATGCAACGCACTATCATGACATGATTTGCGTCCTTATAGGGACGCCACACATTTGGACTTCGATTACCCCTCTTGTACTGGTGACGGCTTGTAGTAGCGATGCATAGCATATTTTTTCGCCCAAACTGTCGACTCCGCTGTAATATTGCGAGCGCTTTGCTTGTCCATTATCATTATCACTCTTTCGCAGCAGGACTGTTGATGATTGGCTCGAAGCACATAATTCACATACCACTCTATATTGTTCTTCTCATGACCTGCAAGCGATCCATACTCATTCGTTGACCTACTTGCCATGTGATCCAGAAATACTGTACATTAGTTCTTCTATAATTATAGCCTAGATACGGCGACTGCAGCGATAGTGCTTTCACACCGCGTCAGCTCGCAGAGCCGCCAGATGCCGGTACGCCCGAGCGCTTACGGGGAATTGCCCCAAGTTAGCCTCACCCACCGCACACTCCAGCCACCCGCCGCGCCGCAAAACCACAGATACGGAGACTGTGCCACACCTCTGCACACGAAACAACCTGCAGCACATCGGAGAGTTCTGGAAGCCTTGCAATCAGACGCGCTGATCCTGGTGCTTCACCTTCCAACATGACCTGTGCCAAGGACGCCTCATCTCATCTCATCGACACGCACTTGAGAAAGGCGTTTTGAGTGGGAAATGATGCTCGAATGAGCGTCGTGCCATCGTACAGGAGGTTTGGACGCGGGGGGAGGATTATGAGCTGGAACTGGTACCTGTTTCAGCGACTCGAGATATCCCAGTCCAGTACATGGGAACGGAGTGTAGGAGATCGGAAAGATCGTGCAAGGTGCGCGAAGCTTCTGTCACGGAGATGATGGGTTGGCGATCGCTGGGCGCGAGAATGATGGTGGAAGGCTTGTCTCGGAGTCGGAGTTGGGAGACGTTTGGGGTTTCGGATAGCAGTGACGTCAGCTTCGTTGCGGACTGCGGTGCTAGAAGCAGTTATCACAAGCATGTACGTATCTGTGCTACCGTGTGAGGCGGGCGCTGCAGGTTTGCAAAAGCGGTTTGTCGCAGATGTGGGTAACTTATGCTGTTGTATACATTTGTTGTACAGCCCTGTCAGATCTTCGAATGGCTCCCTGCCTGTCTGCCTGAACGCCTGCTCCATGCCGTGTTCCTTGTACACCATCCCGTCATCGATCGCCAAACACTACTGCCGCATCTTGGAGGCATCGATCACCGGGGCGACCTGTTCGCTTCTCTCATCGTTCCTTCGTTCACAACATCGATTCATCGCTTACGCAGGAAGGAGAATCTCGGCCCAGCTGCTGTGCAGGAATGTAACACCAATCTGGACAAAGTGTCAGCGTATGCTTTCGGTCTCTATCGGTGCGCGCCGGTCATTGCGATCGTGTGAAGCCGGCGCATATGCGCTTAATCGGCTCCGCATCCCGCATATTTATCTCATCATCTTCGTCTGGATATGAGGTAGGCTTACAGCGAAGAGGCCAATTGCTGTGATAACACTCCTGTTCTCCGCGCTTGTGAGGCCCTGGATGGTGCTTTGCGCAAAGCTGGGCTCGGCGCGACCGCCTTTTCCGTTGAGCTGCTTGGGTGCCATTCTAATGTACTATTAGGGTATCTGAGCTTATTGTTAGTGTTGTGGAACATCACAGACCATCATAAGGGCGACATACTTGAATGTTCGTCGTGATGGGAGATGCGCTGGTAGTGTTGACGTCGCTGCGCCGCTGAAAGTTTTGGGAAGGTGTCGGCAGCTTGGAGAGCTCTTTGCCGATGACCTACGTCACATGACAGGCTTGCCGCAAGTCTCCCAATTCTATGCACGATGCTTCACTCTTATGTGCTACTGTTCGCACACAGTCTGATCAACTTTACAACGACAACATATTTTCTCTCGAAAGCTCCACAATGCTTGAGGCTGGGTCCCGCCAAACCATCCCAAAGAAGCAGGGAAATGCCATATAATCAAGACAAGTGCAGGATACATTTTAGGGTGAACCTTATGACTATATGTAGATTGTCTTATACCTATAGGTCTGAACATACATTCCGCGAGTGGCACAATTTATCCTGCGCTACTAGCCCTTAGACACGATCAACACCAGCAATGCAATCCCATATTCATGCCACCTTTTGAGACCTAGCAGTCTCTTGCAAATGCACCATCCGGGCTAGCACCCGGATCAAAAAGCATGAACATGGACGCGGCGTAACAGGCAAGCTCCTGGGGCCGGTCCTCCTGAAAGGGGGTAATCTTTAGAGAAGCGAAAATAAACAAAATGATGCATGTGTGACAATTGTGATCTGGGAATCGTACGAAAATCTTTTGAAATCTGAGCCAAGAGCCGAAGTCGTCGGGGAAGGGATGCCACGCTTTCAAAGAGTGGGTTGGAGTCGTGGTTGGGAAGCTGTCAGGACGCTGATGCTGAGGCTAATGAGTACGACTGCGAGTCAAAGGATATTGCAAGCGCTGCCAGAGGCCCTGAAAAGGTGTCAGTGTTAGTGTTTCAAAGACGTCTAAAAAGGTCGATTCGTTCCGAGAGAGAATCCTGAGAAGTAGGGTTGATTCGCAATGGTCTATCGCCATCTTGACAAGCACATTGAGAACGACTACGATCAGCCACGATGTTTCACACGGCCGCCTCGGACAAGTCTCCGGTTAGGAGCCGTTGTTGCGTCTCGTAGTCACAAGTGTAGAGCGGTCTTGATATGGGGACGTCGAAGGAAATTGTAAAAGTACTTACCATCGCTGACCACGTATCCTTCCAATCCACGAGTAGACGACCTTTAGGCGTTCACGGACGTGTGTCGTCCGCAGAAGCACATACTTCTCTTCTTCTAAGACCGGAACGACTGAAGCGAACCAGTATGGAAACAGGGCGGGGTCTTCCGGCGGTTCTCCATAAACCTGAATGATGCGATCGCGAAGCCAAGGAGCACTGGCTTCCCTCATTTCTCGAACGAATGCTGTACATGTGTCGAGAAGCTGTTGTGTAGACAAAGACTCGACAGCAATGTCAGTAGGGAGCTGAGTCTGTGGGTCCTCACGAAAGTGTGATTCTGCGAGATCTCTGGCCATGGTTGTCTCGCGCTGCTCGAGTGCAGCCTCTTCAGCTAGGGACACATCCTCGACCCGCTCAACACTAGCAACGTTGTACCCATCAAGCATGCCGTGGGCACGAACCTTGAAACGACCGATACCTCGAGTTTCCACGAAGCTGCGACCATCACGAAGAAGCTCGTAGTTGACGATTTCGAGCATGGTACCGTACTTCAAGAACGGCACCGAACCCAAGGAGCCTTGGGATGAGGTAGTACGGTTGTACATGACCATACCAAATTGCCTGTTGCCTTCCAAGACTCGCCTCATCATCAGACGGTAACGAGGTTCGAAGACATGGAGGAAGGTGGGCATTGCAGGCATCGCCAACGTGCAGATGAACAGAGGTGTGCTCATAACATCGTTACCGGCTTGCTCCTCAGCTTTTACGGCCTCGGCGCGGGAAGCCACAAGATCCGGGCAAAGTCCGTTGAGAAGGGAGTTTAGGATAGCATTGCTGCACTGCTTTGTCCGTAGCGACGCAGAGATATGTAAATCCCGTCGGCAAAATGGGCAGATGTTGCTGTGATCCATGACGCGGGCGAGGCAGCGACGACAGAATGTATGACCACAGGTGGTCGTCGTTGGTTCCAGCATCATGTTGTAACAGACGAGGCAGTCCAACTCCTGATAAGTTACTTCTCGCAGACGTTCGACGAGTTCTACGTCCATATGCTCGTGATCGTCGTCCGCCGACGTGGTTGAGTATTCGACCTCAGAACTGTACCGAAGCTTGCCCATCTCGGCCATGTCGTATGTTGAAACCAGACGGCCACCATGCAGCACTTCCTGGCTGCCCTGTTCGCTGGAATGGTCCTTCTCTTTCTCATTGTTGACTTCTTCCGCCGAATCACGTCGCAGTATCTCCTGGAGCAGGATAGACGAATGTTTCGAAGATGGCCTGTGCTGCGCTATCTCTTGTGCGACCAGCTCCATCAGCTTAGTCAACGTCACATCCACCGAGCACTCGGCGGCTGCATGCTCCGCCCCGCATCCTATCAGTGGGCACACAATTCCCATCAAACGATCCGGAGTGTTGGGATAGGATATGTTTGTTCGAGGTTGGGGCTCCGGAAGACATCCCCGGCAGACCGTATGTGAACATGGCAATGTTACAGGGCTTTTGAGTGGGTGGGAGCAGCTGGGACACTGTACAAGGCGGACCAGTTGTCGAGCATCGCGGTGGGCGGCCAGGGCATCTACCACCTGCGCCTCTGTTGCGAGGCCATCGTTGACCATAAAGACCTGCGGCGGTACCCGCTGTTCGAAGGAATGCTCGACGTCGTTGACGAGAGAGCACCCTTTCTCCCTTGGGCAATTCATACGAAACCAATTTATTGTGTAATGGCAAAGACGGCCATGTACTGGTTCAGGCCTGGGTAAATGGGACTGAAAGTAGAAATGGGCGGTCGCGTGAGGTAGCGGTCGAGGCGGGAAGACGGGTGGCAGCAACGGCTTAGCTGGCTTGGGAGAAACGAGTACAAGTAAGTATTATAAATGCCGGTAGGTATGTCGTGAATTTAGTGTACAGTTGAGTGGAACAGTCCAGTGTGGCGAGTTGCGGACTCCAGAACTTGTGCGGCTGGCGGTCGAGCCTGAGGTGACCGTGCTGAGCGGAGAACAGGAATTGGCGGGATGAACCAAGGAGTAGTCGAAAGCGCCGGATGCTGACGCGATCAAATGCTTTAAACGGTCCAGGATGGCAGAGGCGAGGCTGAATAGTGGTCTGCTAATTACTCACGACGGTAGGCATAGAAGAAAGTGCCAGGTCAAGTACGAGCCCGGGTCAGAGAGAGAACAGAAGTCATGACCTAACATGGTGGATGAGTGCATAGATAGACCCTAGCCAGAGATCGGCGATGGTGTTTTGCCAGGTTCAGTCAAGAACGGTCACTCCCGATCAATAGGGAATAATGCCCTTCAGCGGGATCGATGAAAGTGCCCGCCATCAACACCCCACCACTTGCGACTGGCCTGTGCGCATTCGCAAACAAGCCAATATCAAGATGGCCAGTGCGCTTCTTTGAAATATGTGGAGGATTTGCCATTTCTGCGTCTTCGTCCGCAGCCCCCATCATGACTGCGGATTCCGAGGAAGGGGTCAGCCGTGGGAGACTATCCCCGCTCCATACCTGGTCAAGCACCGGCGAAACCTTTACTTAGAGTCGTGTGCGTATGCATTTTTATGACCAGCACACGTTGAAACGGCGCCAAGCCAAGACCATTCGTTCATGTGCACCTCCATGCGCGCTGCGCGTTGACTCCTCGGTCTAAGCACTGATTGCAGTACATGCGGCGAAAGATACGACGGTCTCTCGCCCTTGTCTTGCAGTCGAAAGGCTATCAAACACTGAGCGCGCACGCTTTCGAGCATCGATGACGAGTCGACTCAATGGGTGCAACAACCAATCAGGGCCTAGCTTGTGAGCTGTCATCCGCCATCCATGTGCCACATTCGCACCGGGACCATGGCTCGCGACTGCCGAAGACCCTGTCCACTGCCTGTCGTTGACGACTGCATTTCTAGTGGGGCTGATTTTGCGAACGCCTGCTCGTTCTCTACCGCATTTACAGAAAGCCAGCCACCTTCGCCGCACACTGGCGCAACACTTTTCCCAAATAGTAAGTACAACAAAGACAAACGTACGACACGAAAGCAAAATCGTTCTTTCGTATCGCCCCAAATCATGAATATCGCCCCTCGCGTGGTATTCCCGAACCGAAGCAAAGCCCGTATCTGGGGTCCATTCCTTAGCGCCCAAATAGGTACCGTGGAATTCCCCACGCAAGTTTAACCATTGGACCTAGTCTTGGTGTGCCTCGTCCGTTGTCGAAAATGCATACAATGAAATGCCTGTTGTGCGCCTTGCACGCCAAGAAACCAGGCTCGGTATCGAATGCCGTCGCAAATGTCATGAGCTCTTTACAGTGCCGACTGTACCAAAAGACTGTTCGTCCGACTCAGAATTCGAGTCACTACTTTCCTCGCTCTCTTCGTCCTCTTCCTCGAGCACAACCTGCTCCAATACTCGTTTGTCAAACAGGTCCAATACAAAACGACACGCTGGCAGGCGGAAGTGATGTGCTTCCAGTACCTGCATAACCTTTCGGAAGATAGATGGCTTGCTGAACCCAGACGCTTTCTTAGCTTTGATACTATCGCAATGTCAGCTGAGAGGCATCCCCTGTCGTGAGCAATGCTTACGCTTGAAGGTCGTTTGCAGCTCGCTTGGCAAGAACAGTATTGCCAAGGTCAGTTGCAAGCTTAAGAATGCGAGCATTGATCGGATCGCTGTCCGTGATAGCCACTGTGACTTCCTTCTTACGCCTGAAAACAACGTCTTCGGACTTGGCTGCCCAAGGTTTTATCTGCACATGATTAGCGGTGGCTTAGACCGTAAGCTGAAATACATACCTCAAACAGCTTCCCGAAGTTTAGAGGCAAGCAAAACCCGAGTGCTTGCCCAGAGTCGCTGACTACACCATCCCACCCATATTCAAGCAGGATCTCCTGGCCGTGCAAGCTTCTTGATATCAGGCCAAGGACATAGAACGCTGTGCCTCTGAGGGACATGACCTCGGAGGTCTCTGCGATTTGTACGATCCACTTGACCACGTCCGAGTTTTCCAGGAAAGGGGCACCAAGTTCCATAGACCCGACATTCCCTACTGCCCACAGACATCCCTTGACCTTAAGGATAATCTCTGGATCGTTGTTCTCTGTTGCAAAGTCGCGGATATTGGCAGCAAACTCCTCAAAGTGCCCTTTTTGCTTCAGCAACTTACAGCCTTCCTTCGTCCGGGTAAGTTCTCGATAGAAGTGTGCTGGCACAAGACCATACTCGGGCTGCTCCGAAGGTTCGTCGTACGACAACAGTGATGACGGCTTATCAGGGATGTCGGCCAGGGCGCGGGCCATAGTAGCTTCGATCTGTACCACGTAGGCATCGTTCCTCCCCAAAAACCAGTCATCCATCTCTTTGGTGATGTAATCCAGGCCGTCCAAATAATGGTACCCCACTGATGTGGACAAGAATCGAAGCAACAAAGGTGCACCAATTTCACCCAAATGATCCAACGCGGGCCGGCACTTGACCACAAACTCCAGTGACTCGGTCTCGTTACACGCAGTTTCTAAGATTCTGATCGCAACCTCGCAGACCTCGACATCCGGATCATAAAGCTGTGTCACGAGCAACTTAATAGCCCACTCTGCAACTCCCTGCGCGCCTGATAGTTGCATCGATTTTGTCGCATATTTGTGCAATAGACCAGTCGCAAAGATACGGATCTCTTTGGAACATGATGTCATGGCTTTCGATATGATGATGCGCAGATGGCCGTCGAGTGTGTAATCCATATTGCTGAGAAGAGCCCGGATAAGATCGTCGCGGCCATTCAGTTCGATAATGTGGTAAAACATATTGACGACCCTCCATCTTTCCAGGATTTGGATGCCTCGAGAGTCCTTACTCAATGCACCTAAAAGTGAAAAGTAGCTTCCAGTAAGAGTCTCACTCATGCGGTCCGCCTGGAAGAGTGGTGAGTCGGACGTCAAGCCGCTCATCCTGTCGAAGTGGGATAAGCTCTCTGCCAGCTGTCGAATGAGCTTGCTCTCACTAAGGTACTTGACGCCCTCAGGGTTCTGTAATAGACTGGTCATCAGCGCGCATCCTGCACGGACATAACGCTGGTTTGGTTTGGTGTTCTTCACATCAGCAAAGCGAAATTTGAATGGACGATAGAAGTTGAACAGCCGATGTACAAACTTCGTGACTTTCAATGCCTCATCCAGACGTTTGGGGTTGAGCAAGGGACCATCGATGGCAGTCTGAATCAAGTTCCAATTCCATTTCTGGAAGTTGGTGGTATTCAGGACTTGACTTTCAAGGATCAGAGTGCGAAATTGGCCCTCATCCATGGACATGGCGGCCTGAGCCTTGGACTGATCTGTCGGTCGTTCGGACGTCGTGCTGTCAACTGGGGCGGCATATTTACTAGTGTGAAGAGATGCTTGTGCTGACCGGTACAGGGTGCGATTGACGCTGTCCACTTGATAGATCGTGCCGATCGCCACAAAACGGTCTTCTGAGTTGAACTCTGCAGCCGATTTCAATAGCTGAGGAAGCACCTGGAGCTGTGCGCTCCAAAATGGAGGCAATAGATCATTTGCCAGTTTCAGAACCTCGCCGAGGAGCAATGTCGTCTTGCGCTTCAGCTGTAGGGTCAAGGGATCCTCTTCGGCGCGTAGAAGAGCCGGTACCAGCCCGGCGTGTAGAAAAGCGGCCAGAACTACTGAAATGTAATGATCAATAAGGCTCCATTTGTTGGTAGAGGTCCCAGTCTTGGTGTTCGAATGATCTTTGCCAGGCTCATTGCGCATGTTCGTAACACGGCCATAGGTCGTTAGACGTCGTCCGGCGAGGAAAGAGGAAGACCACGACGGTGATTTGATCCTGAAAAGATCGAACAAGAGCTCTAAGATGATGTTGCGCATATGGACAGTGGGTATCTGCAGTGATAGCAGTAAGGATCGCAGAGGAAGGAAATCGTTCATACAGAGGGCTAGCAGACCAGACCAGCTCCTGAGTAGGGAAGCGATGACTTTGGCGTTCGTTTTAAGCTTCTCTTCGTGTAAGTGCCCGTGCAGGGTACCTCCATCAGTGAACATTGCGAACGGTGTCTCAAGTTCTCGACCTGAGCGTAGAAACTGCCTTCGGCGTGGCGTGTCGAGAAGGTATAGTAAAGAAGAGCCAACGCTTTCAGCAGCGTGATAGTTGCCTTCGCCCAGCGCATCGGTAAGTACTCCCAGACCTCCAGCGCCAACTAGAAGGGACGGCTTCCTGACAAGGATCTCGGCGAGCGTCAATGTCGCGATGTTTCGTAGTCTGTCTTCGGTGTGTTCAGCCACTGCTACTATGATCCGCACAACAGCTCGTCCAATCTCTTCAACACCGTCCTTGACATCCAAGAAGGCTCGCACAAACTTCAGCGCTTGTTCGCGCTCAACGCTAGCTTTGCTTTCCTTAACAAGGGACAGAATAACCAAGTAGTCGGTTTGCAACCCTCGGATGACCTGGAGAGATTTCCTATCGGTAAACGCATACCGCATGACTCGATACGCAGCTGCAACGACTTCTCGGCTGTCACTAAGGAGCATCATCTGCATCCTGAGACCGAATATGGACCAAGCCAAATCGTACTTGAGTGTAGTATGTCGCTTGAGTAAAAGGACGAGAGAATTGGCCCGCTCGACATAGTATTCAGGCTGCATGCCCGTCACTTCCAACGCCTGCAATATTTCTGCGAGTACAAAGGTTGGCGATTCGGTTTCTTCATCCTCGTCTTCGTCCTGCTTGGAAACGTGGCGTGACGGCGAACGCGAGAGATTGCGTCGAAACAGGAACGAGAGCCGGCTTTGTGGATCTGCTGGTGGTGACTTCACGTCCTTCGCGCGCTGTATCTCGATTGCCAGGCCTGCCTTGAGCTGCGCAAGCTTCTTGTTTGATAAATTCAGCTGTTCCTCAACCTGTGCCCTCTGATCCTTGACGTTCTTTGCACTCTTTGCATTTAAAGCTTCCAATAAGTTCTCAGATCCAATCTTGATTTTCGTTTCCTTGTCGATTTGATCTTGCAAGTCGGCCTGTCGCTGCTCGCTAGTTGTGTTGTCGTTATCACCCACTGTAATAGCATGCATATCAATGTCCGGGCGCAACCTGCTATCCTGTGATGTCGTGGGCTTTAGCTGCGTACTGAAGCTCCCCGGTCCAGAATGCGCGGTCGCATAAGACGACTGACCCCCGCGCGAGCTCGCCATGACACTGACGGTAGCGGCAGACATGGAGCGGCCATCTCTGGTTCGTGTGGGTGCGAGCAGTGAGCCGCCTTGGTCGGTCGAGGGCACGTCGGCCTGAGGGTTCACGGAGCGCACGGGTGGCGTCATTCAGAAGGCCGTGTCCACGGGTCTGTCAACCGCATCGCATGTCGTTGTTACGGCGGCGCCCTCCTCTTGCCTCAGAAGCCGTGGTGGTTGTGTTCAATCAGTGTATTGTGCGGTACCAGACCGAACGCTTCGAGCGGGGTTGTGGCTGTGGCCTGGGTTTTGAGGGAAGGAGCGGCGCACCACCTGGGAAGGCGCGTGGATGCAAACAAGGGAGCGTAGAGGGTAAAGACACGGAGAACGAATGCAAGTCAACCGGACTCAAATGTTCGCGTGTCCATTGACAACCCCAGCACATCACGGCCAATGTTCGAAGCAACCGCGTCGTGGGCCCGTGCTGCGGTCTCCACCATCGCCACTGCTTCGAGTCTTATCGGTTTTGCGGCGCGTTCATTATTCACGACGACTCCATGCTGGCGTGATGCCGCACCGGAGATCGGCCACCGTCGAACTTGAGCTTCTTGAACTTTTTCCTTTCGACGAGACCCACTGGCGGAGCTGGGCGTAAAAACAGTCACGTGTCGTTGGCTTCCACCCTGAGAGCATCGGAGCTCGCCGATGAGCTTCTCAACCAATGCGAGTGAACTTACGCCGCCCTCTGTCGCTCACTCAAACCTTGTTGACGATCCGTGTTTGTGGAAAGCAGCGTGTTCGCAGCTCGGCCGCCTCCGCTTGATAGTGCTCCGATAACCTTGCGTCTCGGGCGCTATAACTATCGTCACCACCCAGCGGTCGTAGTTCTAAGCATCCACCCCTCAGTCTTTAATTGACCCCAGTAGCTTGCCTTCTTGCTAGTCACGCTTCGTGTTCTATCCAAACTCAATCACGATGTCTCAACTTAGCTATGCCCGCTACGGAAAGGACAACGTCCGCCTTTACAAGGTTGATAAGGACCCCAAGACCGGCATTCACACTGTTGTAGAGCAGACCGTCCGCATTCTGCTCGAGGGAGATATCGAGACCTCGTAAGCTACTCTGATAGCTCCAGCGAAAGCGGCCACTGATCTCTGATAGCTACACCAAGGCAGACAACTCGGTTGTTGTTGCAACAGACACCCAGAAGCAGACCACCTACATCCTCGCCAAGCAGAACCCCATCGATCCTCCTGAGCAGTTCGCCGCAATCATTGGCGACCACTTTGTCAACACCTACCCTCATATCCACGCCGCACACATTAAAATCATCCAGCACCGATGGACTCGCATGGAGATCGACGGCAAGCCTCACCCACACTCCTTCTACCGCGACGGTGACGAGATCCGTGTTGTCGAGGCAGTCACAAGGGAGGGACAAGGCTCATCTATCCGCTCGAAGATCGAGAAGCTCCTTGTACTCAAGAGCACCGGTTCTGCTTTCCACGGCTTCCACCGCGACGAGTACACACGCCTGCCCGAGACCTGGGACCGCATACTTAGCACGGAGATCGAAGCCGGCTGGCAATGGAAGCTCTTCAAGACGCTAGAGGAGGTTAAGGCTATCGACTTCAACGGTGCTTGGAAGGCTGCCAGGGATATCACGATGAAGATCTTCGCCGAGGATGACAGCGCCAGTGTTCAAGCCACCATGTACAAGATGGCCGACACAATCTTGGCCACGGTCCCCCAGATCGAGGCAGTCGACTACGCTCTGCCCAACAAGCACTACTTTGAGATTGGTGAGTTATTCTTAGTCAAGAGACCACGATTTTACACTGACATACTGCAGACCTCTCTTGGCACAAGGATATCAAGAACACTGGCAAGGACGCGACCGTTCTCGCTCCCCAATCCGACCCTAACGGCCTGATCCATTGCACAGTCACTCGCAAGGGCACCAAGTCCAAGCTATAGACGCACACATCTCCTTCGATTCGTTCATATTCTTACTGGCTTCTTGTACATAGCATCGGCGTTTCGTGTGCTTTTAAAGGGGTGATCGGATAGTGAGAGTAGAACATTATACCATATGGACTGAGTCCAGGAGACGAGCGAGAGTAGAAACATGTCACGGCGTTGGCCTGGGAAATGCAAAGCTAATGCTAATAGCGACTGTGCCACTATCGTGACAATCGACAACTGTCCACTCGTTCATCAGTTTGCTGGCAGTAATGACGGCTCACTAAGTCGTTATCTTACCCAACAGGATGTTATCTGCTAAGCACGAGGCCCTTGCTGGGGTAGCTAGCGGCATAGTAGTGGTGTTGCCGTCGCTGCAACTGATACAGTCCATTCGTGCAATCAAGGTCTTCGCACAGGGAACCCAGAAAGCATTGGTGGAATTTCAACGACCTACGGGATCTCTAGAGCATCTCGAAATACTACTTGAAGATGTACGGCAACTGATAGAACGACAAACAACTGTCCAACAAGCTACCGACTCCTGCAACCTGAGTCTTCTGCGCCGTCTCAAGGGCTGCGACAAAAGCTCTAGGCCATTGCAAATTGTTGTTGAGCGAAGCCATGAGGCAAGTTCACATAGTCATTTCCTCAAGGCTAAACTGAGACGCGACTTCAGCTTCGGCCAGAAGTCTGTGGACATCGCCGAGTTAGAACGTACGGTCGATCGTGAGACTGACCGTCTCAGCCTTCTTTGATCATCAATAGTATCAATGTTCATTTGAGAGCCGATCGGAGTCACGCATACAGACTGGCAGGTAGAAGACTCTCATCAGTGCATTACAACCGATACAGTGCACCACATGCTTCGATACAACTATCGCGGAGAATATCACTATGTTCCACAGAAGACCTTCATCAACGGTCACCTTGCTCTGCAATTATAATTTTAGGCCATCGTAATTTGGAAGTCTCCATGAAGTCTGTTGGGTTCAATCTCTCGAAGCGAAAGGAGTATATACTCGACCATGCGGACACACCCTGGTCTCTTCTGACCGAATGACCGACCGCCTTGACGCTTAATGCGCTACCCCGGCATGTGTGGACTCGGCCGTCTTGCGAGGTCTACTGGGAATTCCCGTATGAGAGCCGAGCAAAAGATGGTATCGTACTAAATGGGATCTCTGCTTCTCACGACAAATGACAACAAGGTACGCAAAGAAGCTGCGAGACTGGCACGACCACGATCTCGAAGCAGGACGTCAGATTTCTGGGTTGCTTGAGTGGTCTTCTTAAGCCTTGCCACGGTTCATGTAGAAGTGATTGTACCATTTGTACCATCGCGACATCGGTGACATTCCTTATGAAACTTGTATCTCTCAACAGATAACGGTAATGAGAGATTGAACTCTGCTAAGTAAGAAGTTGCACAATGAGGCAGGTAGGCAGGAGGCCGCCACCTCGTCCCAGTTCTGCCTGCCGGCGAGGGGCCTGGAGAACAACAGACCATAAAGCAACCTTTTCCGAACTCTGAACTCTATCAATATTCTCTTTATCCAGCTCTGGATCCATATTCTCAGTGCTCTCATCCTCATCATCGCACCAAAGCTTTGCTCAATATGTCTGTTACCATTACCACAGCCGGTCATGCAGCCGGCTTATGTATGGCAAACAGCCGAGGCTGCAACTTCCTCAGATCTTTTCAGGAGCGCAGCCTCCAGCGAATTTCTGCAAGCAGATAATCCAGAGCTCGTTTTCCGAGAAGGACCTACAGGATACACACACATCGCCATCGCGCAACGGGCTTGTGTATGCGGCTTACCACGCATACAGTCATCATCACCATCTAACAATCTGCCCTGAGGATGTCTGGTTCTCGGTCCTCTCACAGCTGAACTTCTACATCAATGCGCACGCAGAAGAACTGCGCGACTATTTCATTGCACACAAAGCGCAGAAGAAGCTCACGGTCTATACTATCGGTACCATTCACACTGTCGACTTCGGTCTGCTCGCAAGATACATGACCAAAGAGATCCAAAACAATGCCAAGGACCCCGATCTGCAGGAGTGGATCATGCCTGACTTCACCACTACCACGGACAGTGACCGAGCGGTGGCTGCGGTACTGATGATGGGTGCAATGCAAAAGTACTTCTCGTGTGAAATGGCACCGTTGTGCGGCATACCATCTGTAACTCTGTTGGGCGAGCGAGCAGACTGGGAGAAGATACATAACAGGCTGAACAAATTGTCCAAGTTTGGCGATGAGCTCACCAAACTGACTCTGGTAATGAGCATGCCGGCTACCGAAACCCAGACCAAAAGCCGCCGTAGGGAACGGAAGGAGCAGGGCTGGACTCACTGCAGCCGGCTACCGGATGGATCATGTATGAGGTCAAGGAGTGATCGATGGAGCCCTCCTGGTCCTTCCCAAAGTCCATTCCTATTCGTCCTGATTGAAAGTCGACCTCCATAGAAAATTGTAAACTTGTTTCATGCACCCCAGAAGACAACTATCTGCTCTGATCTGCAATAAATGCAATGCCTACAACATAGCAAGAGAAGCAAAGTGGAATGATAATATGTTTTCTTCTACCTATAACGAGCCTCGTGTGCTCTCCACGAGCCCTCGCAAGCCTGCCTGACGTGCTCATAGTCCACATCAGCGGCACCCATCCATTATATACAAGTTACTCGGTCGGTGTCAACACCGAAGATAGCAGAAAATATGACCAAAAAAAGAAAAGAAGACGCAATAGAATCGTGTCCGGACATAGGAACGCCGTACCCGTGATATATGCAACAAGAACAAAGAAAAAAGGTACAAAACATTCCGCCCAGAAGTATGCATAACAGCGCTCAAACGCACGACAAATAGCACTATCAACACATCTCATCCCCCCGTCACGTGGGCTTGGGGACTTTACTTGAACATCCACTGGCAGTGGCACGAATCGCTCGGATCCGTCCGGCGCTCCAGACTGCGCTTGCTCTGCGCTGTCGCCGAGTTGGTCGCGAAGTACTCTGCATAGCTCGGATCCTGCTCCTGCAGCCACAGCGCAACAGCGGGATCATTGCCATTAGGTGCTGGCGCGATTTTGCCGTCGTCCAGCAGCACCATGCGTTGACAGTAAGGCTGCGGCGAGTCTGGCAGCCGGCGCTCTTCGATCTTGACAATGCGCGGGTAGGGCGGGATGCGCGATGAGGCTGCTGCTGCGTCTGCGGCGGCGTCGCGGCGGGTGATGGCGGACGATGTTGGGATGACTTCTGCAGCGGCAGTGGGTGAGGTCTGTGGTGTGCTTGTTTGCGTGAGAGTTGCAGCGGCAACTGTTGAGCTGTATGATGCGGAGGAGCTGGGTAGGTTCGTTGTGTACAGTGTAGGTAGTGCGGCGAAGGTTGCTGCTGTCGAGTTGTCTTCGGCGTATATGTAGCCTTCGATGTATGTCTGGTTCCAGTAGCAGTACCATGGGTAGTCTCCAGGCTGAACAGTGAATCGTTGACGAGATGGCGGGTCATCTGTGAGCTGGCGCTTCTTCAGAGCTGAGCCAGCAGTCAGCTCCTCAGGTCTGAGCACGACCAGCTTGTCGTATCTGGTAGAGAAGTGGAAAGCCGGGCCAAGTGACTGGAAATCAAGATCGCGCACGAGTTGCATTGGTTCCAGGTCAAGTTGAGGAGTCTGCGCGCCATACTGGATGATGCCATTTGGAACCCCGTTCCCTCCACGAGTGGATGCTCTTTGCTGCTGGTGGCCGTTCGAATCGATGCCAGTATCGTTAATGGTAATGATGATGGGTGCAAAGGTGATCTTGCAAGACCACGCCGAGTACTCGTTGGCTTGGACCAGACAGCCCGGATTGGCCTCTTGTGGGAAACCAAGGGGGAGTGCGAAAGTACCGGTTGGTAGTGGTGAGAGATCAGAAGGAATCGAGATAGGTGTAGCCCCAAAGAGGGACCCACTTGAATAGGCTCCTGTGACTTGTGGTTGCCTACGATGGTTAATATTATCATTAAGGGTCGCATGGCAGACTTACGGTTCCTCTTCAGGCTTGCCGCCGTGCCCTTTATTGTCCTTTCCACTGTGCTTCTTCGCAGCGAATGTACCAATTGCCGCTCCAAGAGCAACAGCAAAGACTAATAACAACACAAGAACTACAACAGCGACACCCATAGGAATCTTTCCGAATAACCGCTTCTTGCGCCAACTCGTCTTGGTCGACTCTGGATCGCCCTTCTCATTGTACTTCTCATCGAATTCGGACTCTGAGGACAGAAGCGACGCTGAGGATGAATCTGAAGGTGCAGCTGGGACAGTGTTGGCAGAAGACACAAGAGCCAGATGGCCTGTTTGCGTTTCTGGTCTCTGTGGCGGCAGACGAGCAGGTGTGATAGGAGGTAGCAAGGGCTCCGTGGCAGCAGACGGGGCATGCGCTGAGTGAGATGTCTCGCTAATGGGTGACACTGGTGATGCAGGAGCGGTGGCAGGATCCTCAGGTTCCATGGCAAGGTTCAGAGGAGCGGGAATGATGCGGGATGCGCTTGCCTCCGCAGCCATGGAGGCCTTCGTGGGTCCTTCATCAGGGTATCTGGAGTAGGGAGGTAGCTGCTCGGTGTGTCCGTCTGGCCCAATGATGTCCTGCTCTTCGCCGTCCGGTCCTAGCACGCGGTGGTAGCCGTTGTTCAGTCCTGGAAATCCAACGGGCATGGCCGTCTGAATGGGAGGCAATGCCGGCGGAATCACCTGCATGGCCTGAATCGGCGTCTCGTCGTCCAGTCCGCTTTGCGAGTACATGGCGTATGGATGCGCTGGTCGCTGTATTGACATGGGTCGATCTTGTCTCACGGTAGAGGTCGTTGCGATGCTGTTGGAGCGGCCCATGGTGTGCTGCGGGTACATGCCGTACGGGTGGCTCGGCCCGGTCTCAAGGGGATTATCTGTGTTGCTGGTCGTCGCAAACGAGGCAGTAGAGCTGACCGAGTCGCGGTTTTGCAGATTGGACTGGGTAAGGGGCGGTCGATTGCTCAAGCCCGGGGGGCGGCTGTCCGCTATCATGGAGTTGCGCAGCTTGGCGGTGCTGTTTCTCGTCGCAGTGCGTCGAAGATCGTCTCCCGCGTTCCCTGGGGCCTTTGACGTCGAGTACTGGCGCTGCGGCGTCTCGCTGTGGTCGCTGTCCTGGGGGTGGCCATTTCGCGGCTCCTCTGCGTTGGCGTGCGTCTGGCGGAACCCGAGCCCGTCCGAAACCATAAAGTCGTTCTCATCGAAGTCAATCTCGAAGTCGTCGTCGAAGACATTGGGAACGCTCTCCCGTCGCGAGAACGTGCTGTCGTGGCTGTTGCGTCGCTCCATGGCGCGGTGCGGTCCCTGAGCCGGGCGGCCGTATCTCCCCCTTCCAAGCCTCGATCCGGCGTCGCGAGATGTTCCACGTGATGTGCGTCGAATCAATGCGCGTCCGGCGGCGGGCGTGGGCGCGGTGGGCAGCGATGTCGGGGTCGTGTAGAGAGTCGTGGTGTTGGGTGTGTGGAGCGCTGAACCTGTTCTGAGACGAGCGTCGAGACGGGCGATGGGCGGCCACGGCAAGTCCCATGCCAAACCAGCCGCTAGTCCCAGAGACAGTCGCCTCCGTTTCACACCGACCACTGCCCTTCAGCGGCCCAGATTAGCAGTTCGTCGGCTGATGTGCGCCAATCAACGCAGCAGCTGCCTGCGAATTCTGCGCTCGCAGCGCATTGCGTGGCCGCTACCCTCGACCACTCTATCTCGACGGATTGGTGGCAGGCTGCTGCGGCACAACCGCGTGTGCGCACAGACTTGGGTCAATCACCCCTCACGTTAATATCAGGGTCACTTGGGCTCACCCATGAGTTTTTCCTTCGAAAGCCGTCTTTACCTTGGCCGCCCTGCGCCGACCACGGCCTGAGGCCATGACATCGTTCTCTATTCTGCCGCGACAGTCTCCATTTCCTGCCCCATTATCTTATCAGATTTTGATCAGATCGCGTGGTGGGCACCCCACATTCTGCCCGAACTTCCCTCGTCATAGCCAATCGAGAGGGGCCTGCATGTCTACATCCACCACCAAGCATGGTCAAGCATGGCAGACTTTTTCGTGCACGAGACCACACACTGTGATGTGAGGCTGCCAGGCACCAGAGGGGATGAGAATACATGCAACCTTCGAATCGCGCTTTTGTGAGCTGCCAGTAGTTCGAGAAACACGATGAATACAAATTCTCTAAAGAGAGCAGCTGCTCCGATACATCGGGCCTTCGTGCATGCGTCTTGGCAAAGTTCATGGGAGCTCGGGCCATGCCGCTCGGCTGACAGCTGTAGCCTGCGACTACTAAAGCCTCAATGCAATCTTGAACATGGCATCAGGCTCGAAGCTTACGCACTTCATGGTGCCGCTTCCCGTGCTATAGTCATATTTTACACTCAATGGTATATTGTCGCGTGCCTCAAGGCACGATGGACGTCTTCTTTGAGTTAGCAGTCAGTGCTCGAGGGAAGTGGCTGTGCTCAATTACACAAGTAAAGGGGTGCAGGACAAAGCACGCAGATCATACTGCAGTATGCACAAGTCTTACATCTACACAACAAGCCTAGAAGTGTAGTCAAGCGAGGCGCAGAGCTCCGGTACGAAACGCTTGTTGCGCAGTCCATCCCTCAAGTCAGTGCATCTGGACACGAACCTGCATATGTTTTATCGATCCTTTGGCGAGTGCCACACAGCTGCGGTCGAGTCGTTACGCGGTGCCATGCATGTCTGGAGGCCTCGTGTTGCGGACACTAGGGCAGCAACCTGCAGGCCAAGACGAACGCGATAGGCTCCAGGTAGGCTGTTCCTGGCACACCCACCCAAATCGTCTTCCGGAAGTGCGGCGCCACGCTGTTGCAATTCGCGGTGGCCAAAGATTTGCTGATTAAATGTATGGCGCAGAAACAGAGTGACGATGTGGACGGCGCAAGTTGCAACAGACGGGTGCGCCGTCTCAATGTTGATGCTGCCTCGTGAGCGTTGAGACCCTGGTCGCCAAGAGTGGTAAATGCAAGTGTAAAAGTTCACCATCGCGCGTCAGGCGAACGTATGAACGGGAAATTGCCGTTGTTGAGACCCAGGTTATTTGCACAAAAGCAGTTAAATCTCCTCATCCACCCTAAGGCTCAGGTTGCCAGCATTGACCTGTTCTTGACCGCTTTGCGTGTGTTGCGCCTAAGTACTTAACCAGTTACACCGCCCCTCACAGGCTCACACCCCTCTCAGCAACTCGCCTTTCCCTCCTACCACACCTCACAACAATAGCAAAGATGGCTGCTCGCCCCCAGAACATCGGTATCAAGGCCATTGAGCTGTACTTCCCCAGCCAGGCAAGTTTATCCGAATAGCGAGGGCAAACGCTGTGTTGCGCCTCCTGGTACCGTTCACGTCAACATTCCTAACTTTCAGTTCTGCAGTGCGTCGACCAGACTGAGCTCGAGAAGTTCGATGGCATCGCCGCTGGCAAGTACACCATTGGTCTCGGCCAGACCAAGATGTCTTTCTGCGACGATCGTGAGGGTGAGTGATTTCGTCGAGTGCTTTAGAGCGAAAAGGAGACAGCTAATATTTTGCTGCGCAGACATCTACTCATTCGCCCTGACCACCGTCTCCACGCTTTTCAAGAAGTACAACATCGACCCCAAGACCATCGGCCGCCTCGAGGTCGGTACCGAGACTCTCCTTGACAAGTCGAAGTCGGTCAAATCTGTTCTCATGCAGCTGTTTGAGGAGAGCGGTAACTACAACGTTGAGGGTGTTGACACAGTGAATGCGTGCTACGGCGGTACCAACGCTCTGTTCAACTCTGTTAACTGGATTGAGTCTTCTGCCTGGGATGGCCGTGACGCCGTCGTTGTCGCTGGTGATATCGCGCTCTACGCCAAGGGCAACGCTCGCCCTACCGGTGGTGCTGGCTGCGTTGCCATGCTCATTGGTCCCAACGCTCCTATAGTCATGGAGCCCGGCAAGCGCGGCTCCTACGTCAGGCACGCCTACGATTTTTACAAGCCCGACTTGACGAGCGAGTACCCCATTGTTGACGGTCACTTTTCGATTAAGTGCTACACCGAGGCTGTTGATGCCTGCTACAAGGCCTACAACGAGCGTGAGGCGACATTAAAGGCTCAGCAGAACGGCAACGGCGTCAACGGCCACTCTGAGGAGCAGGAGACTCCTCTCGACCGTTTCGACTACATGGCTTTCCATGCACCCACCTGCAAGCTCGTGTCCAAGTCGTACGCTCGTCTTCTCTACAACGACTACCTAAAGAACCCTTCAAACCCCATCTTCGCTGAGGTCCCCGCTGCGATCAAGGACATCTCTTACGAAGCCTCTATCTCTGACAGGACCGTCGAGAAGACCTTCATGGCTCTCGCCAAGAAGCGATTCGCTGCTCGCGTCCAGCCCAGCATCCAGGTCCCCACCATGTGCGGAAACATGTACTGTGGCAGTGTCTACGCCAGCTTGTGCAGCTTGCTCGCCAACGTCGACAGCCAGACTGCTCAGGGCAAGCGCATTGCTCTTTTCAGCTATGGAAGTGGTCTCGCTTCGTCTTTGTTCTCCTTCACCGTCAAGGGCAGCTACGAGCAGATTGCTAAGTCGCTCGACATCCAGAACCGCCTCGACGCCAGGCGCGTTGTTGCCCCTGAGGTTTACGACCAGGTAAGCTTCCCTTTCAGCCCCTTCCTATTGTTGAACACACTGACTAACGCCACTACAGCTCTGCGACCTCCGCAAGCAGGCTCACCTCCAGAAGGACTACACTCCCAAGGGTGAGACCGACGGCATCCTGCCCGGCACTTACTACCTCACTAAGGTCGACGACTTGTTCCGCCGCACCTACGAGATCAAGCAGTAGATACCCTATGATCTCTCGCTTGTACTTTCTTCTTTGCTACATTCTGGGCATAGACTTGGTCAGGGTTGCATCACTTAATTAGGCGTCAGTAGACCGCATTGGCATATGAGAACTCGATGAGGTCGGGCCGCCCTACGATCGTTATGATGATTTGGACGGAACGGATGGAAAGGAATGACATACTTGATTGTCGACAATTTTACGACAGTTCAAAAGAGCTTAGCAATTTTAATATACACTTCTCGCGAAGTCTTGTTGAAGATGGACAAAAACGGAACAGCAACCAAACGAGAGCCATCTGGTATGAGGTCATTACTCAAACCGCTCTTCCTGACAATGATCTCAGTGTAGAAATGGGATTTCAATATCAGAATGCCGAACGCCGCAAGGCTCAGAAGTACTGGCTGTTATGCTCACACATGTCCTACAACACCATACCGTATAACGCATCGAAGCTCAAACAAGTGTGCCGTCCGGCTCGCCAGGCAGGCGCTTGACACGCCTCTGCTCCCAGTCCTCGAGGTCCTTGGCTTGTAATCTCTGTGTGATTGTCAGTCTCTATGTCAACTCAATCTTCTCCTAGCGAGCATTTATGCGCCTCCGCAAGTGGTGTGTAGCGAGCTACTGACGTAGTATTCATCCTTCATGTTGACCTTCCTTCGATTCTGCCCCAGGCCCATTGCCTGTTCTTGACTTATTTGCTGGTTCTTACGATCGTATCGCTCATAGCGCAGCGCGGTGGCGGGTGTGAGCAGAAACGAGCCGGCGACAATCGTTGCAAGGAACGGCAGCCCAAAGAGTGCGAACGGGTGCTTCTGCAGCGCTTTGCGGTATTTGGCGGCGAGCGTGTTGGGAAGCGTCGCTTTGAACGACTTTGAAGAGAACTGCATGGTAACGGCGGGCCTCTGGGCTAGGCTCGTGTAGCTTGTTGGCGATGTGAATGCGCTCGCAGGCGACTTGTATCAGCGAGCTGCAATTGATGATCTCAACACCTTGGCTTGGAGATCCTCGGGCTTCGACGGGGGGCGGAGCAAAGTGGTCTTGGCAGTTCCGGGTGACAGTCACGCGACAACGCGCCGGGGCGCCCCTTCCCAAAAGATGTTCGACGCGTCTGACGTCGATCACATCACTCATCGGCATTTCACTTCTTTGCATCCTTTTTGCCAAATACCGTCCGATCAGACACAAGCTCGCGATTTTGGATACCGCGCCTCAAGTTGAGAGGATCATACATCGTAAAGGCCTCAATCACACACCGAAGGACTTGCCCCACTTCTTTCCTGGACGCTCCTCACACGATTCGATGATCTCGACATGAACCAGAGGTAAACACCAAGATGGCCCGCAAAGGCGGGGGCTCGACCCAACGCAAGGCGCCGCCGCTACCAACAGCGAATGTAGCTACGAATGGCAGTTCAAATGGAATCCCTCCACCGTCAACAATCGCAGCTCAGATTGTGCACAATGCGGCAAAGACCCATTCGAAGCAAGATGCTGCTTCGAAAGTCACATTCGGCGAGCTTCTGAAAGAATTTCTGCAGCATCCAAACACCGATGAGCCAGATGCACAACTCGTATCCTTCATCTGCGTTGTTGCAGAAGCAGGTTTGGAGAGCTTATTCAAAGACGATCCGTTTGCGCAAGATGAGCAAAGGCAGCAAGGCGTTCGCAGCATCAATGCAATTACATACCTGCTCCAGCAGAAGCCGCACCTCCTTTTGCAACCCAAGGACGACGAAGATAGTGGGACTCCTCGACCGCCTGTCATCCTGTGGCTCTTTCCAAAGATTCTTGGGCTATTGACGCATGCCACCTTACGATCAATTCACGGGAATGCTGAGGGTTTGCTCAGCTTCTGTCTCAGCATACTGTCCCGGTCTATGGCATATTCGCGTTCTGCTGTCACGGTAATGCAGCTGTACAAGGCGAACGTTATCCGTAAGCTATCCCAAACCATTGAAGACGCATTGCTAATGTACTCGCAGATATTCGAGATGAATTGAAGGCTGTCAACGACTCTATCCCAGCACGAGCGACGCCATTCCGCATCATGGCACCCTCCATCAGCAGCATCAATGACTTTTGGCCAGAAAGCAAACAACTGATTGCTGTTCCTCACAATCTCCAAAGGAAGATTTCTTCGCCAACTTTGTCTATACACGTCGGATTTAACCTGCTAGCTGCCTTGTGCCAATCAACAAGTTCAAACTCACGGAAGAGCATGTTTGAGCAACAGTATCCATGGATCCTAGATATCTGTGAGGAATTGTGGTGCTACTTCCGCCGGTGGAGTGCTTCAGACAAGCGCCCATTGCATGACGAAATATTCGCTTTGTATATGCGATTGATCAACACTCTTACAGTCCTCAGCCCCGAGTCGAAGGATCGTTTTCCAAGTTCATACAAGGCTGCGACGACGTCGGTCAAGAGCATTGCTTATCTGATCGAAAGTCTCGCTACTTCGCCCATGTCAGATAGCAACCAGGGACAGCTCGCACTGATGGTGACGCGCCTGTGCTGTACTGCGAGGACTGAGTGGCCCCACGAGATGGTGCTTGATCAGCGGCGACAGCCTTCTCAGATGCTCGATACTGAAATTCTGAAGCAAAGCGCCACAAGACTATGTGAAAACACGGATGTGCTGTTCAGTCTACAGAAGGATCTACAGGTATGTGCACTATCTACTGCTTGACACGTATCCCTGACGAACTATAGCTTGCGTTGTGTCTTTGGATGTCGAAAGGCGAGTGGCCCGAGAAGACTGAGAGCCTTCGAGATGAGCTGTGCTCCAATGGCGCAGAGAGTTTCACCTCTGCACAGATAGCCGAAGATGCAATCAAGTGCATTCAGGCATTTCAGAGGATGCATCTAGACGAAGACAGGCCGGCAAAGCGACGAAAGACGTTACACGAATCGTCAGAGGACGCCAACATATCAGCCTACCACCAGCTTACACTACTACTTAACGGAAGCTCAGAGGACTCGCCAATCCTCACACTTTCCAATCTCCCTCAAATTATCGAGTACGTTCTTGGTCTAGCTCTCCTGAGTTGCAGCTTACACATGCAGGGCAAGATATTCTTCTCTATCTGATAACCCGAAACTCAATGAAGCCGCGCAACAACAATTGCTAATTGCTCTGGGTAAGGTTGCTTGTGCAGGGTCGCGATGCCTGCGACCCAACAGGAACGGCTCAAAGCAATGGGAAAGCCTCACCTGCGCTCTGTGCGACGAACCGGCCACCAAGATCCGGCAACCAGAAGTCTACTGGGAGAACCATGGTTATGGACAGGACTGGAAGGAAGTTATTGCTGCACTTCTTACAATCACGAAGGAGCCTAAGTTCCAGGCCTCGACAAGGCCTCGAGTGCTCATGGCTGTCGCCATAGGACGCCTTTTCGACCACATCTCTGATGACGACTATCTGAATCTTGAAATGTGTGAGCTGGGTCAGTGGTTGCTTGCTTGCATGAGTCGATCTCTACGAGAGTTGAAGATCGCAGCCACTCATGCACTCATGGTATTCCTGCGAGACGACCTCTCCAACCGCGTTCGCCAAAAGAATCGGACATCAGTTATAGAGTTCTTTGATGTCCTGGTGCAACGTGGAGTTCTTGCTGACCAGGAAACCCTGATCTTGGCATATGGTCACGTAGCCCGCGCCTGTGGCGAGCTGGAGCTTCCCATCATCCTCTGTCGACTAGTCGAGTATCTCGGTCATCCCAATGCACTCATTTGTGGGATGGCGTACAGAGAACTCGATGCTTTAGCGGAACCCCACGAACCAGAAGTTTTGTTCAAGCCATATTGGAGGATACTTGCCTTCTCTGTCATCAAGGATATTATCAACAAGCCACAGAAGGCTCAACAGCTCGCCGATCTTACCGAGCAGACCGTTCGCCAATTGCTGGTTTTGACTCAATCATACACACTCCCGCACTTGGTGCTGACGAAGAGGAGGGACATCATTGAGAAGATTGCTCAAGCTCGCAAGGTCTCAGTAGCAGATGTGCTGACCCAACCACGGATCAATCTTGCAAAGATTTTGGCATTGTTACTCTCGCAGTCTGTGCCTGACGTCGAATCCTTCGCTCTGGAAACATTGGCCGAAATTGAGCCACAAATGCGGGAGGGTTCCAATGACAAGCTTGAATCGCTGATCGCAATGGATATCACAGGTATTGCCATTGAGATCCTTATGCTGTCCGCTGAACAAGACGAGCCAAGAAAGGCCCCAGTGAGTAGATGCAATGCTTCTGTCACTGTAAGCAGCCTACTGACTAAAGCTCACAGTACCGTAGAGCTTTTGGTGCTCTTGCTCGCCTAGCTGATATCAAGAGCGGTCAACGCAGATCGTCGTCTAAGACTAAGAGCCTGGATGAGTTCTGCGAGACACATATTCTCGGTATCATCGCATACTTCTCCGACATTGTAGAGAGCCCACTCACCCAGAGCAAGTCTACGCCCCGCCCTCTGCCTGAGCGCAAGAGATGTATAGCAGCCATAGGAGACTTCATCACCCTTGCACGTTACAGTGTGAACGGCGCACTTCCACAGGTAAGTCTCCCTGGACAAGCACTGCGCAATGTGCTAAAGTTAGTAGATACGTGCATGTCTGCAATCGGCAATGTCAGATCCAGACCTCTGCGACGATGCCTTCCTAGTATGGACAGCCTTCCTTGATGCTCTCGACGCAGATGACACAATGCTAGTGATCGATCAGACGTTTGCGCTCATCGTGGAGCACTGGAACATCTTCTCGGATGACACCCAGCTGCTGGCAAACAAGACCATTGTGGCCCTGACACAAGACTACGACGCACAACTGCGCGCCCGCATCGAGTATCTTCCGTCTCTGGCAACCATCCCCATGATGTCGAAGACCGAAGCCGAGTTAACACGGTTCAAATCACATGTGGAAACTGTTCGAATCTTCCAAGCCTTCGGCAACAGGTGCAAAGACCAGAATGCTGTCGTAGTACGTCAAGCTCTCAGAGAGCTTGGTCCATATCTGGATGCCAACCAAAAGCACTTGCACCAAGCAATTGTGGGGCAGAAACCGCTGCCTGTACTGGCGGATCTTACTCGATCCCTTCTGGATGCCAGTGTACGGTTCTCAGAAATGCACTCAGACATTACCACATTATGTGCGCAATGCTTGGGTATCATTGGAGGCCTCGACCCCTATCGAGTTGAAACGGTACGCGAGAAGAAGCGCGTCTTGATGTTGTCAAACTTCTCACGACGAGACGAAGACATTGATTTTGTAGCTCTTCTGCTCGAGCAGGTCCTTGTCAAAGTCTTCCTGTCGACCACGAATGCGACGTCACAAGGGTGGATAGCCTACGTCATGCAGGAGATGCTCAAGCACTGTGGCTTCAGCGCTCTAGCAGTCGCGAAGCCTCGCTCCTCACAGATCAGCACGGAAGCGCAAAGGTGGAACGACATTCCTGAGCCTACGAGGAACGTCTTGACACCCTTTCTCAACTCGAGATACTCCGTCAATCGTAACCCAGCCCTCCAGTACAAGTCTCCACCATATCCGATTTTCGACGGTAAGATCAGCCACGGAACCTGGCTCCAGACATTCGTATATGACCTCCTACAGAAGGGCCAGGGTATCAACGTGGAGATGGTGTTCCCTGTCCTAGCCAGGGTCATTAGGGGTTTCGACCTGTCGATTGCAACCTTCATCCTTCCTTTCGCAGCTCTGAACGTTATCGTGTCTGACAATGACGAAAATATGAGCTATGTTGGAACCGAGCTGATGACGGTCCTGCGGCGCGAGATGCAGTCCACAGACCAGACAGATGCTATTTTGATCAAGCAATGTAGCGAGGTAAGTCTGATGGGTACATTGAAGTACTACCGCTGACCAAGTGTTGCAGAATGTATTTCAAGTTCTCGATTATCTTTCGCTGTGGCTACAAGAGAAGAAAAAATCTGTCACAGATGCCAGGATCATGGCGGGCAAGACTGGGAGAGGCGTCTCGGAGGAAGAGGAGATGAACGCAATCAAACAAATCAGCCGTGTAGAGGGCATCCTCCAGCTTGTCCCAGCTGAGGTGATCTCTCAGCGTGCGGTTGATTGTGGGTCCTACGCTCGCGCCCTCTTCCACTGGGAGCAATACTACCGCCAACAGCAGCATCTCAAGACCGAGACAAATCAAGTCTTTGAGAAGGATGATTTGTTGCAGCACCTTCAGTCCATCTATGCGCAAATAGACGAGCCGGACAGCATTGAAGGCATCACAGCTCATCTCAAGGTGCTCAACCCCGAGCAACAGATCATGGAAGATCGCAAGGCTGGCAGGTGGACCGCAGCTCAGAGCTGGTATGAGGTTGCTTTGGCTACCAAGCCAGACGATCTAGAGGTTCAAGTTATGCTCCTGACCTGTCTGAAGGAGTCAGGTCAATATGGTAGACCAACCCTCATCCAATCTGCTTTGATAGTATTGACACAATCTAGATGCAATCCTAAACTACGTGGACGGCTTTCACGCAGCCAACCCGGTATCGATAAGTACGCTCCCATTCGCTGCTGAAGCAGCCTGGTCGGCTGGCAAGTGGACACAGCTCGAAAGGATCCTCGGCGCTTCATCTGACAAGGTCATCGGTACGACCACGGACTTCAACATATGCGTTGGAAAAGCATTGCTTGCGTTGTACAACGAAGATGACTCGGAGTTCAAGAATCTCATTGCTGCACTTCGTAGGACCTTGTCAAAGAGCCTCTCTCCATCGAACACCAACTCTCTGCAGGCGTGTCACGATACGCTAGTCAAACTGCACGCTCTGTATGAGATTGAAGCAATCAGTGGCGTCATGACGCCTCACCCGCCAGAACGCGAGAAGGTCCTCAACAATCTGGACCTTCGATTAGACGTTATTGGTGCTCACACTTCCGACAAGCAGTATCTCCTTGGCGTGCGTCGTGCGACCATGCTCGTCTCAAGGTAAGCCGTTAATGGTAACAGCGGACAACAGTTGCTAATACATCTAGGATCGACTTCAGCGATCTCGACATCGCTTCGGCTTGGCTCACTACGGGACGACTTGCCCGCAAGGGCGGGTTCATGACCACTGCATTCAATTCAGTACTCCACGCCGACCAGCTGGGCGACGGAGCCTCCAAGATTGAGTACTCAAAACTACTGTGGAAAGAAGGACATCACCGAAAGGCGATCCAGACCTTGCGAGGTGCCATCGACAGTAATGCCTTCCAAAACAGCGACAGCCTGCCGATCAACATCTCCATCACAACCGATGGCCGTGGAGGTGATCACATAAGTAAGGTCAAGTGCCATGCTCAGCTACTGCTCGCAAAATGGCTCGACCGTGCGGGACAGACCAAGTCCGGATCTTTGAAGGACGCGTATGCGACAGGTGTGATGTCATATCCCAAGTGGGACAAAGGCCATTACTACCTGGGACGATATTACCTAAAGCTGTTGGAATCTGAGAAAAAGTTGCCTGTCACAAAGCAAAGTCAGGAGTATCTCGCCGGAAGCTTGATCAAACTGGTAATTGAGAACTTCATACGATCCACGGTGTACGGCACAAAGTACTATTACCAGACCCTACCGAAGATCCTCACACTCTGGCTAGACCTGGGAACTGAGGTCATAAACGTAGTGCCTCGGTCTGCGCGAGATAAAGAGTTCCATGACCACAGAATCACCTACCTGGACCACATCAACAAGTACCTGAAGCGGTATGCTGGCGAGCGAATGCCTGCTTACACATGGTACACTGCCTTTCCACAGATCATCACACGCATCAGCCATCCCAACAAGAACGTCTGGGATGCTCTGCAGTCCATTATCATTCGAGTCGCAGCAGTGTACCCCCAGCAGACGCTATGGAGCTTGCTAGCGGTACTGCACTCGACTCAAGACGATCGTCGTACACGCGGCACTGCTGTGTTGCAAAAGCTGCGCGAACAATCGAAGCGCAAGAACGGAGCTTTGGATTTGAAGAACGTCATCGTGCAAGGACAGCGCCTGACTGATGCTCTGCTGATAGCCTGCGACGCTCCAGTCGAGCAGCGAGTCACGCATGTCAGCCTTTCAAAAGACCTTGGATTCAGCCACAAGCTCGCACCTAGTCAGTTGGTGGTGCCCATTGAAGCGAACTTGCTACCAAATCTCCCGGCTGGAAATGACAGTAAGACGATACGTCTGCACAATCCGTTCCCACAGGATGCAATTACAATCAATGCATTCATGGATGATGTGCTTGTGCTCTCCTCGCTGCAACGCCCGCGCAAGATCAACGTTCGAGGCTCAGATGGTCGATCTTACGGTCTTCTTTGCAAGCCCAAGGATGACTTACGCAAAGATCAGCGTCTCATGGAGTTCAACGCTATGATCAACCGTGCATTACAGAAGGATATCGAGTCCAGCAAGCGTCGGCTGTACATCAGGACGTATGCGGTGACGCCGCTGAACGAAGAGTGTGGAGCAATCGAATGGGTCGAAGGACTCAAACCGATGCGTGATATCATCCTCCGCTCTTACCGTCAGCACAACGTGCAAATCGATTACGCAGAAATTCGCATGCTGCTCGCCGAAGCTTCATCCTCGCCAGGGAAGGTCCCCATCTTCACAGAGAAGATCTTGGGCAAGTTTATGCCAGTGCTCCACGAGTGGTTCGTCGAGACGTTCCCGGAGCCAGAAGCTTGGTTATCGGCGCGGCTGCGATACACGCGTTCCTGCGCAGTGATGAGCATTGCAGGTCACGTACTCGGGCTGGGGGATAGACACGGCGAGAACGTGTCGCTAGAGCAAGGCACCGGTGGTACTTTCCACGTCGACTTCAACTGTCTGTTTGACAAGGGCCTCACGTTTGAGAAGCCCGAGCTCGTGCCATTCCGTCTCACACACAACATGGTCGACGCCATGGGTCCGCAAGGTGTCGAGGGACCCTTCAGAAAAGCGGCTGAGTTGGTGTACAGCATCTTGCGGCAACACGAAGATACGCTCATCACTATCCTTGAGACGTTTGTTCATGATCCGACAGCTGACTTCTTGGGCGGGAAGAGGAGGAAGAAGATTCCGGGCGTTCCAGACACACCGCAGGAGGTACTGGATACTGTGAGAACCAAGGTCAACGGGTATCTGAAGGGAGAGTCGGTGCCGCTCAGTGTGGAGGGGTATGTCGATGCATTGATTGCGATGGCGAGAGACCCGATGAACCTGGCATCTATGTACATTGGATGGTGTGCTTTCTTTTAGTTGACATTGCAGCAGAGGCGTTGAGTATTCGTGGGATGTCGTATACGTCGTCAGTATCGTTCTATATGGTTGAAGGGGCTTGCATAACATGATGATAGAAATGCAAAATTGAGTCAAGGCGAAGTGAATTTCATGCGCGTGAAATTCAATGTCATGTGGAAGGACCGTCCATGTCGACAACGGCAAGGCTGGCGACCGCTCATCAGCAACCAATCGCGGGACGGGCGCGCCCGCAGCAACCAGGCCCCAGGGCTCCAGCAGAACCACGGGACAGCCCCGTTGACTAACAGGCGCCTTCATTATTCGTCGACTGAAGCTCCCACAGCGCGACCTCAACAGCGTAATCACCCCAACGCACGACCAGACGTCGACGTGGCATTGGCGAAGGGTGAGTTGCAGCAACAAGCTACACAGCCGTGCGCCTCGACAACGGGACTGCCCCCAGGCTAGCTCCGAGGAACCACAACAGAGGCCAGCGTGCCACGGCTACACAGACAAGATGGTGGGCAAAAAGTCGGGCAGGGCCCAGCTGAGGCAGGAAGGTAGGACCATTTCACGTTGCCGTGCTGCCACACAGCTGCTGACGGCATCGCGCAGGCCTCGAGCGAACAGACAACAACATGGACCTCTCGTCGTGGCCACAGGTAGGCATGATCAACCAGAAGAACTACTACACCGAGTTCCTCAAGCGCGACGAGCAGTTCTTGGCTGTGCGATACCCCAAGGACGAAGAGCGCGCCCGCATCGTCCAGGAAGCCCGCGACAAGGATCGCGCCCGCGCGCTGGGCGCCCCCCAGGCTGCCGAAGGCGCGACTCCGCAGGCCGACGAGGCCGCCGACGAGGCAGATGTCTCGCTGGACTCGTCTAAGACGGACATCTCCAAGCTCATCGTCATCCACCCCGGCAGTCAGAACCTGAGGATAGGCTTGGGCTCCGATGCGCTGCCAAAGACAATACCCATGGTCATCGCACGACGATGGAAGGAGAGCGAGTGCGAGGAGGACGGCGGCGAGCCCAGCCCCAAGCGCATGAAGATCGAGGGCGCGGTGCCCGCCGACGCGCTCCCTGAGAAGTGGTTTGGGGAAGACTTCGCCGACCAGTATATGGCCATGTCCTCGGAGCTGAGAACGCGAATGCGCTCTAACAAGCGTAGAGTGCTGCCAAACTCCAAGGACCTCGTCACCAACTACAATCGCCGCACACCACCAGACGTTATCTCAGAGCACAACGACATCAACCGCATCGAGTTCACAGAGCTCCCTGCAGACCCCAAGAAGGCACCGCACTTCTTTACAGGCCACGAAGCGCTCCGGATACCCGAGCGATCAAATCCCCGATACAAGCTGTTCTGGCCGCTGCGCTACGGCACATTCAACGAGGCCGAGTACAAGGACCGCAACCAGATCTACCATGACATATCCAAGATCTTCGGGGAAGCCTTCAAGAATCACCTGGGTATCACCAAGATGAAGGACCTCGCAAACTACAAGTGCGTCCTCATCATCCCAGACTTGTACGAGCGCAACTATGTCACAATGCTGCTTGACATCCTGATACGAGATCTTGGCATCGGGAAGGTCTGTTTGCAGCAGGAGAGTCTGTCCATTACATTTGGAGCCGGCTCAGACAAGCTGTGTGTAGTTGATATCGGCGCGCAGAAGACCTCCATCTGCTGCGTCGACGAAGGTCTTTGCGTGGAAGAGTCTCGTGTCAACCTGAAGATGGGCGGCGCAGACATCACGGAAACATTCATCAAGATGATGCTCTACGGCCATTTTCCCTACTCGGATATCAACTTGAGGAGGCGATATGACTTCCTGCTTGCAGAGGAACTGAAGCAAAAGTTCTGCTCCATGGACGAGAGCACCGTTGTGGTCCAGACGTGGGACTTCCACCTCCGCGCTGCAGGTCAGGAGACACGGAAGTACACGTTCAAGACCTATGATGAGACACTGCTCTCGGTAATGGTAAGTATCAGCAAGCCCTACCACCACGGGACCACACTAACCTCACCAGGGCCTCCTCAAACCCTCCATCTTCGACAACTCGCACAAACTCGAAGGCCGCCGCTCCGTAATTCCACGCTCTATCGACCTCTATGACTCCTCCCCCAACGACCCGCTCTCCGCAGCCCAACTCGTCGTCCTCGAGCTCGCTACCGGCCGCCCCTCGCTACTCATGAACGGCGAACCCGCCATCGCAGCAACTCCCCAGAAACCGCCTCCCTTGAACATCGCCAACCGCCTCGCAGACAACGAAGCCACACCGCGATCCTCCGTCGCCGGCTCGCCCGGTCCAGAGGGAACGCCAAATCCCGACCGCGATACGCCCATGGGAGATACTGATGCACCAGCGCAGGGCCTGATATTCCGCGACCCAGTGCTCGAAAAAGTCAAGATCGCAGAGGAGCGCGACAAGACCCTACCCCTGCTACCGTTGGACCTAGCGATCCTAGAGTCCCTGGCGCAAGGCGGGCGGGGCGACGAGAAGAAAATGCGCGACTTCATGGGCGGCATCGTGCTCGTCGGCGGCGTCGCTAAGACGCCGGGTCTGCGCGAGTTCCTCGAGCTCAGACTCCGAGAGCTGCGCCCGGGTATGGAGATCCTCCTCCCCCCACCCCCGAGGGATCTCGATCCCCAGGTCATCGCGTGGAAGGGCGGCAGCGTCTTCGGCCGCCTCAGCTCGCATGGCAACGATAGCTGGATCTCGCGCTGCGAGTACGATATCCTCGGCACCAGGCTGTTGAACAATAAATGCATGTTTGCTTGGTAGTGTGAGCAACGGGCGCGGCGCCGGCTGGCACACGACTCGTAAGATGAGTCGTGGGAGAGCGGGAAATTGGAATTGCTGGACGCCGTGCATGGGCCTAGCGGTGCAGGCTCGCCGGCGTAGCGCGGTCCGGGTCGTCCTATAAACTCGCGTCTTGTACCTTATGGGTACTGGGTGGGTCTGTCGCCGGCTGAGGTGCGGAGAGACAGGGAGGCTGTGGCAGCGGGCAGGCGTCTGCCACCGAAGATCGTTGGTCCGCGAAAGCCGCCGACGAAGTCTACTGTGAAGTCTTAGACGGAGGCTCACTCTCACTCTTAGTCTTAATCGGCTGTTGTATTGTATTCGTAGGGGCTCATGAGGCGGTCCCCGGCAGATCGGTCTTGGTAGTAATGATAATATGTGCTATTAATCTGGAGTCCCTGCACGTGAAACCTCTACAGTATAGCGTGCTAGATTGTAAAGGCCATACTACAACACCCAAAACGCCAGGTACGTTAAGACTGGGCGCGAGCCATGATCAAGTCTCTCGTACCCATGCACAGCGCGGTTCGAAGCAACAAAAAAATACCCCTTAAAGATGCGGGTCAATAGCAGATAACGCCGGGTATAGTTGGTGCTCGTCCGATGCCTACTCGTCCGCCGGCCTGGCGGACTGCTGCAGCGCGCTCACAAAAGCCTCGTAGTCGGCGCCTGCCATGGTGTAAGCACAGTATCAACACGTGAGCCGTCGGTCATTCAAGGCGTCCCATCACCCCTCGTCTGCCCTTCAATAAGCATGTGGGTCCGGGTAGTGCGGAGACGAGGGCTGCTGACCTTGCGGTGCGTCCTCTTCGACCTTCTGCCGCTTCTCGATCGAGTAGTCGCCCGCGTCGAACTGCCCTGCGTGCTTGCCTATGTTGGGGCCGTTTTGCGCGGCTGCGGCGGCTTGCGCGGCCATTTGCAGTTCACCTATTTGGCGCTCCGAGAGCCCGCCATTGTTGCTGGAGCCGGGACTTTGTTGTTGCGGCTGCTGTTGCTCCGGCTGCTGCTGGTGTTGCTGCTGCTGGAGGTTCGGGTTGAGACTGGGGATTTCGCCGTGCGGGCGGTTGGAGAGATCGACGCCGGCGGGTGCGGGGGGCACTTCGCCCTGTGTCTCGAGGAGGCGCGATTGCAGGTTGATGATGTAGTCGCGTAGCTGGTAGTTCTCCGTCTGCAGGCTCTTGTACAGCTCGCATAGCTGCTCGAACTCCTTGACCTGATCTTTCAGCTGCTTGATATATTCCTCTTTGCGTTGACGGAACGCGCGCTGAGACAGTCAGTATCGCCCAGTCAAAGCACAGCAACCGACGTACTTGGGCAGCTCGATTTTGCGCAGCGCGCTTGCTGGTAGAGAGCTCCCTACGGCCCTTCCGCCCTTCACCGTCGTCGCTGGGGTCGGCTTGGCTCATGTAATGCTGCTGCGAGCCGGCGATAGCTGGGTCGATGTGCTGCTGGGGACCGACGCTAGGGGCTGGCTGTTGCTGGATTGGCGCAGGTGCACTGGACTGTCCAGCACCGGCAGCAAGTAGATGTTCTCTTAAGCCTTCATGATATGTATGTTAGTAATCACCAGGAGCAAGTAAGCATATACAAGGAGGTACTAACTCATCTCGATGGTCGGCTTGCCGGGATCCTAAGCCCAAGTGTCAGCAGCGCGAGCGACAGTACAATATCACCACGGCTTACCTGAGCGGCTGGTTGCTGCATGTTGTAGCTAGTGTCGCTGCGGATCGAGGGGTATATGGTCCGGCTCATTCAATGCACTTGGGACGCGATCAGTCGCGGATGCTTGCAGTGGCGCTGATTAGACAGCACAACTGTGGCTGTCTCGGCGCAGCTCGACACGAGCTGGCGTTGTGATTGAGCGATCGAGTCTACTATGGAACCGCTCTGCTGCGCGTGTGCTGATGACGTGCAGCGCGATTGCTGGAGGTCGCGACGGCGCAGAGGAAGAATTGCGCGTCTGCACGAGTCAGCGTCAACATGGCTCTCTCACGCGTCGAGCACAATGCGCCGAGTTGCGCGACAGCATTTGGGTCGTTGCGCGCATCGCGAGACCTTGGGGACGGGTGCGAGCAACTTACTTGTGCTGGTGGTGCTGACTGAGGTGTCTGATGACTGAGAGGTGACTAAGGCGTGCGGCAGGCGTATCTTCTTATATGCGGTCCCGGCAATCCCCCAGGGCCGGACAAGTACTCATCGCCATGGGGTCTTCATTTAACGGCGTAACACCCTAAGATGCCAACACCACGCCGCTCCTGCCTACACTCACGCATTCATCTGCGCACTTGCTGACTTGGGCAAGTGCCACCTAATATGGAATGTCATTCGGGTGTTTGCCTGCTGGGCTTACCAATGCTCTCTTGATTTCTGCCAAGAACATCAGGATGACGGGACACACAGGCTCGTGATCCGAGGTCGCCGATCAATACTCTCTGTTGCAAACCTCTCTACTGCCTAGCTCGCGTGGTGCAAACACACCAGCTCCTCACTCGAAAGTGCTTATCATTGCTGGTGCTGTGCACGATGCTTTGACCTTCAAGAATGGCTGACTTCAGCCTAGATCCTTGCGATCGTTGTCTCACAAGTCCGTTACATGCTTACTTTGAATTTCCACAGTTGTGACCGAGGTGCTGATGCTGTTGCGGAGACTCAACCATCAGTATGCGGACGAATGCATGGTTCCGTACCGGTATGACGAAGCAACAGAGTTGGTCCGAGCTGGCCTGCAGTATCCACTTCCAACCCTCGTCGTGCATCTCCATCTTGATCTCAACGCTACTCAGTACTGTTCTGCAGCTGGGACAAGACAGCCAAAGAAGTACCTCAAACAGGTAGCACTCATTGCAACACCTCCACAATAGTTCAAGCCTTGCAATGACCACAGCCCCCCGTTACCTCACAAGAGCACTCCCGTAGGTCTTCGCCAAAAGCACACCACCACTGCTTAGTCATACCCGCGTGCCTGACATCCCCAGATCGTACAGAGCACAGCTGACTCCAACGTCCCGCTGGGTTCCTCCAATCCAGCGCAAGTTGGGCGTGCTTACTGCCGGCTCGTACAACGGATATCCGATCCCTCTCTCGCAGCGGCAGCCAACCACCACATCCCGGCCAGCCATGGACTCACTGCACGCGAATCTGCCAAACGGGGAATCTGTCAAACTCATCTTCTCCGCAAACCAGCCACAAGATCTGGCTAGCCGGGTTGAACCGCTCCTGGGCAGCTGGCAGATCACGCCGTCTGGAAAGGGACTGAAGAAAGAGTTCATCTTCAAGACATTCAACAGTGCGTGGAAATTCATGGACACCATTGCGCAGGAGTGCAAGGTACAGAGACACCACCCTGAGTGGTCGAATCTGTACAACAAAGTGACGATCGAGTGGACGACGCATAGACCAGAGGGAATGAGTGTCAAAGATGCCGATATGGCGGAGTTCTGCGATCGGATGGCGGCTGAGATTGGGTTGAACAGCAGCGCGCCAGTAGTAGATGCGGGAACGGGTAGTGCGAGGAAGCCTGCGCAGTGATGAGAGGTAGGCTTGCTGCTTCCTCTCTTCGCAATCACTCTTTCGTGATAGGTGGTCTGTCGATGAAGCCGTGAGATGATGCCGACGGCAGACTCGCCCGAGTGCCGGTCGATCACGCTCAGCGATACTGGCATGGTGTCCGTGATCGAATTGTTCATGAGACGTGGTTTCGTGTAGCAAAGACTTATAAATGAAGTCTTAGCTCACATTCGTTCTGGAGTGCTTGTGAGAGAGACATTAGAGGTGTTTTGGAAAAGGACATACTGTCATTAAAAAAACTTATCAACACTGTAGCAGAGATTGAAAACTGCACCAAGCATGAACTATGAAATACAGCGAAAAGAAGGGCGCCCGAGTAAACGTGCGTCAGAAACCAACGAGAGCCATATTGTACATCCCAATCATACAAAAGCCCAAACGCCGCGCAATGCCTCATATAGATCTTCACCGTCATACAGTCTTGCTCTTTCAATCTCTCGTTGGAGTGGAGGCTCAGTTATACTGCCTGCTACTGGCAGTCGCCTCCTCTTCTCTCTTCTTCTTCGCCTCCTGCAGCTTCCTCAGCATCCGTGCACTGCCGCCGCTGGCCTGCCACCAGACATCCGTGCCAGAGCGAATCAGCCTCTCAGCCGCGCTCGTCGGGCCATCGATCGCAGGACGAATGTCGAGGTGGAACACGGGCTCGTCGTCTGACACCGCCTGGCCCTCGTAATAATCAATCACATAACGAATTTCCTTGCAGCCCTGCTCGTTGCATCTCTCGATAAACCAGTCGTGGCGATCAAACGGCGGGGCCGTCCCGTATTTCTCAGGGTTGATCCAGCCCAGCCACTGCATGATGGTGGCCTTGGGCGTGCGCTCGGTCGGGCGGCCGGTGAAGCGGAGGAGTTTCGGGGGCGGCACATCTCTCACGTCCCACGTTGTTGTGTCGAAGATGCCCTCCTCTGTAGTACCGACGCCCAGCTTTAGGTCCGCCAGCTGCTCGCCATTCTTGCAGATTTCGTAGCCCTCCTTCAGACCGCGCGCGAATCGGCGCTCCCACCCCATGATCTCGGCCCAGGCGCCCTCGTTCAGGAAGTTGTGCACAGAGACCATGGATTCAACAGCGGTTACGTCTGTGTCAGTGTAGCCTTTGCGCAGCATGGCGTTGTACATTTGCTGTGGCGAGGGGTACTCCCAGAGCGAGCCGTCGCCTTTGGGGATTGTGGAAGCTTCGCGGGAGAGGGGGAGGTCGCGGGCTTGGGTGGCAGCTTTTTCGTTGTCAAGTTCGGAGAACATGTTGTTGAGCGGATTCAACTTTGCGAGAAGGCCGGTCTTGGGTTCGGGGGTCGATGATGTCTTCTCGGGAGGAACGTAGGGGCAGGCGCCTTTGGGAATCTGTGCTTGTTCTACCTTTACAGGCGGCGTGACCTTCTTGTGCATGGGACATTGTGGCTGCGACTGTCAGAGAGGCCTGGTGCATACGCATGGAAAACTTACAGGAGGGTTCACATCCCCTGCTGGCATGGGATGCGGCGCAACAGGCGCGGCGGGTGCCGAAGGCGCGGTGTCTGCCCAAAACCAACCCATGATTAAGTGTTGTACAGAAGAACTACTAGACTGAGAAGAAGAGGCGACGAAAGTTATATGTCGCGATCTGCGCGTGGCGGAGATCTCGGAGGAGGAAGAATTTGGCCGCAGCTCGGGAAGAGCAGGGCAGCGTCATTCCGCTGCGATGCACTAAGCAACTGCTGCACGCCGATTGGCTCACGAGTGGATGTCGGTCTGCCGCAGTAAAGTCTTGTATTCTACATTATGGTATCGTGCGCCATTCGCTGTATGCCAGTAATCCACCAAGCACGCTTTTTGAGGTCTTCATTCGTCCCCTATGCCTGGCCAGCAGCGACCTTGCCTAACTGACCTGTGCCGCGGGAGCTGAAGATGGCCATAATACCAAAGCTACCGTAGAACAAGACCATCGGATATGCAACAAGACCTCTCATCGAAGTCATGCGGCCTGGAGAAGTCAGTATGACATGTAAACCTGTAAAATGCTGATACTTACCAGCAATGGTGAACATAGAGCTAGAAGAGTACGAGCACCACATAATGGAAAGAATTGTGACAACGTATCCAAAGAGGCCGTCCAACGGTATGACGATACCCAGTGTCGAGACCAACACAAGAGGAAGCAAGCAATAGCCCACAATTGAGGCTGATCGTGGGTAGGTCAAAGATGAACCGAGGTGTGAGCCGCGTGCGTGGCCGTGGTCGTGATCCTGTCCTGCTGCAGCTTCGTCCGCGCTGATCGGAGGTGACATAAGCGAGATGATCTGGTGAAGCATTATAGTGCCTACGAGACCCAGTCCTGTTCTGATGTTAGATATGTTCCATCAATTCAAAATGTCTTAACATACCATAGATGTAGCCGAAATGGAGCTTGCCGGAGAGCTATGATATGTCAGAGTCGTACTTGAAGTGTAAGACAGCTAATCCTCACCAGAAGTGATGTGCCGAAGATGAAGAAGAACAAGATAGGTCCCGCAACATCGCTGTCATCCATGACGTGCGGCTCAATGCGCCTGAAAGGGTTCAACACGGCAAGTGTCTTCGATTGAATGTGCCCGAAGTTCACTCCAAGCTCTTCCAGCAGCGGTGGCTCCCCTTCGTATCCCTCCGCGCCGAAAGCTGCAAGCCATCCTGTCCGCAGCCCGGACTCTCCCATGCCCATCTGACCACTGACCCCTGGCGTAGAGAAACCCTGGCCATATTGTGCGGGGTAGGCCTGCGTTTGCGACGCTCCGTAGTTGGCTTGGAAAGGTGTTGAGTGGCCAGACACTGGCTGATTCGAGAACGAAGAGGAGTAGAATTGGAGGTTTTGCGCGCCCCCACCGCCGTACTGGGGATTCTGTCCGTAGCCGTATGATGCCATTGTCTCTTTGGTGTATAAAAAACCTCGTGCGATAGAGGGTTAGGATGCGACGAGGACGCGAGGACGTGGCGTCAAGGTGCTGATGTGGAAGCCTGGAGTTGATGTCTCCGTGTTGGCTGAACTCGTTACGTGGAGGGACCGAGCAACGAGCGACGTCACTGGCTTAGCAAGGGAACGACAGGGAAAGCAGAAGGAGTGCGTCGACGACTATGCTGGGACTTGAAAACGTGAAAGGAAGGCAGGACTAATTGGATCGTCTCGATGTGTGTTGAAGCTCGAAAATGGCGGCCACATGTCATCGTTGGCTCGGAGGTCCTTTGACCTGATTCGCCGGCTGCTCTCGGTATCATCACGTGCAAAGGGAAGGCAAAGCAGTACCTGGCTGTCGCAGATTCTCTCTATTTAAATCAAAAGCAACTATGATTCTAAATAAGAGTGAGGGGGGTATCAATATAAACGCCAGCCATGAGGTCGTAAGAACATCCAATCTACATCACTTCTTCTCTGACACAAATCACTGAGCTCTACTTAAGACTCCGAGTGTTCACATGAAGCCTGTGGGTATCGGCTAGTACATTTCAACAGTACGCCGTGACGTAAAGTTGCACCAATCGCACTGACATAAAGTTAGTATACACAAGACGGATGTTTGGCCCAGCCTGAGCATTTATCTACTCACCAAGGTATCAGATGATGCATCGTTGTCTTCCATGCAGTACTCATTCTGACATTTCTTGCATTGTCGTATGAATAGCTCCTTACAGCTTATACACTACTGATGGTCAGCAAAAGCCTGAACTGATCAAGTTGTAGCACTCACCGTGTGACCACAGCCAAAGCAGTCACGTCGAACGCCGATGATCTGTAAGATGTCACGTCAGCCTGTTTCTTTCTGATCTGTTGACCACATACCTTGACGCGACAAAGCCAGGTCCGAAATGCCATTATCGAAAAGCAGGCTCCAAGTTCAGTCGTAGAGACCGAGTCCGGATCCAGCAATATGATAAGAGCCTTCAGGTAGGACCATTGCCTTGCGCGCCAAGGTATATCGCTCATCCCCACATTCCGTTGCTGCCTGCGCCGGCCATCATTTCGCCGACCAGACAGTGGTCCACGCAGAGGCCCATATGTACCTTGATGGTTTGTTTTGGAATGATAGCAGTCGTGCCATCGGTCGCCAAGGTCTCCGCAAGCTCGGTTTGTTGGAGTTCAGTTCGTTGGGCAACAGTTGATCCAGCGTAGCAGGCCTCGTCCCACCATTTGTGGCATCTCTCACACCAACGGCCTTTCAGACAGTCTTCGCAGCGCATATATAGAGGCGGTGGGGCTGATCCATCGTTGGTGTGTGGAATCTTAGCAGCACGTAGCGTGCTTCCATGCAGCGGTACGGGACTCAAGAGAGGGAACTGAGTTGCGGGTGAATCGCCGAAGATCGCTGGGCCTTCCGAAGCAGAGTGACAGGTCTCGCAGCCTGATGGACCGAGTGCCACAGTCGCAACAGTAGGTCTGAGGAACGAGGCTGGATGTGGCATGCTGCTGGCTGCACCTTCTCTGACACGGGCATTGCTTGGGTCGTGGCGTGGTCCTCGACAGAGAACGGCGTCGAAGGAGATGAGGCCCTCGCACGCCTGCACTACCTCAGCCCATTCTGGAGATGGCCGCTTTGTAATCATCTTGCCAGAGGACTGATACCATCTGTCCTCAGTACGTGCCAACGCAGTGTTGAGAGCTTCGGATGACTTCTGGTTCCATTCTGCACCGATTTGAGCGCCCGGCGAAGACATAATGCCGCGAGAGGCGGAGAAAGGCGACGTTCGTGGTATCTCTGGTTCGTACTGGCGTTCGCGGGGCCCGAACATGTAGATACCCTTGACTCGGGGTGTAGCCTCAGGTCTCGATGGGCGCACAGCGTATCTGAGGTACTGCTGAAGCTTGCGTTCGTTCAAGTGCTTGACTTCGCGTATCGACAGCAACCTGACATTGTACCGGTCTTCGGTGATGAGTTCTTTGACGAACTCAGCTGTCACACTCAGACCATCCAACACGAGGCTATGTACATTGCGGAGGATGCGCTGCTTCTCGAGTCTGTAGACAATACCGCGCAGCGGGCCGGAGTAGAAGTCGTCTTCGGATAGAGCTTCGTCCATGCGCTCAGCGCGCCAGCTGATACCGCCGCCGTCGAGTGGCCCATCGAAGGGCACAATGGCGGATCTGACGGGAGACAGGTCGAGGTATCGAAAAGCTTCAGGCGATTGGCGGATGACGTCGTGCAGAGCTTTGGAGGTTGACGAAAGCGCGCAGAGGGACGACAGAGGCAGATAGGGTGCGGTTTGGTGCAGGACTAAAGAGTTGGAAAGGAGATCCACCAGGGTTGTCGCTAGGCCATTGGGGAAAACAGAGGGCTCCATGGTAGAGGGTATCCCAAAACGGATGACGCGACCGGGATGGATCTGGGGCGCGGAATACAACCAGAAAATGCTGGGGGTTAGGCGGGTACTTACCAAGTTCTTATTCAAAGGGAGCGACACGTGCCACAAGTCTGACCCTGCAGGACGTGGTGTTGAGGGCGGCGTTTGATACACCGCGTGTTCTAAAAGACTGGCGCGGTTGAACTTACGGGGTGGGATTTGTTGGCTAGGTACCCCGAGGGCGATCATCAAAAGCACAGCGCCGACCTGCGCAGAAGCCACAGCCAAGAACCACCGGCGGCTGGAAGTAGAAAGCTTCCTGCAAGATTAGTTAACACGACATTGGCGGCCAAGCATTATGGAAGTCTTGGGTGCGCAGTGAAGAAACAGGCCAAAACAATGGCCGTCAAGGCTGAGGCTGTCTGGCAGGGCCCGCCGATGCGATCGGGCCGCAGGCGAGACAGTGGACAGTGGGGTGTACTGTGGGACGCGGAGCTATCAGGCCAGGCGGGGCGCCGTTTAGGAGACAGCATCAAATAATGGAATCTACAGAGCGACGGTCCCGGCGGCATTGCGTGATGGGGAGCGGTCAGCGCGGCGAGAGTGTGAAGCTGCCATGCATCGCACCTGCCACATCAGTCAGTGCTGGTGCTTGTTGTTCGTTAATATCGCAGGGTTTCAGGATCAGATAGATGCCTTGGTGACCTTCGACGCGTCGCGTGCTTGCAGCCTTGGTGGCTATCGATAAGCTCGGTAGCGTATGACGATGTTTCCGGACGAGGCTTCGAATCTTCCAGACGGAGAGCCGCAGTGCATGTGTCAGCGACATTTTGCCCTTCACTCGCAATATGATGCCCCGAACAGAAGGCTGACGTTCGCTCTGATATATCTTGCATACACCCACCATAGCGAGTACCACAATGGCCACCGACGCTGAGCCCGCAGAGCTCAAGTGGTCTGCACAGTTCGCCCTTGCCCACAACACGCGCAGCACACAACTGCCCGGCGACAAGATCCTCCTGCCACCCTCGGCATTAGAGCAGTTGCTTGCCGCAGCCCCCGTTGTCACATTGGACTCGGACCGCCCTCATATCACCTCATTCGACCCTTTCAACCCCTACACCCATGCTGCTGAGCGGCAGGCCCGCGCCCAGTTCCAGGACCGCCACCAGCAGCTGCCGCACCCACTCACGTTTCGACTCGTCAACTCAGACAATGGCAGGGTCGTTCATGCAGGAATACGCGAGTTCTCTGCAGACGAGGGGCAGATCGTTCTCAGCAGCTTCTTGCGGGACGCTCTGGGCATCGAGGCTGCTTCTGTAGAATCTTCGAGAGGCGCAAGCCCGAGTGGTCAGAACGGCAACGACGCGGTTATGGACAGCAGTGAAGCAGTGAACGGCGCTGCTTCCACCAATATCACGGTACACGCAAAGCAACTGCCAAAAGGCACATTCGTGAAGCTGCGACCGCTCGAAGCAGGCTACGACCCCGAAGACTGGAAGTCGCTCCTCGAGGAGCACTTGCGCTCGAACTTCACTACCTTGACGAATGGCGAAGTCCTTGTAGTGTACGGTGGGCGGGGGGTGGGTGGCAAGCGTGAAGAGTTCCGCTTTCTTGTCGATGGCTTCAAACCAGAAGGCGACGGCATATGCGTCGTCGATACGGACCTTGAAGTGGACATCGAGGCTCTGAACGAAGAGCAAGCGCGGGAGACACTAAAAAGCATCGTGTCAAAGAGGCAACGAGCACCGGGGACAACCGAGGGCAGCTCTGTTGGTGGTGAAATTGACATCTTCAAGGGCAAACACGGACAAGTGCTCGATGGCGAGTATGTTGACTTTGAGCTACAGTCATGGGACAGATCACAAGGACTCGACATCGTCCTCAGCGGTATAGATGACGATGAGGAGATCGACCTCTACGTGAGCCCGTACTCGACGCAACAGCGAGTTCGACCACGAGACGACGAACATGTCTTCGCCGACACATCCAGCCACTATCCAAAACGCCTTCGAATACAGCCTACGAACGCAGAGCTTGATAGAGCAGAAGCTGTATGGATATCAGTCCGTGCATATCCGTCCGAGTCGCCGTCGAGTACACCAAAACCTTTCCATCTGAGGGTGTCAATCTTCGATCCAAAGGCAGAGGCGGCTGATGAAGATGGATCGACCGAGGATGCTCGCCATGGCGATGACGAAGTACAATGTAAAAATTGCAACCAATGGATGCCAAAGGGTTCACTCTTCTTACACGAGAACTTCTGTCTTCGCAATAACATCGTCTGCCCCCAAGGCTGTGGTCAAGTCTTCCAGAAGCGCTCTCCGGCATTTCAGAATCACTGGCATTGCCCGCACGACACCTTCGCCGGCAACACTCCGCTCAGCCTCCAGAAGCACAATACCATTTATCACACGCAACAAACATGCGGCTCCTGCGGTTTCGAACTTCCCTCACTCCCAACTCTCGCATACCACAAGACTACTATTTGCCCCGGTAAGCTCATACTCTGCCGCTTCTGCCACCTGCAAGTCCCGCAAGAAGGCGACCCAAACGAGCCTCCAAACCCAGAACTCCTACTCTCGGGCCTGACACCACACGAACTCGCCGACGGCGGACGGACAACAGAATGCCATCTCTGCAACAAGATCGTGCGCTTCAGAGACATGGAGACACATCTCCGGCACCATGACCTCGAGCGTCTTTCCCGCCCCGCGCCCCGCATCTGCCGCAACACAAACTGCGGCCGCACCCAAGACGGCGCAAGCAAAACAGGCGATACCCGTGCCGGGACGCGAAAGGGTCAAGGGCCAGGGAACGAGATCGGACTATGCAGCGTCTGCTTCGGGCCGCTGTACGTCTCGCTGCACGACCCTGAGGGCAAAGCATTGAAACGTCGTATCGAGCGGCGGTATCTGAGTCAGCTGCTCACCGGCTGCGGGAAGGCTTGGTGCAGGAACGAGTTCTGTCGTGCTGGACGGAAGAATCAGGGGCAGGAGGATCGGTCGGTGCCGACGAGGGAGGCGATCCCCATGGTGAAGCCGTTTTTGGCGGGTATGGATGGGAAAGGCTATGTCACGCCGCTGCATTTTTGTGTCGATGAGGCGAGTCAGAGGAGAAGGACTGTGGCTGGGATGTTGACGGCTGAGAAGGGTGTTGAGGGGAAGGGTGGATATGGAATGGAGTGGTGCGTTGCTGCGCTCGAAGCCGAGAACGGCGACCTAGATAAGGCGAGGGCATGGTTAAAGGGTTGGGCACCGCAGCGGGCTGAAGCTCAATGAGCGCCCTTCGACCAGCGATATGAGAGATTAGAATATAGCATATAGACATGAGATACCCCAAACGAAGAATGATGGTTCGTTGACATGTTTCAAAACTGACAACTGTGATATTGCACTAGATGTAACAACAGTAATGTACGCATCCCTGTCATACCAATGAACTCCGCCGCTAATGCTACTTATATACAGGAGACCACTTTACCTTGGCCCCTACATACTCCTAAATGTTTGACTTGATCAGGCCGATCGTGTTCGAGTATACGCTCAGGTTGTCAGACCAGAGAGCTTTGTTTTGACCATTGATGGTCAACATCTGCTCGACACCGACTTCGCTCAGCGCGAACGCTTGGAAGCTCGTTGTTCCCTCAAGGCTCAGAATCTGACTCTGGCATATCCTCTTACCGTTTGGTGCATCGGCCTTGCTGCAGGTCAGATCGTAGTTGATAAAGAAGGAGTAGAGCCCTCCTCCATAGATAAGAATGTTAGTCGAGTCAACGGCACGGAGCCCCCAGGCGCGTTGGCCGGCCGTGTAGACAGGATCGTTGTAGGCCGCTTGTCGCACATAAGGCGAGCTCAAGGCGTCTGGTGTCGGCTGGAAGTATGGCGTCTCAGTCTGGATGAAGCCTGCAAACACGTCCGCCGCCTTGTTGAACTGATATTGGTACAGGGTGTGATGCTCTACGCCGTTCGCCCACAGCCAAGTGCCTCGACCTTCAACCAGAAGACCGCGTCCTGTAAAGATGGAGATTTGTGTGGACTTCGGGTCGTCAAGATCATGGTCTGCCGTCCAGAACCAGTTGTTCTATAGAATTGTTAGTGTCGACTCAGATTTCTTGAACTGTATCTCTCACCTCGAAGTAAGCTCCAGACGCGGAGCTAGTGATATGGACATTGGTGTGTGCGGCAAAGCATTGAGGGTTCACAGACCCAGTGGGGCACTGCGTGACCTGATGACCGGTACCCTTAGCTCCTCCGACACGCGTGTGAACGTCCCAGATACCAGAGCCACGAGCAGTCCTTAAGTTGTACTCGATCAGCTTTGCTCCCGGAGTACCTCCTTGAGTCTGCACAAGCATGTCAGACCACTCGATACTGCCACTTTGGCCAGCTTGACCAATCCTGACCACAGGTCTGGGGTTGTTCTGGTCTGCGAAGGCGTTTCCAGAGCCCATGATAGTTGAGAAGGTCTCTCCGACTGCACGAAGACCGGGCGGGAAGTCGAGTGTGTTGGTAACCTTGTAGACACCGTGCTCGAAGAATAAGACCTTATTCTGTGATACAGCTGCGTTGATAGCATTCTGTACAGCCTGGGTATCGTCTGTATTTCCGTTTCCAGTGGCACCGGAGCTACGAGCGCTGATGAAGTCGCTCGATGTCAAAGCCTCATATTGAGGCTTGGACTTCGAGTAGAATTTACCATTGTCCAAGAGTCCAGCAGGCCGGGCGGCTGCTGTAAAAATGCCTTGGAACTTCTGTGGTCCATTTGGCGTGTACCTGTTGCCCTGACCCCAGGTATCAATAGTGGTAGATCCACCAGCAAGGACAGTGGCGCCATTGGGACCCTTGACTGCGACAGGGACATTGTTGAGCTTGACGTTCTGGATGGTAAGTTGTCCGGCGCCAGTAGGTGTTGTGGACAACGACCATGCCTGATCAACAAAAGTAGGGCAGTTGGTAATCTCACTGTCAATGATGACGACTGAGCCGACTTCCAGCTTGCCTGCTGCCGCTCCGTTGGTCATCGAGAAGGCAGTACCGCAGTCGCTGATAGACAAGCCTGAGTACAGCCAGCCCCAGTCCCAAATCTGAGATATGCCCACGATGGCCTTGGAGATCTTGACGTTCCGCATAGTGAACTGCTGGTTACCGATGTTCATACCGTATAGGCCTCCCTCAATATCGAGATCAGCCATGTGGCCTCCAGATCCTGAATGGAATTAGCATATATCATGCAGCATATGCAATCAGATTTACCATTTTCAACGAAGATGCCAGCGTGAACAGAGTTCGATGCTTGGTTCATACGGATCTTCACATTCTGTATTGTAGTTGCTTGCGAAGCCGGCCAGTGGATAGCTTGGAAACCTAGAGTCGGGGATCGAGCAGTACCATCGATGATCAAGTTTCGAATCTGGCGCATGAACAAGTTGGTAGAGGTCCAACCGGGTTGGCCATTGTCATTATTGTAAGGGCTGCCGTCGATCAAAGCCAGAGCATCGAGGGTGGCTGAAGCTTTGAGAACAGGCAAGTTCCGAGGATTGCCGATAAGCTGGGTCATGTAGTAGAATATGATCGGCTTTTGGATGAGGTAAGTGCCAGAAGGGATGTACACGACGGCGGGAGAGTCAGTTGACGAGTCGCACACGGAAGGACCGCAGCGGTTTCCGTCCCTGATCGCACGGTTGATCGCATCCGAGTCGTCAGTAACACCGTCACCTTACAAAGTAAGCCAGACGTCGAAAGAAACAGCAATCGACTCACCTCTCGCGCCGTAGTCCTTGACGTTTCGGAACACCTTGTACCCTGCGGAGTTTGAGTTGAAAGGAGCGATGCCCTTGCCGGACAAGTCATTTAACCAGTAGCCGTCAGCAGCGGCTCGCGGCTGCAGTTTTTCGTCCAGAAAGACAGCATCGAATTTCGTTGTTGCAGTGTCTGCCGATCGAGGGATAGGCGCTGTTGAAAAGGCATATCAGCAACATGACACAGCAACCTGTAGCTTGAGGACCTTACCTATGACTACACTTTGAGCGACAGCTGCCCAGAGGCAGAGCGCGACAGAGAGTACCTGCATGAGTGTGGTGTTTGTGCGCAGGTTGATAAAAGGGGAAGAAACCACGCCTGAGAACGCGCACTCGGGGCAAATGGGGAGGGAGCCTGTGAGAAGCCCTTTTCGCGGCAGGCGTGACGTGCCTATTTATCTCAAGTCTGGTAGCCATTTCCTTTGCCCCACTAGTGAATAGTAGTTGATGGGAGGGTTAAGTGAACCCCTGCCCCTCCAAGAGACAGATGATCATCCATAGGGATGTCTTGAGCAGCCGAGCATTCCAAGGAGTCCAGAAACCCCTTACGACTGGACGCAACCACAGACCCACTCCACTGCCTGGTCCTTGAATGAACGGTCATACGCCAGGAGGAACGTCGGTAGGTGATCTCGCAGCCACGGCACGGTTTCGCATCATGGCATTCCATAGTGCTTGTCGGCAATCCCTCTCTTGGTCGAACTGACGCGGTCTAGTACGAGGCGCCTACTTGCATTGAGTAAAATGAGGGCACTATGGAAGCAAGGACTTAGTGTCGAAGCAGAGTACAAAATCGCTCGAGAAGCCGTTGGGCTAGCCCGTAGTAGGTGCATGTCACCGGGTCGGCTCGAAAGTGTTTTAATCCCCGTCCAACCATGTCCAACCATCGGGCGACGCAGGACGGACGCATGTGATGAGGAGGTTCCAAGCTTGTCTGCAACATCTCCAAAGCGGTTCTGGAAGTAGTCGCCGCTGCTACTGGCTTTTAGCTTTTTGTGTAAACACCTGCATTCTGTTCTCTGCCTCGTGGTCAAGATGGTTGTGTTACACTGCATCCACCTTCCACGGCCATGGTAATTACGACATGACCTCGTTCGCAATGCGCGCGTGCTTGCATCGATGTGCTAAGCCATAGACATACTACCGCAAGTTTCGCACATGGATCTTCTACAGTTGGACTGCAGTCGCGTGCGCCCTCCAAGACACAATGACACGGATGCGCAAAAGTATGACCTAAGTTTTGACACCTGCAGGACTCAAGATAACCTGCAGCTGGTGCAAGACTATACCGGGAAAAAAGTCTCAAGAGATGAATGAAGGACTATTGCATGTCTACAAGGGCAGAAGAGGTTTGAAACGCGGCGCGTAGATTTCCTGTTGCGTGCTGTGCGCCGAATAAATCTGTGGTCAGAGCACCTAAGGAGCTGAGTACTGAGTAGAACCGCCCAGGACATAACCGTCGGATCCTTGTCAGGAGTGGTGATCGGAGTTGATGCCTGTTGCGGATCGCACGCAGCACAGACATATCAGGGCCGAAAAGTCGCACGAGGTAGATCAGATGGCCCTAACAGATAGATTAAGAAGCTCGGGTGTTGACCAGTCATGTGCTCGAACATTTCCCTTCAGCGCGACCACAACCAATCACGGCGATACTCCGTCGATCGGTCGGTCGCTTCAAAATTCACTCCAGCAGCACACGCAAAGATGGCCATGAAAGAAAGGCCGGAAAGCGAAATTGCAGCAGATCAGCAACTAATAGGAGATCGCTGCAGCCGGTCATTTGCCATCTCCAGGCTGCAATCTCGTGAGCTGAGAAGCAGGAAGGCTCTCGCCCATGGGTGAACCGCCAGTCTCCTCCGGGGCATCTCCTGTGTCTTCCATGCACATGTGACTTTGATGTTCCACCGACTGCCAGATGTCCTCACATCCGGATGAAATATCCGAGGCAATATAGCTAGGTTAGCCAAGGGTCATTGATTGATCAGGGTCGCTTGAGATTGGATCGAGGGCCGCCCTCATAGCTTTGGCCTCATCTCAATGAAAAGGCACTCTCCGGTGGTGTACACCGTTCCCTCACCGTCCTCGACAGTCGCACGTACATAAAGTTTCCTGCCATCTTGTCGCTCTATCGTCGCGGTACAGAGCAAAAGACCGGGGACCGGCACTGGCTTCTTGTAGACTGTGTTCAGATCTGTGGCACATTGTCAGCGCGAAGACCAGCAGCTCTGACCGGCGGCAAAACCTACATGCCGTGAGATAATTCATGGCATGCTCGGAGCCAAGCTTCTTCACTTTCTCAAAGACATTCAGTTGGATCAGGCCTCCACAAGTCTCATCTAACAGGGTAGCCGCAAAGCCTCCGTGCAGCACTTGAGAGTAACCGTTGAGACCATCCCCAAGATCCAGAATTACCAAAAGCTCTTTGTACGCCAGGTCACCATCCTCCTCTTTGGATGGTCTGAGTGTCAGCATCGTTCGTATCGTGCGACCGGTATCGAGGGTCTCTGCGAAGAACGAGTCCTCGCCCGTTGGCTTAGGAAATCGATTAGAGCTCTTCGTCGGAGTCCAGCGCTTGTCGTTGATAAGCTTGGCAGCCCATGGTATCGCTGACAGCCTGGCAATATCGGCTTCTATCATGGTGGGCGTTAGTAATGCTCGCACAGTCGCTGCGGCGTGCGCGTTGGCAATGTCTCTTGTGGAGGCCGAGGTTGTCAATCTACCGGTACCGTATACGCTAGCGCAACCGTATCCGCAACCGCAACCACGACTATCTAAAGATCAATTACACCTGAAAGATTGTGCAGAAGCTCCTGACCAATGCTCTACACGTCTCCCAGAATACCTGGATTAATATTTACGTTGCCATCCGCTTCATGACCCTTCGAAACTGCTTTCAACATCGAAGCAATTGGCCATTTTGCGTGGAACTGAGTCAGCAAGATGCCTTGATACATCACTGCACTAAAGGTGTCATGCTTCTGAAAGACATCAACTGATTTGGCCATGTCGCTTCTGTGATAGCGGGCGCAGTCACTACCATGGGCATGGTTCACATGCATGTTCCACACATCGACAAAATGGAGACGTCATTATACACGCTAATCCACTGCCAAAGACGCGACCCGTCAACATGTCCATACCCCAGATTCAGGGTCGATGATGCGTTACCGAGGCTCTCGTTCAAGTCTCGACCATAAGATATCGTGATCCTCCTATTTGTGTAAAGTACTCCCTTGCCACAAGTTTCCAAGCTCTCGAACTCTTACCAATCGAACCCCTCCCCAAAGCCGCATCACCATGTCGAAGCCACACTCCAAGACCGTCCGTGGAACACTTGACAACCCTAAGACACAGGCCGCCATCAAATCGGGCAGCAAGCCGCCACAGCTGGGAGACCATGTCTCGCTGAAGCCAGAGAACGACGACCCTCCTACGCCTGAGAACAAGAAAATCACTTCGTCATTGGTTTCGAACTCATCGTCGGACACGAACGATGATGACCTGCCGCATTCTAAGAAGGTCAGAGGTACATTGGCAAACTCGGATGGAAAACAAGCCAACAAGACCCAATTGGGCGACCCGGTGAGCTTGAAGGCTGAGACGAGCCACACTGATCTTGGGAGGCAGACAGAGAGGGAGGGCATGGAGAAGAGCAAGCTCTGAGACATAAGCGAGCATATGTAATACAATGAATCAAATGAAGGGAAACACCTCGAAACACCTTGAACCACGCTCTGAGACTGTACCATGAGAACTGCGGCGATGTAGGGTGATTGCGGGGCCCCACTCTGTGAACGAGAACATGTAGACTGCTCGATAATTCTGTAACTTGAAGATCAGAAGAAGGGATGCATCCTTAGGCATTGACAGGATGCCCCATCTCCCGACTCCCTGCCACACGTGGTGAGACCCTGCAGATCCATAGGAGCTGTCGAGCTGTCTACCCCACCGAGCGGGGCCTTGAAGCTCCTAGCTTTCACCAACATTGCCCAACACTCACACCTTGCAATCCACAGAACCACCCACCCGACCCTCAAGATGGCAGACCTCAATCTCCAAGAAGTCCACGACTTTATGATCTCAGTCGCTAAAAGTGCCGCCGACCGCATCACCTCCGCGAAACCCACAACCTCCTCCTCCGGCTCGAAGAAGAACTCCGTCGACCTCGTCACCGAAACCGACCAAGCCGTTGAAAAGCTAATCTCCACGGTCCTCCGCGAGAAATACCCTTCCTTCTCTTTCATGGGTGAAGAGACCTACTCGCCCGGCGACAAGCTCACGTCCGCACCGACATTCATCTGCGACCCGATCGATGGCACCACGAACTTCGTGCATCGGTACCCGTACGTGGCGATATCGCTGGGGCTGGCTATCAATTTAAAACCCGTCATTGGCGTCGTGTACAATCCGTTTACGCAGACGCTGTACTCGGCGATCAAGGGCCGAGGCGCGTATTTGAATCAGACCACGAGGCTGCCGCTTACACCGCCCACGCCGCTAGAGACTCTGAATACGTGTCTCGTTGCGGTGGAATGGGGGAGCGATCGGAGCGGGAACGACTTTACGGTTAAGAGCGAGACATTTAAGAATCTGGCTGCGACGAAGGAGAATGGAGGAGGCATGGTGCATGGGCTGAGGTCGTTTGGGTCTGCGGCGTTGAATCTCTGCGGCGTTGCGAGTGGAGGGCTGGATGTCTACTGGGAAGCTGGCTGTTGGGCGTGGGATGTTTGTGCTGGGTGGATCATCCTCGAAGAAGCTGGAGGCATCGTCGTCGATGCGAACCCGGGCAATTGGAAACCCAGGATAGATGAGCGCAGATACATGGCTGTACGTGGCGGAGAAGACCAGAAAGAGATCATTGAAGAGTTCTGGAGTCTGGTGCACGGCAGGTTCGAGGTCGGTGTATAGACGGGTGGTTTCGAAGTGCTCGAGACCCCATCCATCACCCGTAGACTCCAAGCATAAACATCGTTCACAGAAAGCAACACCGTGAGGGCAAATCAGTGTAGCAGCGGCCTAAGTTTCTCATTGCGCGCCACTAAGATCGTCCACAGCCAGAACCCCATTCAAGCGGTTTCAGTCAATCTTTCCGCTTCAGGCCTTTCCGTCGAGAAAGAGCCCTCCAGCGTGGTCGAATCGACCAGCGCAAAACCAAACTTCCGAAAATGAGTGTTCGTACATCCCTTAGTATAACAACAGCTCCTACTCCATCCACCAACGCGCACACATGAACAAAGGAAACGCTGTCTCGTCGTAGACATGTACTCTCTCCGCAAGCAGAGAGGGGCGGTGGGAATGGAGAATCGTTGCGAGGTCGTTCAAAAAGAATATTAGAAGCGTGATGGGGGTAGCAGACACAGTAAGAGGGGAGGAGAGAAGAATGAGAGGAGGGGAGGGGGTAAGGATAATTGCAACCAGCCGGGCCGTCGATGTTACGCCGAAGAAATCAGGGGAGGAGTCGTGTCCTATCCGTATTTTTCTGGGTTTTCTGTTTTACTGATGACGATGAGCGAGTTGCGTGATGCGTTGTCGCTTGTTGGCAATTTGTGATTGTTCGTCGGGAGTTGAGAGTGGGTCAAATTAATGGTACTCCAAAGTGGTGTGGTGTGTGGTGTGTGTTTGCAGCTGTGCTTGACGAGAGGCAGTCGAGGCAACCTTAGATGGTCCTGGGAGTGCCGCGAGCGGAGGGGCTGGGGAATGTCAGTGTTGGTCAACTTACACTTCTACGGCTGTCAAGAAAGATCACAAGAGATGCGCAAAGGCTCACCTCGCGTCCACGAGATCATCGACATGGTTGCACATCGCCACGAACAGGTCAAAGAACAGTTTCCCCCCCATCTCCATCTCCATCTGCATGGTTCCACTACGCTTGAATGTTTTCCGGCTGCGAATAATCAGAGCGAGGTAATGAGCGCGCAGCCTCGAGTCATTGTCTGGTGTGTTCTCGTAGGCATACCGAGCACTGCGCAAGATCACGCCGACCTCGATCCCGCTCTGCAGGCCCTGCTTGCGCAGGGAGAGCTTCTTGAGCTCCTCGAGGCCGTAGCGATCGGCAGCACAGTACACGGCTGTGTCACGGAGGATAACGTCACTCACACCGGTATGGAGGAAGGTTGACTCGACAGCGGCAGCGCGGTCGCTGGTTTTGTTTGGGTCGGGTGAGGCTACTGTGCCCTCAAGCATCCAGGTCTGACGGCGCCTGTCATGGACCAGGCGGGGGTAGTAGTCGCCTTTATATAGATACTCGAGGATGCAGGAGAAGACCTCGGGTTCCTCCGTAGGCAGGTTGATGTGTCGATTGGCGGACTCGAAGAACTGGCCTCGCAACGCTTGCGCGAAGAACGGGGCATGTGACAGGACGTCTTCGTGTGCAGCAAACAGTCGCTGGTCGGGACCCACGACGACTGTCACGATGGCAGAGGTGAGGCTCGGTGAGGTCGCCTGTTTCACCATGGGGCTATCCTTGCGCACATCCAGCTTCTCGGCCATCTTCTGCTTCTGCTTCAGTTCAGAAGCATCGCGAAACGATCTCTTCGGCTGTTTCTGTATCTTGCCCGAACGGTCCTTAGAGCTAGCAAACGAACGTTTTCCGAACATCTTGACCGAAGAGAGGGATCGTGACGAGCGACGGAGAGACTTGTAAAGAGTGGACAGGTTAGTTGACGCGGGTTGTGAGTATGAGCGACCTCCGGAAGTCCTCAGATTTCGCGCTTTTCGTGAAAAAGGCACTACGTCCAAGAAACTTGGTGCGTATCTAGCACGTGGCGTGAAGATACCACACGCGGATTGTCAGGTTGTGGCTTGTCGAGAGGGCGTAACGAGGCCAAACTGTGGGGGAGGCCGGTATTTATACACAGCCTTGCATCCCCTGCCACCTATCGACGTAGCCCCAGCCAACCGGGCGATGCAGCACGCTTTATTCGTTGAGCTGGAGGCGCCTGTCCAATAACAGTCGTGCATAGACATCAGGCAGCAAGGCATCGTTACCACCGCGTTCCGTCGCGGTCTGAGCGACAACATTAGAATAACATGGAAGACCCTGCTTGTCTTGTTGATCGCTCTGTGGCGGGGCTTGCGCTAGAGAAAGGCGGCAACGGACAACACAGCAGCAATGTTCGTTTCCTTCGTTTCATGGTATGCCAATTGCCTTTTCTCCTCTAGGAACGCTTGATCGCGACATTCTGCGTGCTTATCGTGGCTGCAAGGTCTGTCAACGCGACACACGCGATGTAACGCGCGGTTTTGTCGCGGTGTCACGTTACGGTCCGTTTCATTTTCATTCTCAATCCGCTTCGGGCAAGGTGACTCATTTCGGCATGTCGGTCGTTGCATAGGGTTTGGGGTATGACAAGAAAAGACAATGGCAGCGCCTGTGCGGGGCTGAGGGCGTCATTGAGGAGCTGGGAAGTTCATCTCGCAGCTGTTGGATTTTGGAGTGGACCAGACTTAGTTCCGGATACCCGAAGTTCTGATGGGACGTCATGGGCATATTTCGTCGTCAAGTCCAGATGAATCCTCGTCGTTATTGGGTCTTTCGAGGCTGTCGAAGACACGAGGTATAGTATTGCATAACCAACCTCATGCTGTGACTATTGTGACAATGGTGTTGTTACAACAACATGCATGGCCAGTGATTACGCACAACCCTTGCTAACGTGAGATATGACATGTCTGTAGCACGAAGTATCGAAGCCCATTTCCCCGGTATTCGGCAAAGTCATGACAATGCACTGGCATCACCAGTCGAAGTAACAAAAGAGGAGGCAATAAATGGTTCTCACAAACTCTTAGGTTCAGAGCATACTTCTGAGAAGTGATTTCCTAAAGTCAGCCTTTGCTGCGATATGAGGAGTTTGCAGTGGGCCAATAAAAAGCCACTTTACCTTGTCCAAATCGAGGCTACCAGGTAGACAAGCAAAGGACAAAAGCCCGGGTTCGATTTCTGGTGTATCCAATCTCTGCAGTTTCTCACTGTAGTTTGATAATAGGTGAAGGAGGACATGGTAAAGATTCTGTTTCACTGCAGCTAAAGACATCAACGTAGTGAACAGAGAATCTGACAGCATTTGCTAATCTAACACTGTACTTCCTAACTGCTCTGCAATCTATAACATGGCGTTAAGCCAAGAAGAGAAGGCGACTGGACTAAGAGAGACAAAGAAGGAATTAAGTATGAAAAAATAAAGGCAAAGATGCTTAACGTTAATCTTTTGTTTCATTTCAAGCAAGAAACCTCGAACGAATGTAGTACAGCCTGTTCGTACGAATGTTCGCTCAATGTCTAGGCTTACTGCAAGTGACCCCAGAACAGCAGATTGAGTTTGGCTAATTACAGCGAACGCAGGCGTTGATGGCAGGAAGCAGTGAAGAAGTTACGCACGCGAAACAAACGGTAGGGCTGCCACGCTGTTTCCAAATGCGACCGCTAATTCGCCCTACAGCTCCTACCACCAATGAATCGCAACTGTGTACGAAGGCTCTACGAACACATGATGAGTGCTGTGCATTTATAAGAACACCAGCTGGACCCTGACGCGTCACAGCACCGCCTTCGCAAGGCAGCTTCTGTGGGTGATGGTGCGAAAACACTGCCGGCGGCAAACGCAGTGGCCCCCGGCATCGACGGGCCACAGTGAGCCCACGATGACATGATGCACACGACGTTTCGCTCGCTGACCATCGTGCGCAGGCATCGCCAAGAGAGATGCCGCTGCCGCAAAAATCTCTCCATGGCGGCGCAGGGCGGTGAAACGAGATGAAGCCAGTGGATCTCTTGCCGATTGGCCTGGTTCACTCCTCGATACGGTAAGGCGCCAGGGACCATCCCAACTTGCGCCTCTCGGTCGACGGAAGCCGTGGCCCCTTGACAGACGAAAGTGGTGCCATCGTCCACCATCGCAGATCTGGGCTCTAACAGTCTGCAATTTAATCCGCCTCCTGCGCAGCTTCTTTTGCCTCCCCTCTCCACTGCAGCTACGACAGCACCAACAGTACCTACCTCCTCCTGCAGTCGAACCCCATCTTTGTCCTGTTGTTGCACGCAGGCAGAATGTAAGTCCCCGACACCCCCGGCTGGTGAACTGCAGCAATCTAACAGGCGCAACAGGAACTCTTCCGCCGTTCTGACGCCAATGGCGCAGGACACCTACTGGGGCTCATTCGAGGAGATCTCCAAATACAATGTCTCACTCAACTACTTCGAGAAGATGTGGCTGGCTTGGTACACATGGATGGGCAACGATGTTTTGGCCACCGGCATCATGTCTTTCGTGATGCATGAGGCTCTCTACTTCGGGCGATCGCTGCCATGGATTATTGTCGATATGCTCCCCATGTTCAAGAAGTATAAGATTCAGGGTGTATGTTCTCGTGTTCTTATCGAAACGGCAAGTACCTAACGACGAGCAGAACAAGATCCCCACCGCTTGGGAGCAAACACAATGCGCACTCCTCGTCCTCCTGTCCCACTTCACCGTCGAGCTTCCCCAGATCTGGCTGTTCCACCCCATGTGCCAGTACTTCGGTCTCACGGCCAGCGTTCCGTTCCCTCCTCTGTACAAGATGGCCTACCAGATCGCCATCTTCTTTGTAATGGAGGACGCATGGCACTACTGGGCCCATCGCACGATGCACGCCAGCTCTTTCCTCTACAGGAATATCCACAAGATTCACCACCAGTACTCCGCTCCCTTCGGTATTGCTGCTGAGTACGCCTCCCCTATCGAAGTCATGATTCTGGGTTTCGGTACCGTCGGTTGCCCCATTGTCTGGTGCGCGATCACCAAGGATCTCCACATCCTGACCATGTACTTCTGGATCGTCCTCCGCGTGTTCCAGGCCGTCGATGCGCACAGCGGTTACGAGTTCCCTTGGTCTCTGCACCACTTCCTCCCCTTCTGGGCTGGCGCTGAGCACCACGATGTGCACCACGAGAAGTTCATGGGCAACTACGCCAGCAGCTTCAGGTGGTGGGACTTCTGCCTTGATACCGAGGCTGGTGCTGAGGCTTCTAAGGCCAGGCGTGAGAAGAAGCTGGCCAAGGCGAAGCTTCAGGCCAGGAAGGCTCAGTAGTCGATGACTCGATGAGATGAGAGATGAGGCTGTGTTTATATGCTGAGGATGATTTCAGGATGGTTTTAGCCATCTCTTGGCAAGAGCTGCCACGTTTTTGAGCGACCATCTGCGGTTGACATAGGAATGGCGTTTTGGTTGCATATGCCGCTGGTGGCAACGCTAGAGAAAGCGGGCCTTTACAATGGCAGTTGTGAATGTTTGAGAGGACAGTATCCTATAGAATTTACCTATATCTAATATTCATACGATCGTTACACCTTCAATAACAGCAATGCCTCCGTCTGCTGTGTCGCAAGTTTACAATCTTGCCAGAAGACCATTTTGAACTGTTCTGCTTGCATGGTATCCGTTCGCTTGTACATCCGTAATGTTTGCCAACGTAATCATCATGTTGCAGACATTCAAATATTGGACGCAACTTTAAGTTACCTTGGCAGTCACGTGCGCTTTGAAGCGCGTTGGGCGCTGCGAGCTGCAAGCGACTTTCTTTGAGCGATCTCACCAGCGCGTCAACTTCACATCTAGGCTCTCCACCCATCCAACGCCACGATGAGCTCGCAGCGATCAAGCGTAGTTCCGCAAGATTTTCTTGTGCGAATTAGATATTCCAATGCGCTCCCTCCTCCGCCATGCCCTCCCAAGCTCCTCGATATTCCCAACACCGGTCTTTCAAGCGGGCAGTACACATCGGCCAGTTTTGCGTCGAGGCTTGCGCGAGAGCAGCCCCTGAACATTGAAGCGGATGCGGAGCTTGGCATGCCCATCGATCTGGTGGGTATCCCAAAGGTGTTCGACGGAGATGAATCAGGTAAGAGAGTGAGCAGCGCGCCGACTATGAGCGATGACTGACGCGTTGTACAGCTATCCATGCCATGGCTCACCCTACGCCTCTATGCGCTGCCGATCGAGCGCTGATGCGACCCCCGAACGCGCTCGGAAAGACACACAACAACGCTACGGGCACCTCCTTCTTGCGACGCACAGAATACATCACCTCGAGTACAACAGGCGGGTCCAAGTTCGAGTCGAGTAACTCGTCCAACACGATGCGTGTACGCCGGAAGCGAAAGCTTCAGGACACCTCGGTCGACGATCCCCTCAACATCTCCAGACACATCTTGAAGGGCTTCAACCTTGCGTACCCGGCCGATGCCTACAACGGGCAAGACAGCGCAGAAAACATCCGCGCAGCAGAGGTCTCAGCCGAAGAGAGGCAGGCCTGGAACAAGCCCAAGAACCCCAAGAACCCCAACCTGAGGCTGCTAGACTCGTACCCATTGCTGCCAGACTGGGATGCCATGACCGACACCGGCGCGTACATGATGTTCAAGTACGTGGCCGCGCCGGTGAATGACCCTCTCAATCCCGCATACGATCCTCGTCTCGACGTTGCGCTCCTGCGCCCCGCAGGCCAGTCGATCAAAGACCAAGAGCTATACCAGCAAGAGAAAGAGGCACAGAAGGAGGACCCCACAGCCCCAGCGCCAACTTCACGGTTCCACTTTGAATTCTTCCTGCCCGGCAGCAGAGACCGCATCCGCGACATCCAGCGCAATCTCTCCACCAACGATCCCAACGCCGACGACATTGTCTTCGACGGCCTGGGTGAAGATGACGAAGGCCGCCCCCGCAAGTTCTTCAAGTACGACAACATCCGCACATACGAGACGTCGCAACAAGTCGCCTGCGAAGACGTCTACGGCGACGTCGTCGCGCTCGCCATGCACGACCCGGAGAAACACAGGCAGGACAGCCTGCGCAGCACGAAGCTGCAGAAGGCCGCATACTTCTATCCGATTATACAGAAGACGAGCATCAGGCCGCGCAGGCCGGGACACTTTGAAATGGTCGAGGAGCAGCAGCGCGTCGATGTTATTGAGGCGGCGGGCAAGGAGCCTGGGAACGAGGCAGAGAAGAGGGACTCATATAGGAGGAAGGCTGAGCCTGTTGAGGTGTGATTGTCCCAGGACTGAGGCGGAGACCGTTTAGTTGCATAGCGTGGCGTTGGGGCGGAAAATTGTATCATATCGAGCTATATGCTGTTTGTGTCAAATGGTGGCTTGAGGGTGATGGATTTAACACGTCCAAGAAGTGTACTACTAGACTTGCTTCGGACTGTGAAGTAGTATGTGCGTCAGAGTGCTGACCAGCAGATATAGACACCGCTCCACCACCCAGAACCACAAATATACAAGAAACAGACATGACCGAGGAACCCAAACGCCGATCATAAGGTCATGAAGAAATATCAAATCCACATGTCACTCAGTCATCAAGACCAAACACCCTACTCTCGGGATCCTCCCACCTCTTACTCTTCAAAATCCTCATCTTTTTAATCGGGCTCGCACTTCTGCCCATTGCCTCGCGCTCGAGTTGCTCAACCTTCGCCCGCAACACCTCATTCTCGCGCTCCAACTCGTCATTCCTCTCTCTTACCCCAGGATCAGGGTCTTCATACACCCTGACCGGCTGTTCGAGACGCATCTGCGCCTTAGTCGCCTTGATGACGACGTCGATCTTCGAATCGAGATGCGCTTGCTGGTTGTCTTGCTCATTGTCGAGTGTCGCTTGCCAACGCCGGCGCTCCTGGTCCACGGCGGCCTCCATCTCGAGGTAGCACTCGTCACGGACTTCCTGTTCGAGGGACGCCATGCGCTCCTCGGCGGCTGCCCAGGACTGCTCTGCGGCTTTGCGGCGCGCGGTTTCCTCGGAGAGACCCAGGGCGAAGATCGAGAGCTCTTGTTGCAGGCGCGCGATCTCGGACGCGGAGGACTCCAGTTCATCGAGGAGAGCGGATGGGGTGCTGCGCCCGGAGCAGGCGGTCCCTGGGCGGGGGCCGGTGGGAAGATTGGATGAGTAGGAGGGTGTGCGTGGTACGGTTACCTCGCGGGCGAGGGCGGAGTAACGCAGGATCTGAGAGGTTGCGTTATAGTCACCCTGTGCGTCGGCAGTGACGATCATGATGGACTTCTGGGGAGAGATGTGTTGTGTGGACCGTGTGGTCGAAGGGAAGGAGTTGGAGAAGAGGAGCTCGGTGAGTTTGCACTGGCGGAAAGGAACGACACTCTACTGTCATGTCAGCGATAGGGCGGGAGCGGAAAAGATGTGGGACGTACCTTGGAGCCCTCTTGATGATCAGCCTGCATTTGCATGCACTGACCCAGGTACATTAACGACTCGTTGATCTTGCCAGCCTCAGCAAGAGTGGAACCAGCGGTCTTCGCGTTACGCGCACGCTCAGATCCAGCAAGGTCCACGATACTCAGTGCGCTGCTCGACCATGGTCCTTTGTACTGAGAATCACGCTTCTTGACTTCGACGCAGAAGAAGCCGTGACTGCGAGAGCTCACGGCATTGCTTCCAGTCCCAGCAACCTTGCGTTCCATCAGACCAGTCTCGAGAATCATCATAGCCTCTTCAAAGCTGCCACATATGATCTTGGTCAAGCCTGCCACCACTTTGCGGTCGGGGCTCTGTTCAGTGCTCTTGAACAGCAGCGCTCGGCGCTTCACATTGGGGTGCTTGCTCTTCATGGCATTGCCTGTCAGAAGATCAAAGATGCGGTCGTTGTAGACCTCATACATCGAAACGACGATGGCATACTCGGCGGTAGGATCGGCGGGTACCTGAATATCGGCGACGGATGGTACTTGCGGTAGGGTCGAGAGTCGAGGGATCTTGTTCGATCGAGAGGCGCCTTGCGAGACGAAACTAGCGTCCTTTGTTGTACGTGAGTCGAAGCTCGCAGTCGATCGTGCGAAATTGGTAAGTGTCGCATGGACAGGACGGATAGAGTGAATGTTTGAACTTGGGCGGCATGAGAAAGTAGCTCGTAGAGCGGGATACAAAGTTTCAGAGGTCACCAGATGCGAAAGTGAAGACGATGAAAGTTAGAGGAGTACATGAGAATAAGAGATACAGAGACAGATTGACTTACAGGTGCAGGTGTATTTGCTCTCGATGGGAACCGTTCGGACTGGCTGTCTCCATACATGGAGTCAAGGTAGGCAGAGGCGGTGAACATGTTGGCTTCAGATACATCTGCTGCCGCGAGCGATGAGAATGCTGGCGCGCCATATAACGATTGTACGAGTTGTTCTTCACAACTCTGGAAGAGAGCATCGAGTGTCATCTGGACAAGGCCGCGCTGCGACTTAGTTCCAAGAACGGTGTGGCTCTGGCAAATCATTAGTATCTAGTCGGCAATCATCGATACCAGATCCTGTACCTTTCCGGACCCTGTGACACCCAAAGTTGCCAACAATCCGTCTCGTCCATGACATCCAGGTGCGCCCAGCACTCCTTCGATCATCGGCACAATGCCTGTTCCTCTGAAGATATCCATCTGGCGCGCATCTTCCTCGAAGACTTGCGTGAATGCGAATCGCTCAATTGCGCGCTTGCGATGGTCATTAACGAATGGCCGAACGGTGATATGTGTCGGGTGGCTGTCATCTCGTTCTTCGACCGTGAGGAAACGAGGGTTCGCGTAGTTGGACGGGCGCAGTCGCAAGTAGACGTCGAAAAGGGCGCTCGAAGGCCGTGGTGGAGGCTCCATTGCCATCATTACTGATTTCGGTGGGGAGCTTGGAGGTGTCGTCGACATTATTGTGGCACCGAGATTGTTTCTGGACAATATGCAGGTCGTGCCTGTTGCCGTTTGCAAACATGTGGCGCGCAACGGTTTCCTGGGCAACCAACGCGTTCGCGTTGCGCTACGGTAAAGCTCTCCGCATGCGAACCTGCCTCTCAGACGTGGAAAGATGGCTAAATCTGCGTGTCCACGGTCAATACCCACCTTCAAAGTGACAATTCCCTGTGTAAAAGAGAAGGCCGTGATTGCGGGCAGCTCCTGCGCTTCATTTAATGTGTTCGGATCTCCAATCAGCTCACACACTGCATTGATCCAAACTTCATTTACAAAGGCGCCCCTTTGCCACGTCACCAGGGCGTCCGGGCTTCTGGCATAGGTTGAGAAGCTCCTCATGCTTCGACTGAAAGCGGTCGGCGAAGGCAACTCTAGTCTTCGCTGCTCTTTCTTCTCATACATTTGTCTCAGCATTGCAATTCTGCTTGTGCGAGGTTCAGACTTTCAACGTCTCCCTTCCAGCGTTCCTGCTTTGACCATCATGTCTTCGAATGCAACGCATAATACACTAACCTCACCCCGAGATCCCGGCATCGCTCATTGTTTGGCTTGTTCTTGTGCGCGGCTGACCACCCTTCGAGAGTGGTGCGTCTCCTCCCAAGCTTGGTAAGTCTGACAACGATTCTCGCTGACTACCGGTAGCGGCTCGAAGAACTCACCAAACAGGGTGGATCAAATGAGGTTAGAAGCTTTCATTCCAACGTGTCGCATCATACGAGTGTTAGGCCAATCTACATCAACTGACGAGGACGATGTGTACTACAGGTGTGACGAAATTGAGTCTCGAACCAAGCTCTAAGGTCACCAGAGTGCACCAACAAGTCACGACTCTCCATATATGCAACATAAAGGGGAGCTATACCAAGGCTCAATGCAACTCTTCCTCAACTCACCGATATAGCTGTTGAGATCCGCGATACCGGCCTCAACTTGCGGCTTATCTCGTTGTGAATGTGGGCTATGAAGTAATGGTTGGGCGGAGGAGTGACTCGGTGCTTGCCGTGGTTTAGACTTGGTGGCTTATGCCTCTGGAGTTCGAGAGCAGGAGATGAAGTAGGCTAGTTGAGTGAGGCTCGGAGGACGAAGAACCGTGCTTTTGCAGCCTAAACCGATGGTAGTGAGCAAAGGTTGAGCAATGCAAGCATTTCAGCGACTCTACAATCAGTGTTTATAGGCTTGGAAGTAGCAGAGGACTCGAGAGAAGTGATCTGGCGTGATCTTATCCGGGACCCTGGGAGCATCTGGTGGCTTACGGTCCTTCACCTAAACGCACTGGCCAAGCAAAACATATCCCTAAATACCTCGGCAATTGCTGCGGATTATGCTGTTACTCCTTCCTACGTTGGTCGTTGTGTCAAAAGCGGAAGGGGAGTATACCTGCTCCACGCATCTGTATCATGGGCATAGCTTGCGGGCGCCTGCGCGAGTGAAAGTGTGATGAGACTTAATAGTGATGATAGAAGCGAAAACGAATGCAGACTGAACGATGAAGACAACATTATGTTATGCAACCAATTTCATTTGCCTTATGCAGTAAACTGCGCGCACACTCATAGCTGGGAACTTATGTACATAATAAACATGATCCATTAATTGCAAAAAACAGAAGTCGATAATGCACCCGATAAGGAACTTTTAGGTGCGAGAAGACCCATATTGGGCATGTTTTGAAGAGTCCACGGAAGGCTGCCCAAGCCCCAGAGATTGTACAGCCAGTCGAGCGGCAACCACCCAAAGACCAGAAGAAATACATGATGGATCCAACAAAACCAGTCAAATATCCGTCCGGGGTGAAAGAAACAGTAGAGTAGTCTCATCCTGGTTCATACACACGCCAGTGTCCCGTTTGAGCAGGCGCCGCGGCTTTTCGTCCGACATTGACCGGCATCTGGTGATATAAGCGCTGTTCAAGGCGTGTCGGAATTTGCGCAGGAGAGATATACCATCAGTACCGTCCACGGGGCGGGTATTCACCAGCCGGCGGGGCATCGTAAGGTGGGCGACCTCCCGGGCTGCGGGGGCGTGCGCCACGAGGAGAAGGAGGACGACCTCCATCGTAGGGACGAGCGCCGCCGCCGTTCATGTAGGGGTCATCGTAGCGACGAGGAGGTGGACCGGCCCTAGCATCGTAAGGATCGTCAGGGTAGCGCGCACGCGGTGGGCCGTACTCATCAGGCGCCATGCGACCACGAGGCGGCGAGCGACCATATCCTCCTTCACGTCTATCATAGAATTCGCGCGGCGGGGTGCGGCGGCGGTAGTCATCCCGGCGGGGGCTGTAACCACGAGGAGGACCGCGGCGATCGTAGTAATCATCATACGGAGCGGGAGGGTAGCCGCCACCACGGCGGCCCATGGGAGAGCGAGATCGGTACCTATCACGGGCCCTGTCATCAGGACCACCAGGGCCTCCGTAAGGAGCCCTTGGCTTGAAAGGAGGGGGTGGAGGTGGGTCGGAGATGTCCTGAGTGCAGGTGACTTCCTGACCCTTGAACTCACGGCGGTCCAGTTTCTCAACGGCAGTCTTTAAGTCGGCGGCCGTCTCGTACTCGACGAAACTGCCATTGGTCAGTGAGGCTGCACACAAATATGCATGCCTGTACTTACCCAGTGCCATCACGCTCGCGACCGACTTCGGAGTAGACGACGTCCAGTCCAGATTGGCGGGCAAAGTCCTTGAGATCCTATACGTTGAGATTAGGCCGAGTCCAATCCAGTATGTGGGTTACATGAAGCACGCAAAAATAAGCCATAGGCGGTCCAGGACCTGGTGTGCTTGGGCCTAACAGGGAGCAGGGCAAATCCAAGAGTGAGGGTGTCTAACCTGCCAGCTGGTCTCCACCGGAAGGTTTGTTATCCTCATCCGGTATGGAGTACGACGAGGACGTGGGGGAACTCGCTCGTGGGGAGTAAAGTTCTCGTTGCGGCGGGATCCCCGCGCAAACTGGACGATCAGGCGCTCGCCCATGAAGTCAGAACCATCTGCGAGAGTCAGGCATGTGCTTGAAGGGAGATGGTATTCTAAGTGGTGTGTACATACGGAAGGCTGCGTTCATTGTTAGCAAATGTTTCTCGAGCGGAACAGTCTCATAGCCTACCAGGAACAACGTCACGCGCGTCCATGGCGTCCTTGTACTCAATGAAACCGAAGCCATTCATGAGCTTGATCTCAGTGATCTCGCCGGTGCCATGGGTCTGGAAGTGGGTCTCGACTTCTGCCTTGGTGGCATTGCGGGGAAGGTTGCCCAAGTAGAGGCGCGTAGAAGATACCTCTGTCATGGTGGTGGTCGTGGTGGTTGCTGTGTAGCCCTAAACTGCTAAGAACCTAGCCTGGTGAGGAGAGTGAGCGCATGTCGACGAAAGTGAGAATAACCAGGGAAGAAGTCTGAATCTGGCACGCCATTGCGAAGGGAGCGGACAGGAAGCATGCGACTGTAAAGCCAGTGGCCCAGGGCTGCGCGCGACAGGAACCAGTGAAGCGCGTTCATTTATGGCCAGCGAACACAAGACAGTAGGCGACTAGTCGTACCTTTGGGGAAGCTGAGCGGGGGCGCGGGGAGTCCTACTGTTGGATGCGAAAGGGTGGCCTTCACAGGGAATCTGATAGCTCGAAGACCTGGGAGAGACGCGCGACGGCTAGGTGCAGTCGTGCGCTTGGAGTCCGGTAATCAATCACTGCGCGCAGGTATTGCGGCAGCGGAAATTGTGATAGAGATGAGCGGGAGGCTGGATTTGATATTGCGGCCCGGAAACGGTGGGTGAGTGGTGCTGGAATAATGGAGTGAGGCGCACACCCAGCGCTCGGCCAAGCTATGTTAGCGTGGGCTCGAGTCACGTGCGGTTCCAACCCAGTCTGCAACAACGCACTTCACATGGAATTGGACCCTTTACATGCACTCAACAGTAATGTATTTCTCACTCATACTTGTGCCGTAACAATAAAGGATTGGTGTTGTACACAAGCCCTGATCACAAGAGCTACTCGGCACGCCCAGCCTCAGCGTTGGGCGGCAACGGTTGCAGGGAAAAGGGTATATACAATTGCACGCTGCCTGATATACACCTGTAGTGAGGCGCTAATGTGCGCCCAAAGATAACATACATGTGATCACATATGTGTCCAAAACTCAAGTGAGGACGTACTTAGGCCCTTCACCACCTTGAGGTGTCTGCCAGTTGATGTCCTGTGCAGGGACCTTGATGTCGCAGGTCTTGCAGTGTACGCAGCTGTGCGGATATGAGCTATATGATCACGAGACGGGGCCGATGCGCATGGACTTACTTTTGGGCGTTGATCTGGAATCTGACGCCCAGCTCCTTGCTGTCGTCCTCAACATACTCATACACGCCAGCAGGACAGAAGCGGTTTTCAACACCCTTGTATTGAGGATACTGCTTCTTCGCGTGCGCGTCCCAATCCTTGACCTGCAAATGACATGGCTGATCCTCTTCATGATTGGTGCCACTGCGGCTTACGCTTGTCAAGATGTCGAAGCTAATCTTGCCGTCAGGCTTGGGATACTCGATCTTCTCGTACTGGTCTGCGGTCTTGGTAGCAGCATGGTCAGGAGCGCCATGCTTCAAGGTCCATGGTGTCTTGCCACGGAAAACATAGGCTTCAAGACCAGAATACAGCACGCCGCCGTACAGACCTAGCTTGGTGTGGAAGGAAGGGCGCATGTTGCGGACCTGCTTGAGTTCCTTCCAGACAGAAGACTTTCTCATCTTGTCCTCATAGTCGAACAAGAATACGGTGCCGCCATCACTGTTGCCTTGCAAAGCGTCCCATGTTGCTTCTGCAGCCATCATACCAGATCGCATAGCTGTATGTGTACCCTTGATCTTGGGCACGTTGACGAAGCCGGCGGAGTCTCCGAGGAGAGCACCACCAGGGAAAGCTAGCTTCGGTATCGATTGGAAGCCACCCTCGATCAACGTCCTTGCGCCGTACGAGATGCACTTGCCACCCTCCAGAACTTCCTTATAGATAGGGTGGTGCTTCATCTTCTGGAATTCGCCGTACGGGGCCAACCATGGGTTGGGGTAATCAAGACCAACGACGAGACCAATACTGACGAGGTTGTCACCGAAATGGTACATCCAGCCACCACCGTAGGTGTCCTTTGGCAACGGGTAGCCCATTGTGTGGGTAATCTGCCCAGATTTGAACTTCTCGGGCTGAACCTCCCATACCTCCTTGATACCAAGACCGTATGTCTGGTGCTGGCTGTCTCGTCGCAGGTCGTACTTCTTGATGACCTGCTTCGACAGACTACCGTGGCAGCCTTCACCAAGCAGTGTCACGCGAGCATGGAACTCCATGCCGCGCTCGAAGGAGTCCTTGGCCTTGCCATCACGTGAGATACCAAGGTCATTTGTCGCCACGCCCTTGACTACACCCTCGTGGTTGTACAGGATCTCCGAAGCAGCAAATCCTGGGTATACCTCCACACCGACTTCCTCTGCGCGTTCGCCAAGCCACTTGACCATCTGGTTCAGACTAATGATGTAGTTGCCGTGATTGTTCATCTGCGGTGGTTTCGGCAAAGGGATCGAGCCGGTCTTGGTAAGGAAGCGCATGCGGTCCTCCTTTGCAGGGGTAATGTCGGCAAAACGGTTCAGGTTATCCTCAGACTTCCAGTCTGGCAGTAGCTCGTCCAGGGCAGAAGGTTCGATAACATTGCCAGAGACAATGTGGTCGCCCAACTCGCCTGACTTTTCGAGCAGCAACACACGGAAGTCCTCATTTCCTGCAGCATTGGCAATCTGCTTCAGCTTGATAGCGGCAGACAGGCCAGCAGGCCCTCCCCCAACGATGAGGACATCAACCTCATCTACCTCTCGCTCAATGGACTTCGGGTCAAAGGAGTCGTCTTCGGAGGCCAATCGTGCTCGTGGCGTCGATGAAAAAGCCCTTCTTTGGCCCGCGACGCGAATGGCAGGACGATACGGTTCGGTCAAGGTTCGCGTTTGTGATGCTGCGCATGTGAAGGGCCGAATAGATAATCGTGTGGCGCGTGGTGTTGCAAGCAATCGCCGTGTCAGCGTCGCGGGTACTGTTCTGGAGGCCATTGTATGGTGAGGTGTGGGGAGGTGTGAGGCTATTCGAAATCGATTACAACGCCGGGACAGCCTAAAATTTCGGACCTGCCGCGCACTGAACAGTTCACCCCAATAATGTAATCTGTTTGCGATGAAAGCTACAGAGGCGCGGCATGAGTACCCCCATTTTTGGAGCCAGAGCTCTATGACGAAAGCCCGAGTCCAACTTTCGCCTCGGTAGTCCGGCGGGCCAATGAGGAAGCTGCTGATTCTCTTCCAGCGCACCTTCCGCTTTGGCTATCCCTTCCGTAAGCCGAACAACTGAACAACAAAAGGAATTCGCAATTCTCGCTTTGATGATCTGAACGGTCTCTGCTACTGAGAATCACTTGGATTGATGACACCACCACAGTCTCTATTGTCGTTACGCCGTGATTGAGGGACCGCCGTCCTCTGCTATGCCGAGAAATCACCACCGAGGTCAACCTTTTCGCATTGCGTCGGCTGCAATTACCAACGAGACTTCCAGGTCAGAGCATGGAATGTGTAGAGTACCTAAGCAAACTGACGACTCGGACAAGATGCATCACAACTTGCTGCTTTTTAGCTGTGAGCAATCTATTTACGACACCTGCCTTGCCTCGGATCTCAGGCAGCCTTCGCGCAGGCGTGAAATGAAACCGCTGTAGAAACCGGTGCTACCATTCACAGTGCCACGCTGGAAGATATTGCGAAGTGTCAACAGAACATCTTCCTGATCTTGATGTTGAAAATCGCGCGCCAGAGTACCTGAAACTGGCTACGCTTCATGCTTGCAGGCTGCACTCGCACACCAAACTCGTGCGTTTAAGAAATCTCTTCTGGGGTAGTCCGCACCCCGGCCTGCCTGCAACATGGTCTCCGACAGCACACGTTCGATTACAGTCGGGGAATCCTCACTAACAAAGATTGTCAGGACCATCATCGTGGAACTTGGTCCTCAATGCGTTAGATCGTTCGCCTGTTCCTGACGGAGACCACTGGCACAGGTGGCCGTGTCGTTCTTCTCGGCTGCCACCCGGTGGCTGTCAAGGCGAAATAGGCAGGATCGACCGATGTGACACATCTGCGGTCCTGTCGATATCGGCTCTTCGGAAACCCAGCGCCTACAAGCATCGTCCAACGGCGCGTGTGTTGAATGCACGGGATCTTCGAGAAAGCATCGAATCATCCGGGCCTTTTCCTCCTCGGCCATGCCTCAGCCGAGAACATCTTGAAGATCAAACACAACACCAGCAAGAGTATATATCCACCGTCCTCAGAAGGATTCAATGGCACGCCCAGTCTATTCTCTTCGTCGATCTTTGGTGCAGGGCACTTGCTATTCTCGTACCTTCCTTTCTTGTGAGAGCTGTGCTCACTTTACTATCTTTAACAGTTGATCTGGTAAACATCTTTACGCAATCGCAATCATGAAGATCGCATACTCTCTCCTCACTCTGCTGTCCGCGTCGATGGTGGCAGCAGCGCCGCACCCTTATGTCGTCACGGATGCAGTAGCCGCTGCTGGATCTCAGAATGATGGCATTCCCGTCCCTGATCTCGACAAACGACAGCACGTCTCCGTCTATGGCCTCCGTAAGCGAACTATCGAGCTTCGTGACGCTCTCTTAGCTGCCCGTGGAGGCCAGCGTGAGAACGAGATCCTTGACACCAACGGCCTGCAAGAACAGGCGGCTGCAGCAGGCGAGGACGCCGCCGCACTTTCTCCTTCAGCAGCGGGCAATACCGCCGACGCCACCGCTGGCCAGGAGTCTCAACTTCTTGGAGACCAGGACGCCGACCGCGCAGCTCAGGAGCAGCAGAACGCCGCCCAAGAGCAGCAGAAAGCTCAGCAGGAGATCGACCAAGTACAGCAAGCTGTCGACCAGACGAAGCAGGGCCAGCAAGCTGCTGCTGGCAACGCAACGCAGCTCGTAGGCGGCGGTGCAGCTGCAGGCAATGGCACGATGGCCGGTCAAGGCAAAGGAAAGGGCAAGAAGGGAAAGGCGGGCAAAGGCAAGGGCAAGGGCAAGGGCAAGGGCAAAGGCAAGGGCAAGGGCAAGGGCAAGGGCAAGGGCAAGGGCAAAGGTCAGGGCCAAGCCCAAGCTAATGGCGCTGCTAGTAATGGCACAGCGGCCTGCAACCAACAGCAAGCCAAGGGTAAGGGCCAGGGCAAAGGCAAGGGCCAGAACCAAGCTCAAAACCAAGACCAGGCTGCAACAGTAACACTCGGTAACGGCGCTGCTAGCAATGGCACTGCGGCGGCCTGCAACCAACAGCAAGCCAAAGGAAAGGCCACCGGCAACGCCAACGGCAACGGCAACGGCAAGGGCAAGGGCAAGGGCAAGGGCAACGCCAACGGCAACGGCAACGCCAACGCCAACGGCAACGCCAACGGCAAGGGCAAGGGCAACGGCAACGCCAACGGCAACGGCAACGCCAACGCCAACGGCAACGGCAACGCCAACGCCAACGGCAACGGCAACGGCAACGGCAATGGCAACGGCAAGGGCAAAGGTCAGGGCCAAAATCAAGCTGCAGCAGGAGCAATTGGCAACAACGCTGCTAGCAATGGCACAGCGGCCGGCAACCAGCAGCAAGCCAAAGGAAATGGCAAGGGCAAGGGGCAGAACCAAGCCGGTGCCCAGGACCAGCAGCAAGCTGCCGGTGGCATCGATCCTGGTAACGTCTTGAGCAGCCTTCTTGGTGGCGGAGCGGAAGCGGATGCTATTGCCTAAGCTACTGCCGGTCCTGGTGCTGACTCTAGTGCCAATTCTGGTGTCAGAGGGACGCATGAGGTAGTGGTCTCTCTGACTTGGTTCCTCCACCTCGTGGCGGCGGTGCTGCAGGCGGCCAGGGGGATGGTCAAGGCTAAGCTCAGGCCCGTAGGGCTGACCTCACCAGCCTTCTCGGGGGTTTCACTGGCTAGACATGGCAAGATATCTGCCTAAGTGTACGACGGGATGATGAGGAAGCTCACAGATTGATTCAGGAATCGACGTGACAAGGAAGCAATGCAAACAATACATAGTGGAACTTAGGAATCGATTGTAATATCAATTGCATATCTAATATCTCTATGAAAGACCGCATATTCTGCCACCGGATATCATTAGTCTAAGCAAACATCCGTTAAAACGCCTAAATCATAACATCTGAATGCTTTACGCGGAGGCAGTGGCCTCCTCTTTCTCCTCGTACTTCTCCCAGTTGGCAAGGATGTTGCCAATCTTGGGCGAGTTTGTGAGTTTGTACACATCCTCGAAGTACTCCTTGGTCAAAGCGAACGGCTTCGCAGTCACGTTGGGTATGTATTTTCCGACCAGCTTGGAGGGGTCGATCGACGTCTTGTGGATCTTCTTGAGCAAGAAGCTTCGGAATGGCTTGACACCAGAGCGCAAGAAGGTGCTGTGGAAGGGCACATCGATACCCTTGAGCGGGATGGTAGCAAAGCCACGCTGGAGGTCAAGAGGCTTGGGCTTGGCCTCGGTCTGCTCAGCACAGCCCTTGATGATCTCAACTAGGTGGGCTTTGACGTCCTCCATCGACAAGCTCTGCATCAGAGACTGAATGTCAATCTTCTGCTGCTTGAGGTAGTTGGTGACTCCAGTGAGCGTGTCGAGAGCTCGCAGGTCACCAGCAGCGACGTACTGCATGTTGGCGATGTTGTAGTTGACGATCTCGAGCAGCCAGCCTGTGGTCTCAGCAATATTCTCAACAACGTACTGAAGAGCCTGCTCGTTGAACGTCTTCGATATCCTGCTGGGATTGACAGCGCACATAGAGTAGTTGGAACGACCAGCCTCGTCACGCTCGACGGCGACCTGCATGGTGAGACCACGGTAAAATACGACCGAGACCAAGCTTTCAATTGGCATGACCTCAGCAAGCGCAGCAAGAGCACTGTACTCTCCGAGAGAGTGACCAGCGAAAGTGCTGTCACGCTGGACGAGACCCTTGGAGCGCATGTCCTCGAACGATGCCTTCTCCATGAGGGTAAGAGCGGGCTGGGTAAACTGAGTCGCCGACAGCAGACCAGTGGGGGATCGATATGTGTATGAGGTCGTGTGCTCGTCAATCTCCTTGAAGATCTTCTCGGACTTGATGGATCCATCGGCACTGACAGTCTCGAAGGTCATCGAGATGTAGTTCTGGCGGATGGCCTTACCACGGGGACCACCGAAGTGAATGGTGAGCTCCTTAGGGTTATTCTTGACGATGTTGGTGATTGCGAAGCCTGTGGCACGTTAGAGAATGTTTCAGACGACAGCAACTGAGTAGCATACCATAGTTATCCATGAAGTGCTTGTCAGCACGATCCCAGACCTCCTTGGCAACAGGGCTGCTGTTGTACAGCTCCATACCCATACCCTGCTCCTGCGAGCCTTGGCCAGTGAAAACATAGGATGTTGTGGGCTGCTCAACCTCGGCTTCGCCAAGGAGAACCTTGTCCTCGGTCTCCTGGTTGCTGACCTCGATCTTGATAATCTTGCGGCCAGAAACCATACCGACGTGCTGAAGCTTGACATCAAGCATATCATCGGGGAGGACCATGCCAACAAGATTGACGTGGTAGCTCCTCACACGGCCGACATTGTTCTCGGCCGCCCAGGTCTCAACCAAGCTCCTCACAGCAGCACTGGAGTACATGCCGTGAGTGATGGTACCAGGCAGGTTGGCGTAGCTGGCGAAGACGCGCGAAACGTGGATGGGGTTATAATCACCAGACACACGAGCGTAGTTCTCGTTGGAAGCCGGTGCCCTCAATGTCAACGGGGCCTTGCCATGTAGAGGGATGGGGTTCTCAAAGTGGACAGGTTGATCGATGCTGGAACCGTTGCGCTCGAGGTAGTCGAGTACGGGGTTACCGTGAGCAGTTCCAGATTGGTAGTTGACAGATGCAATCTGTATGATTTCCTTGGTTGGGAGCTCAAGCAGGACCTCTCCAACGGTCTCGATTTCTGAGAAGATGGTCTTATTCTTGTACTTCTGCAGGGTCTCAAGCTTGAACACCAGGGTCTTGCCAAGAAGGTCAACATCGGGCTCCTCGAAATTGAACCACTCCTTCGAGCGCAGAATGGCAACATCCTTGCTAGTAACAAGCGGGAGTTGCATGGGCTTCTCGGTCTTCCTCTGGAAGGTGTTCTCGAAATCGCTGTACGCGCCACGGTACAAGAACTGACTGGTGACTTCCATGACAGGTTTGTCGTCGCGGGTGATGGTTCCGCAAACTTCGACCATCTTACCAGACTCCTGGTTGATGACAGCGTTGATCTGAGCGGTAGTGTCGAGCACGTCGCCCTTCTTTAACGGCTCCGCACCAGGAAGCATGCGGAATCCGTTAGACAGATGGACGAGCTTCAGCAAGTCACCGTCAATGGCACGAGGGAAGATGGGCTTAGTGATGGCCTTCCAACCGACGACGATGGCAAAGTCCATGGGGGCGAAAACCTCCTTTCCTGGTCGGTCAACGAAAGCCTCGCCAGTGTTGCCAACGGCATGGACGAAATCGTTGATGGCCTCGCTGGTGACAGTAGCACGACCACCGTCGAATTGAGAGGTGACTGAAGCATCGAAGGGGCAGGCCTCATCACCGAACCAGACCTTGTAGTAGAAGTCCTTGATGCGGTCGTTGCGAGCGTGCATGACCTCGTGGATGGGCGCATAGCCGACGTCAGGGCGGTAGGTAAAGCGGAAGGGAAGAGCCACGGCAGATCCTAGGGCGGTGCGCTCCTCGTACATGTTGAGCAGGATCTCGTTATCCTTCAGGCTTACATCAATAGTCTTGACGTACTTCGCGCCATGATGCAACTCCTTGACGGTGATAGTGGTTTTGCTGGGGTCGTTAGGGTTTGCAATCTCCACGGTCATGCCAGGAATAGGAGCAAAAATCCTGGATGTTGGGTTGGTCTGGAAACGCTGACCCTGGACAAAAACATCGGTCGTGAAGAAAGCGTGTCTCCACGAGTATGTGTTGCCGGCAAGTAGCTGCAGCCACGAAGGAACATCGGGCATGGTGGCGTTTGGCGCAGGCGACAGGCGGTAGACAGTCTTGTTCTCGAGCTGAGAGACAGTGAGGCCATCGACCTCTACGCTCTCAGTAGCCGCGAGAAGTTTGCTACCGAAGTACTCGACGACTGGTACCTTGGACTCATCGTCACCGTAGACATCGCGCAGCAGGTACTTGATGTGACCCTGGTGTACACCATCGAGGATCTCCTTGATGGGCTCGTCAACCTTGGTGGAGTACTTGACGGCCATAGGTCCCTGCAGGATGCAGGTCCTGCCAACATCTTGGTCAACAACGGCCTCGATGTCCTCGGACTGCCACAGAGAGTCCTTCTTGAAGAAAAACTCGAATGTGTCATCAAGGCAAGGTACGAAGGGGACGGGCTTCTGTCCACGGCGCTGGCAAAGTAGCAGGAAGTGCTGAACATCCTGAGCGTTGATCAACTGCTCATTGGCCTCGGGGTAGGCCTTGAAAACCTGGTCGAGTGTCTGGAATGGATCGTTGAGCTCCTCGTAGCTCTGAATGATCGACTCGCCGCCGGACTTGCTGAAGCGCTCCTCGACTCTGCGAATGAAGTCGCCAGTGAGGCGCTTCAGACTTTGATCAATCCAGCGAGACTGGTGCTTAACGTACATGAGGTCGACCATGCGTTGCATGACCTCGGAGTATGTCATATCTTCAAGATCGACAGACTCGCCCTTTTTGTTCCTGCCGAACCAGACCTTCTGGAAGTCCTCGTTGAGCTTCTTGATGATATACTCGCGCATCTTCTTAAGCTCGGGGATACGCTTCGCCTTGTCCAGAGCGAAGATCTTCTGATCCATCTCGTGCCAGAAGACAACACCGCGAGTGGCAAGCTTGTGAATAGGCTCACCCATCTCAGAGCGGACAGTGATGACACCACCAGCGGGGCCCTTGTACGTCTTCTCCCAGTCAGCGTCGTCAAGACCGGGGGCGTCGACGATAGCCTGCTTGGCTGAAGGCGATGTGTAAGCCTCCTTGGCGGTCATGACACGACTACCGAACAAGCAACCATCGTAAGGCATAGGGGGGTATCCGAACTTAGTCGACCAGCTACCAGTGAGGTACGGGTATGTGTCCTCCGCGCCACCGAAACCGGAACCAGCGACGAGGATGAGGTTCTCGCACTTACGGAGACGGCCATACATCTGAAGGATGGGCTGGTGGAAGTCTTCGAAGGAGTGGTGACCACCACCGCGGCCTCCAGTCCACTGAAGCAGAACTGGAAAAGTAGGGTTCGCCTTAGCGATATTGATGGTCGCCTGAATGGCTTCAACGGATCCAGGCTTGAAGGCGATGTGCTTGATGCCTAGAGTCTGGATGTACTCATTGGCAACCTCGATGGAAGGTACACCAGCACCAATGGTCAGACCCTCGATCGGAACACCGTCAGCCCTGAGCTTAGCGAGGAGAGGGATCTGCCACCCCATAGCGCGAGGGTTGACGTAGATCAAGTTGATGGTGATACCGCGACCGGCCGGAATGTTCTTTTCGACCTTTGTGATGGCCTCGGTCATTGTCTTCTCGTTGTAGTATCCTCCACCAGCAAGCTCAATCTCGTAGCCAGCGTTCATGGTGGCAGCAACAAAGTCCCATGGAACCGTGCAGGGCGTCATACCGGCAACCATGACAGGGGGAAGTCCAAGCACTCGGCTCATCTTGGTGTCGACATAGGTCTGGCCAGTCGAAGTCTTGATGAGCTTGGGGCCATGCTCCTTGACCCAGTCAACAGCGTAGGTGACGGCATGCTCGAAGTCACGATCGAAGATCTCGGGCTTGTAGCCGACCTCGACGTTCTGACCGTCCATAGCACCAGCCAGGATGACGCGAACTCCAGTTCCCTCCTTGTTGCGGTTGGTTAGGACACCAAGACCAGAAATGCCACCAGGACCGAAGTCGAGGATGTGCGTAGCCTTGGGAAAGACGGTAGCCTTCTCCCACTCGACCGAGTCGCTGGTGATCATCTTCACGAGGGCAGGAACGACATTGTCAGACCCATCCTCGCGGATGTCTTTGCCGGTGTGTGTATCGAACATTGGCACACCAAGGTCGCTCGCAGCGATCTTGATATCTTTGAGGTCATCCTCGAGCTGTTTCGCAGCTTCGGCAAGGTATGGACTGTGGAAGGGCGCGGTAATGGGAAGGAAGCGGTTGACAAAGCGAACCTTGCGCTCAGTGAAGGGTATCCTTGTCTGATCAAGTCCAGTAGGAGCCTTGACCTTACGCAGACGAAGGTTGAGACCGTACAAAGAGATAGGAGGACCAGTAACGACAAAGTTACGGGCACTGTTGACCAGCGAGATGGCAATATGCCTGTCCTGGGGCAGATGTGCGTTTGTAGCGTCAATGTGATCCTGGACAGCCTTGCGGGACAAATCACGAATCGACAGCATAGGTGTCGGGGTACCTTCACTGTTGTCGATTGAGTCCTGCAGGATATTGGGAGCGAGCGATGTTCTGGGGAAGGCCTGCTGACTGCGTGTACCGACCCAGAAAAGGATCTCAATCGCCTTCTTGGCAGACTTCTCGAAGGTTTCCCAGTTCTTTGCTTCCGCGATCGCAGCAGCTGTGACAACGCCTTGAGAGTGACCAGTGACACCAGCGAAGCGGCTACGGATGTGGCCAGGGTGGCTGCCGAGCACTCTGCATGTTACAACGTAGTGCGCAAGCTGTGTGAGACCGATCAACGGCAGACTGACAGGCGCCGAAACGAGGTAATCGGTGTCAGGCTGAGCCTCGCGGTTGTTCAGCCATCGCATGACATCCAGGCCCTTCGAGTACAGCTTCTCTGCACGCGGGTCGCGCGACAGGGTTAGTAGATGCTGTGCCTCGGCCGCAACGAAATCTTCAACAAAAGAGGGGTATGTGTTGTAGATCTCGCGGAGTTCATCGAAATACTCTTCAATGTTACCTTGACCACCCAGAACAGCATAGATGAAGGCATTCTCGTCTGAAGCCTCGCGGAAGAGGGCAGACTCGTGGTGCTTGATCGGTCTTTCAACAGCGGCGCGAGCGGCGTAGTATGATCGCACTGTCTCCAGCTTCTTCTCGGTGATGCCGGGAAGAGTGGCGGCCAGCGCGTGCACCTCATTGCCCCGCAAGAAAGCGCGCTCGAACTCGGTGAGAACGAGCTTGAGGACCTCCTCGAAGGAGTCGGGGTCCTCGCCCTCCTCTACCTCCTTGGCAATGAAGCCGAGGTAGCGTGCAACCAGCTCGACGACTGATGATGGCTCGTCATCCTGTGCGAGTTCGTCTGTGGGCTCGGGGAGTGTCTGCTTGAAGGTGTCCCTCAATTGCTGGGCGTTGAAGTGCAGGGCGGTCGGGATGAGGAGGGTGTACTCGAGCGAGCCGTGAGTGAGGATGAGCGGGCGTAGATTTGCTGCTGAGCGCGGCGTAGAGATGCCGGTCTGCTGGCCTGATCCGTACATGCTGAGCGTTTTGACGCCTGAAAAGCTACATCAGAATCGAGTTAGCTTCGTCATCTCGGATTTTGGCCTGTTGAGGGGGTTGCTGGTGCGTAGACTCGGTGGCATCAAAGAGCATTGAAATGAGATTCGCGCATACCTCTGATAGACAGATCTGATCTAAATTATAAGTATATGGAAGGAACCGTGTGCACAAATAGGTGCGTCTGCGGCGCTGTGAGCTTTCATTCGATTCTGGTGGGAGGTACGCTTATGCTCTGGTAAAGAGCTCTCAAAGATCACTGGGATCAAGACACATCTCCCGCAACGCTGCCCTTCGCAACAAAGACCCAATGCGTACCTGTTTGCGCAGGTAGAAGCTAATCAACCTGTAGTGCTCGGGATTTCGTCAGGACTGCTTGTGCTTGCAGCTCCCTTGCGAAGTGCTAAGTGCCGTGTGGATGCAAAATGTCCACCGCAACAGGCAGCAGAGTTGCAGAGGGTTTATGAGGAGTAATCAGGGGAGAGGGGAGGGACAATTGGGCGAGTGGAGATGTAGGAAAATGCCGGGCAGCACAGAATGGCGTGTCTATTAGGTATCCGCGGCGAGCTGATGGCTTCGAAAAAGTCGGGCCCGCTGAGGTCGGGTTGGACCCGCGCTAGCAGAGCAGGGATCAGCCCACTTGCATGGTGTGTGCATGGGTGTGCCTCCTGCGGCCAAAGCGTTGGGGAAGGAAGGACCCCTCAAACATCGCGCCGGCAGCTGCGATGGGCGAAACCAGCATACCAACAATGCATCGTTCCTGTGCGTGACGTGCGCCAATGGTGCTCTGATAAGAGATCCCCGCATTGTCCAAGGCCTGCAGTTGTTGAGCACAGTGTTGGAGGCAGATGTGGGCCGACGTGGTGTCGACCCTGGCCCGCACTGGCTTCGCGACACCCACCGCCTTTGGTAGCTATCTCTCGCAAGACTGGCGAAATTTGTGTTGAGAGCCAGAGCATAGACCGGCTAGAACGCAGGGGTGCGTGCCTTTAGAGCGGTGCACAAATCCTCAACGACCAGAGGACACGCCCAGTAAAGTCTCTGCCATTCGAACGAGATAAACAGTCAAAGCGTTGGATGCTGTGTTCCTACTGCACCCGTCCGCTCTCCCTCCTCTCCGAATAATTTGCCTTTGGCGGACTTACCTCACCCGTCCCCAAGCTTCCTAGCAACACCATCTCCATCTAATTCCAGCACGCCCTCTCCTCAGCGTTGCTATTCCTTCCTTCGACACATTATACCCCTCCTTTCGCCGTGTACTAGACTAGAGATACCCATTGAGCTCCGGCGAGCTTTGGCTGTTCTCTCAAAACCCCCAATACGACTCGACAACCTACCTGCACCTCACGCATTTCCTGCACCATGCGTCCCGAGGTCGAGCAGGAGCTTTCGCACACGCTGCTCATTGAGCTGCTTGCATATCAATTTGCCTCACCCGTGAGGTGGATTGAGACGCAGGATGTGGTCCTCGGCGAGAACACTACAGAGCGCATTGTCGAAATCGGCCCCGCGGACACACTCGGTGTGATGGCCAAGCGCACACTGGCCTCCAAATACGAAGCTCACGATGCGGCGTTGTCTGTTCAGCGTCAGATTCTGTGCTATAACAAGGACGCCAAAGATATCTACTACGATGTAGACCCTGTCGAAGACGAGCCCGAGGCAGCGCCAGCTGCGAGCGGAGGTGCTCCCGCAGCAGCTGGATCATCAGCACCCGCAGCAGCAGCAGCGACCGTGGTTGCCGCCCCTGCTCCCGGCGCTGGCCCAGCTGCTCAGGTGCCAGATGCACCAGTCACAGCGACCGACATCCTGCGGGCATTGGTCGCCCAGAAGCTGAAGAAGCCTCTGATGGACATCCCTCTGAGTAAAGCCATCAAGGACTTGGTTGGAGGTAAGCCGTTGGAACCACCCAAAAAGACTCGAGCTAACAAGCCACAGGAAAGTCCACCCTCCAGAACGAGATCCTTGGAGACCTGGGCAAGGAATTTGGTTCCACGCCTGAGAAACCCGAAGACACACCCCTCGACGAACTCGGTGCTTCAATGCAGGCTACCTTCAATGGTCAGCTTGGAAAGCAGTCCGCTTCCCTCATCGCCCGTATGGTGTCTTCGAAGATGCCTGGTGGCTTCAACATCACAGCTGTGCGCAAGCATTTGGAGACAAGGTGGGGTCTGGCACAAGGACGACAGGACGGCGTCTTGCTGTTCGCTATCACAAACGAGCCGCCTGCGCGTCTCGGTTCTGAGACCGACGGAAAGGCGTTCTTGGACGAGCAGGCCAACAAATACGCGTCAATTGCTGGTATCAGTCTGTCTGCCCCTACTGCCGGCGGTGATGGCGGCGCTGCTGGTGGAGGCATGATGATGGATCCTGCGGCCATTGACGCCCTCACGAAGGACCAGCGCACCCTTTTCAAGCAGCAGCTGGAGCTCTTTGCCAGATACCTCAAGATCGACCTGCGCGCTGGCGACAAGTCGTTCGTCGACGCGACAAAGGCACAATCTGCGCTCCAGGCGCAACTGGACCTTTGGACAACCGAGCATGGCGAGTTCTATGCTTCTGGAATTGAGCCTCAATTCACTCCTCTGAAGGCGCGCGTCTACGACTCTTCCTGGAACTGGGCGCGCCAGGATGCGCTTACCATGTACTACGATATCATCTTTGGCAAGTTAAAGGCCGTTGATCGCGAGATCGTCAGCCGCTGCATTGCTATCATGAACCGTTCGAACCCTCTCCTCCTCGACTTCATGCAGTACCACATGGATCACTGCCCGACCGAGCGCGGTGAGACCTACGAGCTTGCAAAGGAGCTTGGCCAGCAACTTATCGACAATTGCCGCGACGTTCTCAACGAGCCTCCAGTCTACAAGGACGTCGCTGTGCCCACAGCCCCTCACCTCGAGATTGATGCTCGCGGCAACATGAATTACGAGGAGGCTCCCCGCGCAAGCGTTCGCAAGCTGGAGCACTACGTTCGCGAGATGGCTGAGGGAGGCAAGCTCTCCGAGTACGGCAACCGCACAAAGGTCCAGAACGACCTGCAGCGCATTTACAAGCTCATCAAGCAGCAGCACAAACTTTCCAAGTCTTCGCAGCTGCAGATCAAGAGCCTATACAGCAACGTCATCCGCTCTCTGTCGATGAACGAGGGACAGATCATCCCCAACGAGAACAGCAAGAAGGCAAAGGGTGGTCGCAATGGTCGTGCAAATGGCTCTACCAAGCAGGGCAAGGTTGAGACGATTCCCTTCCTTCATCTGAAGAGGAAAGATGACCACGGCTGGGAGTACAGCAAGAAGCTAACTGGCATCTATCTGGACTGTCTTGAGAACGCCGCCAGCAATGGTGTCACTTTCCAGGGAAAGTATGCTTTGATGACAGGTGCTGGTGCCGGATCCATTGGTGCTCAGGTCCTGCAGGGTCTGATTAGCGGTGGTGCCAAAGTTGTCGTTACAACTTCCAGGTTCTCCCGCGAAGTTACCGAGTACTACCAGTCCATGTACACCCGCTACGGTGCTCGTGGCTCTCAGCTCATCGTTGTGCCCTTCAACCAAGGCAGCAATCAGGATGTCGAGGCTCTTGTTGACTACATCTATGATCCCAAGAAGGGTCTGGGCTGGGACCTTGATCTCATCGTTCCGTTCGCTGCTATCCCTGAGAACGGTCGCGAGATTGATAGCATCGACTCCAAGTCTGAGCTCGCTCACCGAATCATGTTGACCAACCTCCTTCGCATGCTCGGTGCTGTCAAGAAGCAGAAGCAGACCTTCGGCTTCGAGACTCGCCCCGCACAGGTCATCCTGCCTCTCTCCCCAAATCACGGTACTTTCGGCAACGACGGTCTATACTCTGAGTCCAAGATGTCTCTCGAGACCCTCTTCTCAAGATGGCACTCAGAGAGCTGGGGCAATTACCTCACCATCTGCGGTGCTGTCATTGGCTGGACCCGTGGTACTGGTCTCATGGGCGCAAACAACGTCGTTGCGGAGGGTATTGAGAAGTACGGTGTTCGCACCTTCTCTCAGCAGGAGATGGCCTTCAACCTGCTTGGTCTCATGGCACCCGCGATTGTCAACCTTTGCCAGATTGAGCCTGTCTGGGCTGACTTGAACGGTGGCTTCCAATACATCCCCAACCTGAAGGACCTCATGACCGATCTCCGCAAAGAGCTCACCGAGACCAGCGATGTACGTAGGGCTGTCATCAAGGAGAATGCCATTGAGAACAAGATCGTCAACGGCGAGGCTAGCGAAGCTCTGTACAAGAAGGCCAAGATTGAGCCAAGAGCCAACCTGAAGTTCGACTTCCCCAAGCTGCCTGACTGGGAGTCTGAGGTCAAGCCCCTCAACGAGGACCTGAAGGGTATGGTAGATCTTGAGAAGGTTGTCGTCGTCACTGGTTTCGCCGAAGTCGGTCCCTGGGGTAACTCCAGGACCCGCTGGGAGATGGAGGCTTACGGCGAGTTCTCACTTGAGGGCTCCGTCGAGATGGCTTGGATCATGGGTCTCATCAAGAATCACAACGGTCCTCTCAAGGGCAAGAGCTACTCTGGCTGGGTGGATGCGAAGACCAACGAGCCCGTCGATGACAAGGATGTCAAGCCCAAGTACGAGAAGTACATCCTTGAGCACAGTGGCATCCGCCTCATCGAGCCGGAGCTCTTCAACGGCTATGACCCTAAGAAGAAGCAACTCATGCAGGAGATCCAGATCGAGGAGGACCTGGACCCCTTCGAGGCCTCAAAGGAGACTGCTGAGGAGTTCAAACGCCAGCACGGCGATAAGGTCGAGATCTTCGCCATTGAAGACTCTGGCGAATACACTGTTCGCATGAAGAAGGGCGCCACCCTCATCATTCCTAAGGCTCTTCGCTTTGACCGTCTCGTTGCTGGTCAGATCCCCACCGGTTGGGATGCGAAGAAGTACGGTGTTCCCGAGGACATCATCTCCCAGGTTGACCCTGTCACCCTGTTCGTCCTTGTATCCACAGCAGAGTGTCTGCTGTCCAGCGGTATCACCGACCCTTACGAGTTCTATAAGTATGTCCACTTGTCGGAGGTCGGTAACTGCGTCGGTTCCGGCATCGGAGGTACCACCGCTCTGAGAGGAATGTACAAGGACCGTTTCCTCGACAGGCCTGTCCAGAAGGACATTCTCCAGGAGTCTTTCATCAACACCATGAGTGCCTGGGTCAACATGTTGCTCATGTCATCGACAGGACCTATCAAGACCCCTGTCGGTGCTTGCGCTACCGCCGTCGAGTCCATCGACATTGGATACGATACCATTGTCGAGGGCAAAGCTCGCGTCTGCTTTGTTGGTGGTTTCGATGACTTCCAGGAGGAGGGCTCTTACGAGTTCGCCAACATGAAGGCTACCAGTAACGCTGAGGATGAGTTCGCCCACGGCCGTACACCCAAGGAGATGTCACGTCCTACTACCACAACCCGTAACGGTTTCATGGAATCGCAGGGCTGCGGTATGCAAGTCATCATGGACGCCAAGTTGGCCCTCGACATGGGCCTCCCCATCTACGGTGTTCTTGGCTTCACAGCTACTGCTACTGACAAGATTGGTCGCTCAGTCCCTGCTCCCGGCAAGGGTGTGTTGACCACTGCCCGTGAGCAGGCCTCTAAGTTCCCCTCGCCTCTGCTCGACATCAAGTACAGGAAGCGCCAGATGGACCTTCGTCGCAAGCAGATCAAGCAGTGGCAGGAGTCTGAATTGCTGTACCTCCAGGAGGAAGTCGCTGCCATCAAGGACTCTGCTGGCGAGGACTTCAGCGAGGCCGAGTACCTCCAGGAGCGCGCCAACCACATTGAGATTGAGGCTCAGCGACAAGAGAAAGATGCACTCAACAGCCTTGGCAACACCTTCTGGAAGAAGGACCCCCGCATTGCGCCTCTCCGTGGTGCTCTTGCCACCTGGGGCCTCACCATTGATGATCTCGACGTTGCTTCTTTCCACGGCACATCGACTGTTGCCAACGACAAAAATGAGTCCAGCGTTATCTGCGAACAGATGCGTCACCTTGGCCGCAAGAAGGGTAACGCGCTTCTTGGTATCTTCCAGAAGTACCTCACCGGTCACCCCAAGGGTGCAGCTGGTGCCTGGATGTTCAACGGCTGCTTGCAGGTGCTCAACTCGGGTCTCGTCCCTGGTAACCGCAATGCAGACAACGTCGACAAGATCATGGAGCAGTTTGACTACATCGTCTATCCATCGCAGTCGATCCAGACAGACGGCATCAAGGCATTCTCCGTCACATCGTTTGGTTTCGGCCAGAAGGGTGCCCAGGCTATCGGTATCCATCCCAAGTACCTCTACGCCGCTCTCGAGCACCACCAGTTTGCTGCCTACAAGCAGAAGGTTGAGGCTCGCCAGAAGAAGGCCTACCGCTACTTCCACGATGGTCTCATCAACAACACCATGTTCCGCGCCAAGGACAAGGCCCCTTACGAGGACGACAAGATGCAGGAGGTCTTCCTCAACCCCCGCGCACGTGTCACCCTTGACAAAAAGACTGCCACCTATAGCTACCCCAAGAAGACTGCCGAGACTAAGAAGGACAAGAAGACCGAGGAGACGCAGAAAATGGTAGAGTCCCTGACTAAGGCTACAGCTTCGGCCAACACCAAGGTCGGTGTCGACGTTGAGAGCATCAGCGCCATCAACATTGAGAACGACACCTTCATCGAGCGCAACTTCACCGCGAAGGAGATCGCATACTGCCAGAAGGCTGCCAACCCTCGGGCCAGCTTCACTGGCAAGTGGTCGGCGAAGGAGGCCGTCTTCAAGTCCCTGGGTGTTCAGGGCAAGGGCGCAGGTGCTCCCTTGAAGGACATCGAGATCGTCAACGACGAAACCGGTGCACCGGTTGTTGAGGTAATCCTAACTCTCAATCTTGAACATCTCGACAATGCTAATATCTCGCCAGCTTTCTGGACTTGCCCAAGAAGAGGCCAAGCGCGTTGGCGTCAAGAGCATCAGTATCAGCATAAGTCATTCCGATGAACAGGCTGTTTCTGTCGCTATTGCACAGTTCTAGGGAGATTGCATGTGTACTCGTTACGTTTGATGTTCTACATATAGAAGGCGAACAACTCATAATCCTGCGGAGAGATGTATTTGTTATTTGAAGCGCGGGGGTTTAGAAGCTTCATTCGTTGCTTAGAACCCGCCACACCACCTCGTTGCACATTGTGATGAAATGAAATTCAAAACAATTCAAAATCGACTGCCGTGCTCGGGCTGTACTAATAACGCAATTGATACCCTGAAACGCGTGCGTGCGATAACGTGCTACTGGGAAAACACCGCCTGCGTTCGAGAGCCCCTCACGTCCCACTAGTTAATGCATCCCGCTCTGTCGTCAAGATAAGCTCAACACATGCACACACCCAGAACCCGACCCCACGGCCCTTGCCTACAGCTCGCTTCTCAAGCGAACGGAAACTACGGTACGGGAAACAGTGCTCAAGCTCTAAGTTTGAGAGCACCCTTCGGTGACGGTGCCATTTTGGGCGTGCAAATCGCGACGGCTGCCCGTGCGCTTTCACATGCCGGCAAACCTCTCGCATGTGACAGCCAGATTTGCGGGTACCTGCAGGCCTGCAACACAGGACTTTCACCGCGGTGGCTTTAGCCGCTTACAGTCCCGCGCTGGTTTTAACTACAAGAGGATGGGGTCCCCTGGTGTGTTGACGCTCTTCTGGGGACCCCCGGGGTGCTCCTTGAGAGGGGCGTTGAGAGGGCTAACGGCGACCTGCAGCGGTTACATAGGCGAGAACGTGTGGGACGTGCAGATGTTGAGGCTTGGGGGTTCTGTTTCTGTTGAGAACGTCAGCTTCGGGCCGTGTCGGAATGAGTTGGGCGCGGCTGTAGAGGGCGTCGTGATTGGGATTTGGAGTTAAGGAGAGATGTTGAGGTGGCACAGGTAGCTAATGTATGTAAAGTGCATGGACTAGGCATTGCCGGCTACGTGCTTGCGTAACAGTGGGTACTTTCATCTGCAAGGCTGGGCTGGGTAACATTTCTTCCTTCCATCTCAGCCGCAAGGGTTGGTGTACGCTCACAGACGAAATTTCTCTCGCACAGTCTCCTCTTCAGCCTCGAGTTTACTATGTCGAGATTACTAATATGGGCTTTTTTTTAGATCAAATGCGGACCGGTGCTCATTTTGCCTTGAAATTCAGACCCTACTATAGTCAGATTCTTGGTTGAAACATACCGAACTCTATCTATTGCAAGACCAATACGCCAAATGAGAGACTTCAGTTCATACCCGACATACGCAGCAGTGGCTCAGCCTCACTTCGGTGGTTTCTTGTACGGGTATGTCGTCTTGATCCACTCGTAATCCAGGTCCGCGACCTCGCCGCGCTGAATCTGGACTCGATCCTTCCCCTTGCCCTGATCCTCGGGTACTATCCATCGCGACAGTGGGCGATTCACGAACTTATCCGGGCAATTGTAACTACCGCCGTCGAAGGAGTCGTACATCATGATGCTCTTGTAGTCAAACTCCCTGCTGCCAGCCGTAATCGTCTCGCCGTTGAGATTAACACCCTTGATGTACTTGTGACAGGTACAGTCATGGTGTGTTGCTTTCTTGTAGTCCAAGCAGAGATCGTCTTCGGTGAGGACGGGCTCTTGGACCTTGGCTTTCTGTTAGCAGTGGTTATGATCTCACAGGTTCTTGTAGAGGACCTCGATGTACTTGTCGCGATCGGTGCGCTGGTGCCCGTATTTCATGCCTGAAGGTAGTCAGTATCGTGAGATCATCATCATGTATAAGACAATGACGGGGCGGATCTGGACTTAATTTACCGAAGACATGACCAAGCAGCAATCTGATGCATAGTACCCTGAATGAGATGCGGAGCGTCGATCCACAACCGCATGTGCCAGTGCGCCGGGGGATCAGTGCGAAGAAGACTAATGGTGCTCGAGCAGCCCCCCTTAGTACTTCCAGCGTAATGGATAGAGTGGATTGTAAAAAAAGATTGAGCGAGGGAATTAGGAGCTTGTATTTCAAGATATAAAGCGTGGCAGTCCAGCGACCTATGCTTTTGCGTCAGAAGTAGCCGCTGTATAGTCAGTGGAAACTGCGCTGAGTTGCTTGCTAGCTAGTAGGCGACCATATATACATGCCCTGAGACGTGCTAGTCCAAGGTAGTCAACAGAGGTGACGATCAAGGCCTGTCGGATCGACTTGCACCGCAACATATGCTAATGCGAGTGAAGACGAGGTCATCCGCGTCGCTAAAGTGCCACCTCACAACTCTTTAAAGAACAGCCTTACGGACGCTATTACGGCACAATTGACCCTGCGCGGTTTCAGACCATGGCTCCGATATATGAAGTATTGGTAAAAGTAAGAGCTCAGCTCGGGCGGATACATACCTGGACACGCTGACTAACGGCTACCTCCGCAATTATTCCTTGTGAAGAACGCGCTCACACATTCTGACGAGAAGATTAATAAGCTGCAAAAGTTTGAGGAGATTTGTTCAAGAAGTACGAAGGTGATGACGAGAGGGAGCTCGTGTAATTCGCACTAGCTGCTGTCGCCCTTCTATCTTCACCAGCGGTGGTACACTCAGAAGTTAAGACAGTCCATCCTCTACCAGCCTGCCAATCTGCCCTTCTCTTCTGCAATGAGAGCATTGACCTGATCCATTATCGAGGCAGGAGCCTCGGTATCCGGAGGCGAATACGCACCTTCCTCGTCTTCGATCGCCTCGCCTTGCTCAGGCGCCTTCAAACCAGGGTCTTCCTTCGTGACCTCGCTGACGACGTACTGACCAGGGGCCTGCTTGACCTGCTTGGTATCGATCGCCATATTATCGGTCTGAGCACCACGGTCCCACTGAGTTTTCTTCACGGTTGCGTTAGTCTGCCCTTCATGCGTGATATGGTAATTTGCCCACGGAAATTCCTGGACAGTACCGTGCTGAACGTCCTTTTCTGGCAACATCATAACAGTACCACACTGGTCGATTTGTGGTAAGCCGACTTGCGACCTCATCTTGTTGATTTTCATCAGGCTGTCCCTGGAAGCACCTCGGCCCATCACCTCACCCTCACGCCCCAACATCTGCGTGTGATTAAAAATCACTTCCTGATACCGTTCAAGCAGATAAATGACTTGCTCGTCACGTTGGCGAAGTATGGTTTCGTATTCTTCTCCAAGAAGGCGCTGGTGGGAAGCTTCGGTCATCAGCCGGGTGCGTTCGTTGATTGTCCACGCTGCAAGACCGCGGGTTGCTTGTTCGGCTGCATTGAGCTCCTTATCCATATCAAGCAGCGCTTGCGCGAGCTCGGCGTTGTCTGCCATCAGACGCTGATGCTCTATGCTCTCAGTATTCGTTGCGTTGTCATCTTGGCTGATGTGGTCAGGGACTTCGTTCAAAGGCTGCAGGCTCTGAATCCTCGGAGACCATTCTGCTGTTCCGATTGTGTGCTGATAGAGTTCAGTCGCCAGGGTTCGAAGAACGGGCGGGGAAGATGGCACCGTAGATCGACTGTTGCTGACATGATCTATGAGTCCGGAAAGACTCCACAAGGGCGCACGCTGATGACAAACACTGTCAGCTATAATGTTTTTGAAGTGGATGTTTGTAATTTACATCATCAGAGGAAGGATCAGCGGCACCATCCATGGGATCTCTTCGCGCCCGCGACAAACGCCCACGAAGCTGTCCGTTTCTGTCGAAGGAGCGCATCGTTTTGTCAGTCTAAGCTTGGAAGCGTCGATGTATTCGGGAGAAGATATTGAGGTCGCGCAGTCGTTTGGTGCCCTGTGTGTGCAACTCGTCTTCACTCTCACTTCTTCACTTCACCCTCATCCGTTCGGCGCATGAACTTCGGGATCGGCACCTTAGTGTGTCACCAGATGAGATATAAACCCTTAGCGCCCCAAAGTGTTGTTTATAGCATTCTCTTCAACCACACTCCATCAACTTCCTCAGCTCCCTCACTTTTTCTCTCATATGAGTCGTCAAGCTACCCTGTACTGTGACACTCGGATCTGTCCAACATCCAAGTCCAGTACCAACATACTCAAGCCCCTCCCACTGTAGTCATCAACGCTAGGTCTTCTCGTGGGGTTGTTCCATTATCACCAACTGACCGTGTTATGGCCCGGCGACCCAGCAATGTAGCCGTGCCAGCAGTGCAGGTCGCAGCTATTTACTATGCACCAGCGTCTCGTTCGGGATCACCATATTCAAGACTCTTTTCCCGCCGTTAGTCTCATCCGGCCTATCAGTATCCTCGCCATGTTGAGCGAGAACGTTAAATAGTTCTACGCTCGCGGTATCGTACGCAATGTACCTGGGTGTCGCTGCTCAGTCCGCGCTCGTGCTTTCCAGCAAGTAGGCTATCGGCGCTCGAGCGTGTGCACTCGTTAGACCGGACACATACACATAGTGTGTACGTTGCGAGCGCATCACGGGTTTCTTGAGACGCTGATCGTGCCCAGTCAAGGGCGTCTTGGAGCTGCGTTGTTGAGGCGTTGGTTATGCTGTTAATTGGCCGCTCGCGAAGCCAGAGGAGGAACTTGTGGCGGGCTCTTCGGGGCAGCAGATCCATCGTCACCCAGGGTGAGGAGATGCGACTCGATGAAGGACTTGAAAGCTGAGAAATCTGGGGACAGGCGCCTGTCCTGCAGCTCTGAGGTTGACATCCATCACAGGTGCACGAGCCTTGCTGTGCCTCACGTTTCGCACGATCTTTACAGCGCTATTGCATGGGTCCTCCACCACCGCGATGTGATGCATGGTATGCTTGTCAATCCTCTGCTCGTGTTGAATGCATCGCGAGGTCTTGCCCCGACTCCCAGCTCTCGGTGGATGTATGGTCCGTGTTGATGAGCAGACGAAGGGCGAAGATTGATCGGAGGCGATCTGGACTCCGACGAGATCTGATAAGCAGCCAAGTTCGGGGCAAACTCGACCGACACGTCAATTCTGAACTTCCCGCGCTGCGGTATCGGTGAGAAGTCCGGCAAAACCGCATGCGCAAGTCTTTCTATACTAGAAATTTACTTTGTTAGGGATTGGGAGGCGATAGAAGTGGATGTAGGGTCTGGAAGTCGACAAAAAGTAAGCAATCCGTGGTCGAGAAGTCGAGATGCAAGCATCCCGATCGCAGCCGCGCCATCGTTATCAGATTGACGATCCCGGCTACTACACTTCGGCAACCGCATGAGCGGGAACCAATCCGCCGACCGCGAAGTCGGCGTCATGGACATCATGTCTCGATAAAGTGACGATGGCGCCGCCACCTCAGGCCATTGCAGCCCGCGCCCTCCTTTTAATAGAAGCCTACGCATACGGTTGAAAGCCTGCAACACCGTCACCATGGCGTACAACCCCAAGATCACTGATCTGCACTGCCTGACCATTGAAGAGCTCCGCGTGCTTGCCGCGCAACGCATGGACAAGCAGACACGCGACTACTACAACGAAGGCGCAGACTCAGGCTCCACACTCGCAGAGAACATCTCTGCATTCCAGAAATACCGCATCCGACCACGCGTCCTTCGCGATATTTCCGTAATCGACACCACCGTCGATGTCTTCGGACAGAAATCCAGTATGCCTGTCGGCGCAGCCAGCACCGCTATGCACTGCCTCGCGCATCCAGACGGCGAGATTGCAACAGCGCGGGCCTGCAAAGCGCAAGACACGGTCATGGGACTGAGCAGTTTCGCAACGCAGACGCTCGAGGACGTCAAGGACGCCATTGGCAGCACACCTATGGCGCTGCAACTGTACCTCTTCGAAGAGCGCGACCACAGTGTAAAGCTGATCAAGCGCGCGAAAGCCAAGGGCTACAAAGCTGTGCTGCTCACGGTCGACACGCCCGTCCTCGGACGCCGAAACATGGAGATCCGGAATCAGTTCACGCTGCCGAAGCATCTCAAGATCGCCAACTTCGCGAATCGAGACGACGGAGACTCCGCGAAGAGCAACACGGTCAGCGAATCAGGATACCACGATGGCGAGAAGAGGGTCCTGCCCAAGGGCCCGATTAGGTTCCACACGCACGCCGCAAACCCGACGTTAACATGGGAGAAGGATATCGAATGGTTGAAGGAGCAGTGTCATCCCGAGATGGAGGTCTGGGTCAAGGGTATCGCGACGGAGGAGGATGCGCTGCTTGCGTGCCGCCACGGCGTTGATGGTATTGTCGTGTCGAACCATGGTGGGAGGCAGCTCAATGGCGCTCTGGCGACGATCGATGCGCTGCCTGAGGTCGTCGCAGCTGTAAGAAGTCAGGGCAAGAAGATCCCTGTCCATGTCGACGGTGGGATTCGACACGGTACAGATGTGTTCAAGGCGCTTGCGCTTGGCGCAGACTTTGTGTGGATCGGCCGGCCGATCTTGTGGGGTCTGGCGTACAAGGGCCAGGAGGGTGTTGAGCTTGCACTTCAACTCATAGGCGACGAATTCAAGCTGTGCATGGGTCTGGCTGGTGTGACAAGTATCAAGGACATCGGGCCCGAGTACCTGGTCAAGATCGACAAGAGTGGGTTTGTGAGCAAATTGTAATCGGGGTCTAGCTGATTTCAATTGGTCTGCGACTGTACTGCTGTGGTCAATGTGTACAAGTAAGATAGCGATGTATCCTGATGTCTACCCAATTTAACCAGCAAAGTGGAGGTGTGTGGTTGTCCAAAAAGGGTTGCACTTGCTACAGTGACTTGAAACGGCCTCGCCGGCTATTCGTGAGGTCATCAAGCTCTAGCGGCTGGATGTATCTTTTAGGCAAAGTCTTCCTGGTAGAGAATCAGGGTTCAAAAAGATCACTACCAGGTTCGACAAGAGTCACTGTACCTTACTATGCTCCAGTGGCAACTCATCTCTGAGCACTTTGAGAGCAGGTATCAGAATCTCTAGGTCCGTTGTCACATATTTGTAGAGAGCGTTGTGGCCCCTCAGACGGAGTCCAAGACCTAAGATCGCAACGTTCGAAGCTGTTAAGTCAGTAGTGGCATCCAGACTATGACAGATGGCACATGCACTGCGAGTCAAACTCTACATGAATTCCAAGTTTCTTCTACGTCGTAGCCAGATAGATCCGCATCGTCTGCCGGCACGGCTATTCGCAGCATTATCTTGTCATGGGGCGCAGGAATTACTAGCTTCACACGGAAGGTTGCTAGTAGATATTTCCGCCTCTTCTTAGCGGGACGGAAAAGTGCTCTGAACTGTATGGTAGGTAAGCCCTCCTCCCATTGCATTGTAGAAATTAGCTCTGAGCGGTGCCGGAGAGTACTTATAGCTCATACTCCCATTGGACCCTTCTTTACAAAGCACTAAAAGGGGAGGATCCGATGGCTTGGTCGATAGTGTTCTTAAAGCATGAACTTAGCCACGAGATCGACGAGGTCTTGCCGCTCGAAAGACACCAAGGATGACGGGTGTAGAACCTGTTAATTGTTGGGATCATCGCTACCGAGGCCAGAACGGTGACAGAATCTGATGTTTATGAGTAGCATATCTACGTATAGCGTTATGTCTTTGGTATCGGCGGATGTGGCATTCAAACCCCTTGTTGGAAAGGTCAGACGCGCTTCTACCTCGCACTTCATAGAGTCTGGTCGCTGCGCCTAAGGCCTTCTCCTTCTCTTCATCGACAGGAAAGTCGATAGCCTCTAATAGGTTACGCGCTGCAGAAAAACATAAGCTAGAACGCTCGTTTCTCTGCGAATTTTACATGATGGATGTGTGAGTATTCCCTCTGCCAGAGTGTCTGTACGCGAAGAGATTGCAGGTGGCTCCGTTCATGACATGTCGAAGGGCTGGTTTGACAGTCAGTCCGTATAGGGCGGTTGATGGCCTCGTCCGCAAAGGTCTGCGACACATCGGTGCTACTAACTGAAAACGACATCAAAGTATCCGGGGCATTGGAGGATTTGGTAAACAGGAAGAATGCCAAATTGCAAGATATCGCAAGATACCCTCGCTTCAGCCTTACGAGCGCAACGACTGATTTTGTGATAGACTCTGGCCTACCTCTTCCATCAATCGACTTTTGTCTTCCCCATCGTTGGCGCACAGCCAGTGGAACACATCAAGCTGATGCCGAAGGTAGCGAACGTTCAGCTCTCAAATGAAAGGATTGATAAAATCCGCAACGCTGCGCCCTTCCACCCTCTCTTTTCGAACAGCTTCCTTTTAGCGGACAGGAAGTACAACAAGGGGGTGACCGCGGCTGACCAGTCAAAGCTCCAACGACTAGATGTCGACCCAGATCAACGCGCCCTCCAAGTAGCTGCCTTGTGGCGCGAGATCGTAGGTTATGGTCGAAACACTCATGTTGAGGCACGCTTCATTACAGAGGGACACAGCGAAAGGGATGAAGTTAGGTCAAGTGCTAGTTCTTGGCATTTCGCTATCCTGATCGTTTCCGTGTCTTCTCCGTGTTTTCTCCGTGTGCGCATTTTCACAGCGCACCACTGCTTCCAACACGCGATAGCTGGCGATAGGCAACCACGGGCCACGTCAGCACACATCCTGCGCATCGAACAGTACAACTTTGATGTTGGACTTGTTGACCGCACTGGGCTACAACCAGGCCCAAGTTTGCCATCGGACAATTTTTCCGAACATTGCCAGGGAAAGCAGCGTTTGAAGCCGCATCTACGGTCTACCTCAGGACTAGTCCTGAATACTCGATGATGCCTCGCATTCTTCAAGGAGCAAAATTGAGAGGCCTAGGTCTCTAACAGCGAACGCTAGGCCGTTGGAGCTTGACTCGCGCGCTTGGCGTTGGAAAGGTCCTTTGTCTCTGCCTCTAGGTTACGGATACTGTTAGTTCCTCGACAACAAACTAGTCCACACTTATATTGCAGGCCGCTGCCCTTAACAACGTTACAATTTTTTCTATGCTGGAGCATGACGGGCACAATCTGGTACCCTGCAAGAACCGCGCATGACGGGTATGGACCTTCGTTACACCTCATCAATGCTCAGAAGCGAAGTATTCGTTGATGATCTGAACGACTAACAGCAAGACTTGATCAGAACAGTATGAATTACATATTGCGCCCAAGAAAACAGCGCTTCATCTTGTTGCGCTCTGGAGCCTTCTGAATCAACTCGCGTCATCAAGAACGATACTCAGAGAGGCAAATCAAGCTATCCGTTCTAGCTTTTTATCTTCGACGCGTCATTTTGACCGCCAAAATTCAGTCTGTACATAGATTGCAGCGGACAGCGGGTGAACGGTCCAATCACTGACATAGGGGTACTCATGTTCAAGCATCTATAAGAAGTGGATTATCGCACTTTCCTACTCAATACAGATATTCTCGTCGCATCAACAGCCATGCGAATCACATGTTTTACCCTTTACATTGTTGCCCAGGCGCTCACTGGACAAACTCGTGCCCAGGTTGACCTTGGCACTGCGGCATCCTTCGGTGTGGTTGCCAACACGGCCATTACCAATATAGGTGCCACGATTGTTACAGGCTTTCTTGGTCTGTCTCCCAATACTGCAAGTTCCATCACTGGGTTTCCACCTGGCCAGGCCGATGAAATCTACGCCGGTAACGAAGTCGCAAGCCAGGCTCTCCAGGATGCTGCAACAGCGTACGATGCTGCCAGCTCGCTAGCATCTGACTCACAAATACCGGGAGCCAATCTTGGCGGACAAACCCTCGTTGCTGGCACATACACATCAGCCTCTTCTATCACCATAACCGGAACGCTTACGCTAGACGGACAAAACGACCCAAATGCCCTCTTTGTCGTCCAGATAGGATCCACACTCACGACCGGAAGTTCGTCGTCTGTCGTTCTCATAAACGACGCGCAAGCCTGTAATGTCTTCTTCCGAGTTGGCTCTGCAGCTACACTCGGCACCTCAACAAGGTTCAACGGCAATATTCTGGCCTTGACATCGATCTCTCTTCTCAATGATGTCAGCGTTAATGGCGGCCTGTATGCTTTGAATGGAGCTGTCACGTTGAGCAACAATCAAATTACACCACAGCCAAGTTGTGTTGCAGTCCCCACCAGCATCGCTCCGACGGATCCCAGCTCCACCCCACCTGGATCATCCACAGAGGCCCCGACCGATATTCCAGCGACCATCATCCCAACCACGATACCTGTATCAACAATTACTGTTCCAGTTGTTCCAGTTGTTCCAGTTGTTCCAGTTGTTCCAGTTGTTCCAGTCGTTCCAGTCGTTCCAGTCGTACCAGATGTGCCAGTCGTTCCAGATGTGCCAGTCGTTCCAGATGTGCCAG